AAGTGAGATCGCTTTTAAAAGATCAATTAGGTTTCAGAACTGCGGCGCAAAGTGTGAAATGAATAAAGTACAATATAAAATGGAGAAAGAACTAAATGGAACTAAGCAGTTCAATATTCAAGACCTTTATTGAAGGGGTAAGTGCAGCTCGCCAACCCATGGACCATGGCGCTCTAATATTAGTGGGTTTCCCCTTGATCAAGCAATCCAGCAAGCTATGTAGATTGCTTGATCAAGGGGTGGGGGGCTCAATCTACGTAACTGTACTCCAGTCTGAGTAATGGGGACTTGGTTACTGTGGTATGTGAAGAGCTTCATGAGACACATCGCCCTTATCACAACATACTGGGATGGATGTTTGTGAAAGAAATGGTTCTGCAAGTTTTCACTGCCCGCAAAAAATGATAATCATCAATCTTCAAACGGACACTTGTCAGGTTCAAAGTTATAACTCCAGAAGCAAGTTCTACCACGTAGGCCATCCCAAACTTTCGACGGCACATTGGTTTTTGCTGGTGGCTCATAGATTGATACGCCGCCACTTGAATCGGGTCATCCCAAACTCTGAAGAGGGCGTGCGGTGTTCCAAAAACACTCCAGAAAACCCGTGAAGCATGTCGCAATAAATATGATGAGAGTACTCGCATCGCTTTTTTCGCAAGGTGGCCAAAAACTCATACCGGGCATGTACATTGACTGACCATTAGTTTTTGGCGCAGACCACCAATCATGTAGGTGATTTGTGCCAAAAACTATTGGTCAGTCACTGTACTCTAGGTATACCGTATTTTGTGTGCATTGAGCTTTTCTTGTAAACGTTCGAAGAAAATCAACTTTGCCGCTGGCTGAGTTGAAGTATAAACTTCACATCGATAGGCCTGAGTAAAATGCTGTTGAGCGAAAAGGCGGCGTTAGTGGAGAAAAGTACAGACTGAGAAAGCAACGTTTAATTCTCCGCTGGAGAAAGTCTCAAGCAGGGTCTAAAGCAGCAGGGTCCTTCAAATGCTGAGATCACGGAGGCATAAATAGGCTTGGCCATCTTCACTCAGGATGACCACTCTGGCAACTACGAAGCACCAAGCAGTTGGGCAACCTGAACGACCTTTCTAAAACTAACGTCTTCCAAGCTCATCCAATCACTCGTGGTGTGAAAATCCTCTTCAACCTCAATCGTCGGCGGGGACCTCCAACCCCCTTTTCGCAAGCAAGACTCCAAGACATCTGACATCCCCAAGGACAACACTGCCTCCGTCCACTCCTACCCCCTTCAACACGCCTGGCACAATCCGATCTAAACGCAGCCAAACCCCTCCGCTTCCCACACCCGAACACGTGTCCTCACTTGCGCACAGGAAGATGAAGTCTTACATTTGTCCACCACGTTTCCTTCCGAAAAGATTAGGTATTCTCTGGGACGCTGTCTGCCGTCGTGCAAAGACCCCCCGCCAACATTCTTCCACCCTTTCTTGTGCCAGCGAACAAGGAGCGACAGTTCCTCAAAATGGACCGGCGCCGTGCGAAACACGCAATCGCATCCGAATCAGCGTCTCTGATACGACACTCAGAAATCCGTTCTTGACGACAGCGCAAGTCTTTGCGATTGAGAAGTGGAGAGTCCAGGTCGACTCCCCCGAACAAGTCTTGTTCAGGGAGACTAAACCCCGGGGCGACAATTGGATGTTTCAACTTGCCCTGCACGAGTGAATGTAATGGACGTTTTTTTATGTATTCCCATATCTCTAGCCTTCAAAGCCAAGTGTATATGCCCTGTAATCCAACTGCTGAAAATATTGTAAAGTTTATGAAACAAATCAAGTAAAATTGCTTTGAAAAACAATCTGCAAAACGATCCAGAAAAGTGGATTGTTGAGCTGTGAGCTCGCCTTTCAATAAGCGTGCTTTTCAGACCTCTTTGGAATGACGACCAATACATTGGCAATGCGCTCAATTTGCATTTCATCCAAAGCCAAACCATAAGTTGCCAGACGTCTTAGCTAGCAAATCAACTGGCGCTGAACGACTGGGCAATCGCATGCATGCCACCTCCACCAACTGAGCCCAAAATTCACAAACAACATAAACATAAAACCAAGTTAGGCTTATCTAGTATCAGACAGGAACCCTTCAATCATTGGGGAATTCTGGTCTTCAAAATCAGCTCAGCAAGAAAGTGGTGATGATTGACGAGGAGAAACAAGGAACATTTGGGATAAATATCATTGCCCAGCTGTTTGTAAGGAGGGAGATTTGAGCGTGTGGTCAAAATTAATATTGTGTAATTTAAGAAAGAATGAGAGAAACAAAAGAGACAGTTCTGTGACCTTACAACTCATCTTGCAGGGGAGTAATCAGTCCAAAATCCCGGCTAGATGGTTGTCAGGAAGGTGCTGCTGTCCGATCCGTCCTGCGCACTGGATGCAGCACCGGTCGGACACACCTGCCCGGTCCCTCCTCACACCACCCTCGGGCAGTTGATGCCGTTCGGGTGATGGAACTCTAAGCCAAGATGGATAGAAGAGTGTACAGGAGCATTTTCCAATACCAAAGAGAGAGACTGTACGAGAGGAGTAACGGAAATAAGGGAAAAGCACTCCCACCTTATTCCGGCACGAGAGAACATATACATACATCCCTCGAGTGAGCCAAAGTAAGATCAACGATTCCGGTTCAGTTCTGAATCTAGAAACCACATTCCGTGCTGCATCGGCTGGAATGAAGGAGCTATGATACTCGAGAAGCAAGCATGCTCTGTTAGACTCCATAAATCTCCTCAAGAGTGTTGGAAGAACGCGGTGTAAGTCGTGTTATATTATTTTTTCGACAAAAAAACATTGTGATTATTGCGGACATGTTCCTCAATCAATGGCTCTGGGCCGTACAACATTTGATCACTGAGTTGAGTTAGCGGTATGCTGAGCTGAAGCGGAGAGTTTACGATGACATACATACCTCAGCGATTCGACAATCCTGAGGTGCACAAATGCCGCTTCAGTTGAAAAAAGTAGAGGCTGAGAAAGCAACCACTGCATTCTCTGAAGAAAGTCCCGAGATTGCTGTTGGTGCAGCACACTGTTCGAAAAGCTGAGCCCACGGATATATAAGGAGGCTTTGCCTTCTCCTTCTCCTCCCCCAGCCACCCTCGAAGATCCAAACAGCCGGTCACCTCAAACGCCCTTGTTCAAACTAACGTCTTCCTAGCTCACTTTTCCAAGCACCCTTGTGGTTACAGATCCGACAAAAGTTCTCCCAAATTTCGAACCTCTGCACCCACACCAAACTTTAGCTTAACTCAACCCGACACAAGAGCACCATGGACCGCACTCCCACCGAAGCCCTGCCTTCCTCACGCCCCGGTCAGGATATCCAGGCCGCTGTCCAACCCGCTGCATCTGCACACATGTGCACCGCCATCGCTGATGCCCTCCATCACGACGTCAGGTCTCAACAAACCCGCCCGTCAGACGAGGCCCACCGCGGGCGTTCCTTAGCCTATTCTGCCACTGTCGTTCGCCCGGCCGTGTTGGAGTCTGAGGAGCAAAAGTCTCACTACTTTAAACGAGCTTCCGTCCTACAGCCCTTTCTCTTCACCCCAACCACCATAAAGCCAGGCCAAGATTTCCCCACCAAAAAATCATCCGTCCCAAAGCCTTTGGCCCCCCGATTCAACATGTCCGAAGAAGCACTGAGGAACCCCTTCATGAAGGCGTCTAAATCATTCGCCATTCACAAGTGGAGGACCCAAGTCTCTCTAAGCGATGTTGGCAACCAGGAGAATGAACCCCCTCGTGACAACTAGAGGTTTCATCCTTCTGGATACTAGCGAAAAGTAGCACATAAATTCGCATCTTTTGTATTCCCTTGTACATTAGCATTGGTAATGATCTGACTGCTTGAAACCGCAATTAATATCATGAAAAAAAAACACCTCTTGCGCACTTTTCAGTGCTTTTGAAGATCCAAAGGGATTTCCTCATTGAAGCGTGCCATTGAAGAACCTTCCTTCTTGCCACTTGAAGCGGTATCCAACCAATCCAGGTGCCAGTCTGAGTCAACTTCAGCAATGATGATGGATCCAATCTTCTCAATCTCAGAGAAGAAGTGAGTCCCGTCGCTTGAAGAGACACGTGTTGGGATCCCCCCCTTCCAGAGCAATAATGTCGGGGGGCGAACTTCCGGATATTTAGCTCATAATCCACCTTGAAATTATCAGGTTTAATTTGATTCGGTGGTTCGCGTGGCTGGGGTGGTTTTTACACCAAGCCTCTGGAAGCTACTGGCCACAAAAACTAGTCTTGAATCCCGCTAGAGCCCATGCAGGTGGCATTGCATAACTGCGCGCTGCATGTTGAGTTGACCAGGTTTGTCTGTGGGGACAAAAGCATTTTTTCGTTGATATTATTTGTTTGATGGCGAGGAGACTAAGGACCTTCGAATCAGATAGCTTACATACAAGCTATGAGTAGGACTCAGGGCCGTTGTATAAGGCTCCCCTTTCTCCGACTTGGTGGTGAACAAGGCGGACAATCGAACCGACTATTGCGGACATGTTCCTCAATCATTGGCTCTAGGCCGTACGACATTTGGCCACAGACTTGAGTTTGCGGCATGCTGAGCTGAAGCGGAGAGTTTACGATGACATACCTCAGCGATTCGACAATCCTGAGGTGCACAAATGCCGCTTCAGTTGAAAAAAGTAGAGGCTGAGAAAGCAACCACTGCATTCTCTGAAGAAAGTCCCGAGATTGCTCTGGTGCAGCACACTGTTCGAAAAGCTGAGCCCACGGATATATAATGAGGCTTCGCCTTCTCCGTCTCCTCCCTCAGCCACCCTCGAAGATCCAAACAGCCGGTCACCTCAAACGCCCTTGTCCAAACTAACGTCTTCCTAGCTCACTTTTCCAAGCACCCTTGCGGATTCAGATCCGACAAAAGTTGCCCGCGAATCTCAAGCCTCTGCACCGTCACCTAATTTTAGCTTACCTTGAACCGACACAAGCACCATGGACAGCACTCCCACCGAAGCCCTGCCTTCCTCACGCCCCGATCAGAATATTCAGGCCGCTGTCCAACCCGCTGCATCTGCACACATGTGCACCGCCATCGCTGATGCCCTCAATCACGACGTCAGGTCTCAACAAACCCGCCCGTCAGACGAGGCTCACCGCGTGCGTTCCTCAGGCTACTCTGCCACTGTCGTTCGCCCGGCCGTGTTGCAGTCTGAAGAGCAAAAGTCTCACTACTTTAAACACGCTTCCGTCCTACAGCCCTTTCTGTTCACACCAACCACCATAAACCCAGGCCAAGATCTCCCCACCAACAAATCATCCGTGCGAAAGCCTTTGGCTCCCCGATTCAACATGTCCGAGGACGAACTTAGGAACCCCTTTATGAAGGCATCTCAATCCTTCGCCATTCACAAGTGGAGGACCCAAGTCTCTCTAAGCAACGTTGGCAACCAGGAGAATGAACCCCCTCGTGACAACTAGAGGTTTCATCCTTCTGAATACTAGCGAACAGTACCACATAAAGTCGCTTTTCTTGTATTCCCTTGTACTTTAGATTTGGAAATGATCGGACTGCTTAAACCACAATAATTATCATGGAAAAAAAAATCACTTCTTGAGCACTTTTCAGTGCTTTCAAAGATCCAGAGGGAGTTCCTCATTGGAGCATGCCATTTGAGACCCCATCCCTGCCATTTGAATCGCTATCAAATCAATCCGGGTGCCAGTCAAATTCAGCAGTAAGGATGAATCCACTCTTGCCGATCTCAGCGAAACATGTGACCGGTAGCTGGAACAAGATGCGGCGGGATCCACCTCTTGCAGGGAAAGACTATTGAGGAACGGATTTTTTGATATTTAGTTCACGAAAACCCTTGTAATTATCAGGTTTAAAATCACTCCTTGGTTCGCATCGCTTGCGATTAGTCTTTACACCAACCTTCCCAACGCAACAAGCCACAAAAATCAGTCCTGACTCGCGCTCAAGACAATGCAGGTAGTAAGTGAGACATTTGCGACTTTGTTTGAGTGGGATGGGTATACAACGGATGAGGAAAACTGATGGATTTTGCAGGACAAGTGAAAGAGGAAGGCGAAGATTGCATCCGAGTCAGATATACCCTGTGGGATCTGATTCTACGCGGTTCCGTACGGAAAAGGAAGATCAGATAAGATATAGGAAAAAGCCAACCAAGTATATGAACACCGGAAAGCATCGGGTCGGGGAGAAGGATGGTGATAGTGTAGGTCAGAACGAAGAGGATACACTTTTTGGTATGTGGCCGCCAATCAAGTAAAAGGATCACAACAAAGATTTCTTTTCAATCACAGTTGTTTGCATAACTAAGCCCTGCATGTTGAATTAACCAGGTTCTTATCTGTGGGGACAAAGCTGGACAAGGGCATTTTTTTGTTTTCGTTGATACTATTTGAAGGTGCCTTTGAATAGCTAAACCCCTTAAAAACGCTTATGTAATAAGCCCTCAGTCGTCAACACAGTGTTTTGCATAATCGCATATGCAACATCGGCTCGCTTATGTAAGTCGGGATCAAGATCGCCCGACGCCATCCGTCTCAGCCGGCCATCGGCAAAACACTCAACTCGGCTACCGTACATACACCCTGAATGAACTTGGCAGTAAGAATGGATGGCGAGGAAACTAACAACCTTCGGATCAGATAGCTTACGAGCTATGAGTAGGACTCAGGGAAGTTGTAGAAGGTTCTCCATCGTGCGACTTGGTGGTGAACAAGGCGGACAATCGAAGCAGTTCCTTCGACGAGCGGAGACCGATCCGTATGGGAAGACCAAGAGTCGCGCCCGGGGGGAACCAACCTATGTGGCACGATCAGCACACAAGCTCATCCAGCTCGACCAGCAGTTCCGGATCTTCCCTACTCCCGCTCGGTCATCGCCCAGAACCGGCTTCAGAGTCCTCGATCTCGGAGCCGCACCCGGCGGTTGGTCGGAAGTCGTACTCGAAAGGTTGGCCCACCTTCACTCCCACCCGGCGATCTCCTCAAGCCCGTCTCCGTCTGCTCCTTCTGAAACGCCTCCTTCAAATCACAATCTACGGGCCCGATCATCCGTCAATCATCAGCACAGATTGGTTGCATGCGATCTGCTCCCTTTGCACCCATCAATCGCCCCAAAAGTCTCCAAGAACGTCGACTTTCATGCGATCCAAGGTGACTTCATGGATACACAAGTGCGAGCGAAGATAGTCGAGTTATTATTTGATTCGACTGCTATTGCTCATGATCATGATAATCAAGGCCTTGTACCAGAAGAAAGTCGACAGGAGAAGGAGACAAACGACCGACGCCGAACAACGACGATTATTCTTTCGGATATGCTGCATTCGATGACGGGGATCCCGACTCGGGACTCGCAGAACTCGCTAGATCTATCGGTGACCGTGGCTGACCTTGCCAGAGACTTGATCCCTCCCAACCCCGGCGGATCGCGTGCGAGCGATACACTCATCCTCAAACATCTCCAATCTGAGTTCACCCATCAGTTTCGCGACCGGCTGTTGGCCGAATGGTCCCTTGTGAAGTGGGTCAAACCGTTGGCTAGTCGCTCCGAATCTCGCGAAGGTTATTTTGTCACTCGCGGTCGCCGGAAACAATGGATAGTAGAATAGACTCTCTCAAACCTTTGAACAACCCTGTTGGCCTTTTTTTCATCCCCAATCAATATCAGACTTCTTGTGTATCAGTCTACCGTATTAATGATAGTCCTCTTCCGGCTCTGGACTGTTTCTATTTCTATGCTGAGCATGTTGGTTGAATCTGCTTAAATTCATGTGTTTGTTGATCTTAATAAACAAAGCAGCTTCCGCCTTTGTGCGAGGCCTTTCTCGCCAATGCTGTCCAGTGAGACTATGCGAAGGAAATATAGTAGACTGATGAATACCATTACTTTGGATTTCTGGTTGTGTAACTGGGGAAGAAGGCAATGATATTTGAATACTCTTTGACTTGTTACTCCAAAAAATAAAAAAAAAGAGAAACATCGACAGCATTTGAGCAAAAAACCGCTAGTAAGATGTTTACATACATGATGTCCCATTTTGTCGTGCGATTTTCAAGCAGACAAATCAACTTTGGTCTAGGAAGAATTGCCAAGAACTTCTTTGTGAGAAGTGGAATATATTCTGCTCAGATCAGCTTATCATCATTGATCCTTTGGCTCTTTTTGTCTGATTTATCCATCAATCACTCAAACCCTTTGAAAGTCTGCTCACATTAAATGATTTGACTCCCATAAATCCTTGAGAGCATTTTCTGATCACACTGGCTTGGCTGAATTTTTCCTTCATGGAGACTGTTCACTTTTGACAAAAATTAATTGAAACAGGAACCTCAGTTGCTTTCACATGTATTGATCTTTCTTAGGCCTTGTTTGGCATTGATATAATCAAGCAATATAATGTCCATTCTTGTGACATCTGATCAAGTTTTGGCAGACCAGATCAGATCTCACAAAGTAGCATGTCATGCAAAAATCTTCATATATTGCTGCCAAACAAGGCCTTATTATTTTATGCATTGTTTCTCATTTTCACAACCTTGTTTGTTATTTTTTTTTTTTTTAAAAAAAAATAGGGGCTTGATTAAACAACTCCCAAAAAATGGAGCGCCGACTCCCAAGCCCCACAACCCCTGAATTTTGTGAGTCAAACCCCCAAAACCTTTGACTGGTTTGGGAGTCAACTCCCAAAAAAATAATTTAAAAAAAAGCAATCCCCAGTTGGTTGAGGAGTCAATCCTCCAAAACTGACCAGGGTTTGGGGGTAGACAAGGGGTAGACAAAGCAAAAGACCGCCACTGCACACAATTGGCAGATCAATGATTTGGATCCATTACAAATCAAGGGTATGTAGCAAGAACTGAGTTTGTTGAGTAATATCAGCGGGGTTGACAATAGCTTCTTGCGTGAAGCCCTCTTAGTTCTTACAAGAAGCTGAAGCACTGCTGCAGACATAAAATTTAGTGTGGAATTTTGAATTTTTGCTGGGAAAATTAATGTCGGCAATGCACAAGAAATAAAAGAAAAATAGGGTGAAAGAAGCAAAAAACAGTTTTGTGAACCCCACTGTTTTGTTGAAGGATTGAGATTGTCATGAAGAGTTCACAAGACAAAAACAATGTCTATCATGAATGTTTTGTCTTTCACAGGTGGTATTCAGTTGCTAAAGGGTTGCTACATGTGGCAACTCAACATGGTTTTGAGACTGCACAGGCTATCATCACCCAGGAAAATGAAGAGGAGGCCTTTCAAAAGGGGAAGAAAATCCCCCATCACATGAAGTAGAAATGTTTTTTTTTTTTTTCCTTTTTGCCCAAAAGATCCTCAAGGATCCATAGTCTTAGTTAAATCCTAGCCCAGAAATTAAACTGCATAAATAGCTATCAAAAAATAAAGAAAAATCTGATACTGGAAATCCGGTATTCCTCCTGTATCAGTATCATCACATGATACCAATAAACACAAATACCATGTATTGCCCACTAGATACGATACATGGTATCGTATTTGGGACCAAATACAAGAAGTGTCTCTCTCAAAATTGGTATCAGAAAAAAAATACGATACTCAGTATTGGTGATACATGTATCGTATCGTATCTGTGGCAGCGTTGTCCAGAGGTAAACCTTTTTCTAGCTTAGCACCCCGGGTGGGTGGTATTTTTTAGGTTTGGGTTGCTACACAGCCAAACAAGGAGAGTTTAAACAGGACCCTGTAGGGCGTAGTACTGGATGCTCCAGTGACTGAGCAAAGGGGGGGGGGTGTTGTGAGGGCGCAGTTTTTCAGGATTGCTCCGCTGATTGACCCCGTGACATCAGGGGATCGCTGAGAGTGAGGTTAGCACTGCAAGGGCATCCTTCCAGGTTGCAGTGGTGAGTCACCAGGACACTCCTCACCGTTGACACCGCCTCACACGGGTGCAGCTTAGTCAGCCAAGCAAAAAAGAGTTGCCTGCACATGGCTCAGCCTTGCACCTCAACCTGGTAGCCAAAGCACACCCACATGAGCAAGCCTGAACTTATGTGAACAGGATCCACCTCTGGACCCAAACTTAGCAAAGTCCCTTGCTTTGGAGGGACTGGGGGCCTTGGCTGGTGTGGAGCGCCACTCACCCAAAGAACAAGCCTCTGAAGGAGGGACTTGGGACAAAGACAAACATGTCTGCATGTCATGGTTGGGCAGTTCTGGTGGAACACACATTGAGCTGGATGTACAGCATGCACATGACCAGATATTTAGAATTTGAGTAGCTTTTAGAGCTTGGTCTTGCCTCTCACCTCATCCAATTTTCAGAGCTTTATCTTGAAAATTGGACGAGGTGGAATTTTTTCCAAGTTGGTCAAATTGAGAAAATGTTCTCACCTTGTAGGAAGTGAGGTTGAACCTGGCTTATTTAAGCTCAGCCAACCTTTCATTTGGGAAATTTTCCTTAAAAATTCTTCAATTGTGTAGTTTTCAATTTTTTACAAAAATTTCTTGATGAAAGTCAAGACCACCATGTTCGGCATCTTAAGCTAAACTCAGTTTTCCAAAAATTTACAAGCTGAATTTCCTAACAGTTTTGGCACAAAAAACAGCCATAAGCCTTGACTGTGACACACAAGCGTGTTTCTTTTGGGCTCAAGCCTCTCCCGCACTTTGTGTGTTTGTAAGAGAGGCTGTACAAGCTCGCACTGGACCACCAGTCATTATACTTAATGCCCATATTACATCAACTATTCAATTTGGTCGTTTGGGCTAGTAATTTTGTTGCAACTTTTTTTTTGCAAAGTAGTTTTTTTTCTGGAGAAAGTGGTTCAGCCAGGTGTTCCGAGGCATTGTCAAGCATCCCCGAGACCCAGTCAAAGCGGGAACAACTTTGCAAGCATCAACTTTCAGCCCTTGGAACCCAAGAGTCACCGGGTTGCACCAATTAGTGTTATGCAAGCGTTTCAGTCTTACATCATCATTGCGGTGTTCTATATGGTCAGAAGAGTGCTCCAAAGGTAAACTGTCCTGCAAGCTGTATCCAGAAGTTCAAACTTGCCCCGCCGTGTACATATGGGATAAAAACCTGGTTTAATAGCTCCTGTGGTGGATGGGCTCTTAGCATAAATTTTCCTGTTACAGAAATATACAGGTGTTACACTTGGGGGTCCCCTTGTTCTGGAGGGACGGGCAGACCCCACATTATGAAAAAAATCTCACCAAACTGGTGGCAGTGGACATGCAGGTTACTCTTGATGTAACTTCTGCCATACTGGAATATATTCCAATGGAAGAATGTAGGTGCACAGTGACTGTGCATTGAAGTATTGTTGAGGTAATGGTTGGGACACATCTGAATAACAACCCAACTTTGAAGAGAGTTTCTGCATCTCAACTGACAGCATGTCAGACACTGAGACACTAGTCCATGTGTCTACATGAGATTTTAACCCCTCCAGGTTATATAACAATTATTATTATATGTAATCTTTAAGTTAATAATTATGAAGTAGAGTTATTCCTTTTTACATGTATTATTTATGTTAATAATTATTCTGTAAATTAATAAAGATTAACCTCTTTATTAATTTACCTCTTCCATGAAAATTATAATCAAGTTGAAAAGGATAATTATCTCTTGGGTGTATCCAAGAGATGATTATCCTGTTTATCTCTCTTGTGTGAATATATATTCTGTTTATCTCTCTTATGTGTATTTTCTGAAATAAAGGATATTCATAACATGTACATTTAACATGCTCTGAATATCCTGACACTTTCCCCCAAGGAATAGTGCACCAATAAGGGGACTGCACCGGTCCCAGCAGCAGATTGACCCCTGCTCTGTAATATTTAAGAGGATGGCTCTTCCCCTGAGATTCATCCCCCAGACAATTATTACCATACAAACCCAAGTACCTTACTATAATACATATAAATAGTGAGTGGGGTTTTAAGTAGTTTATTGCTAGTTTAACTAGTGTACTTTCCTCTTATGATTATCACTAGTCTATATAAGTTAAGTCTTTAACTTTATAGACTAGTAACAACCCTTTTCTCTTATATTCTCAAAAGCTCAGGCACTGTGAAGCTCATCCCACAGTTGTCCCTTATTCTTATAAGGAGCTAGCCCCTCCACTTTACAAGTGTTGAGTTGGGCTTATTTCCACTGGCCACTCTTTGGCTATAGTGTGACCCAATACCCCATCAACTCTTGGTCACATAAGAGACCAGAGCTGACACAGCAGTTCCTTGAGATTTTTTCCCAGTGGGCCAGCATGCAAAGCTAGATAGAAAGAGCATTGTTTGTAGGAAATACCAAAACAGATGAGTAAAGAAACCTATTGAAACTGGGGAGTAGCATGATGAGAATGCTTGGCTTCTGCATCAAATATGGTACACTACTTTGGCAACAACCAAAATTTGTGTAGTGCAGGTTCTTTCATCAAATCCTCTTGAAATAGCTTGATGTGCCACATGTCTTTAGTGACACAAACCAGCCAAGCCTTGTCTCACTCACGTTACACCTATTGACAAGAAGTTCACAAATCACAGGGGGAACTATTGGTGCAACTTCCTCACAACTCTAGTGGATGCTTTGACTATTGCTTAATATGTTGGTGCAATTTTTGCATTTCACTCTTTTGTCTTTTGTATGCTACACTCCTGTCACAACTCAGGTCACAGGTTCTGTAGGATACCTGGGACAACAATGAGTTCATGGAAGGATTCTTTTCCCTCATCCTTTCACAATCACATTGCTTGTCCCAAGTACAAGTCATCTCATTTCATTTCTCTTTCCTGTCTTCTATTATCTCTCAGTACTGAAGCAATGAAATCCTTTCCACAATCTCATTGCATCTCCCAGTCAATCTTATCAGCTTCTTGTCATTTGGATTAACATCCAGATCAATGCTTCTTGTCTGCAGGCTTGAGCTTATCTTGAAACTTGACAGGTTTCTTTTTTTGTTTTGCACATCAGGCTAGCCTCCGGCTGCTTTTTAAAAGATGTCTGTCTTTAATGAATCCAATGCTCTCAAGCTTGCAGCCTTGAAGTTCTCACATTTTCACCACCAAGCAAACTAGACAAATTGCTGCCCAAACAGCATTACATAAAATGAAAAACCGGGTATCAGGGAATTCAAATGAAACACCGCTGAGCAAGCAATTGGGGATCGGGGAATTTATGTAGAAAGCAGAATTGATATGACGTGCTTGACTGCTCTTGTTGCAGCATGCTTTTTTTTTCAGCTCGAAGTGGCCAGAAGCTCAGATGCCAGTGGTATCTTGGCCCTACGTGGAGCCGGATATTTAAGGCTCCCGTCAGGCTTCAGCCAATTGGTGGCACTACAATCCCTCCCCCAAGATGCGAAGTGATGACACGTTGGACTCCATTTGCTAATGGAAGAAGAGGCTCCCGCAAGTCCAAGACGAGAGAGAGCCGACTCATGGCAAAGTTTTTTCTTGCAAAACATGTCTGGCTGATTGAAATATACCGGCCTGGCCTTGGATGTCCGCTAAGAAATCAGCCCGCGTCCTGAGTACATCGAAAGCCGCACTTCATCGAGCTTTGTTTTTTTTATCTCGAGGAGGCCTGGGATTTATATATGGGATGGCATGCTGTTTGTTTTTTGCAAGAAGGCTGGATTCTGAGATGGGATCCGGTCCGTTCAACTTCCAGGCCTCTTTTAACGCGCCATTCATTCATTCATTCATTTTTTTGTGGGACTGGGGCCGGTCAGACTCAGACTCACTAGACGGACCCTGCTCTCACAAACACAACTGGCTGAATGTCCAACACAATACAAAAAAAAAAAGGATTGGAGACTGATGATTGACGGGTATAAGAGCAACGGCTTCGCCGTGCTCTTTTATCTCCTCATCTGCCCAGCTCCCCACGCTCCAAGATCAACCCCCCAACCCAAACCCCATATCCATCGCCTCCTCCTCCTCCTTCTTCTACAGTAGAAGACAGATCTATTTATATATATATCCAGTTTAATCGCACTCAAATATCCACTCCAGCTTCACAAGCCAAATACCCATCCAAAACTAAGCTTGCACACCTGTTTGCGCGAAACCCTACAGCAAAGATGTTGGCCATCCAAAGCGTAACTTTAGCAGCGATCCTGACGACGATCTCAGCGTACGATCTTCCAGTGATCATGGTTCCGAAGCCGACGACGACCATGCAGGCCGGGCAACATCTCTATTCACGGCAATATTTGAACCCGGCCCAATTCCTGCCGGGGGGACAGCTGACGGCGGGCCAACATCTGGCGAGCCAGATTTCCGGGGGCACCGCCGAGGCCAATGCCGGCTGCGGATTGGAGAGCAACGTCTGGGGCCAGGTCTCGCCCACCGCGGCCTCCGGCTTCGCAAACCTTTGTCTCCAATGTCGCGTCAATGTCTTCGGCGTCCAGGTCTTCGAATTCAACTTCTATAACGCTCTCGCCGCTAGTATCAATGCTCATGGGGTCTCCGCTAGCCAGGCCTCGGTCTTGCAAGCCGCTATCGACGTATGCCCTTCCACTAGATTTATTCTTTGAATAGCGCCACTTACTTTTTTTCTTATTGGTAAACAGAATGACCTCCTAAGACTCTCAGCGGGATCCAAGACAAGCGCGAGTTGCACGGCCGCCTGTGCGGGTGACCAACGTAAGCTGTCCATACACACATGGAGAAGTCTTTTCGCTGAAGCGTTTTTTTTTTTCCCCTCGCGCACATTCGCAATCTGCGCGTAATAGGATGTTACTCGTCGTCCTTCGTCGGCGGGACTTGTCAGCTGAAGGCGGTCAATTACCTGAGCCAGAACCGGGCCGGTGGGCCGCTTGCCCAGGCGTTTCAGGGGCTGTATGCCAACGGAGGCTCTGGATATTGTTCGATCTGTCGTAAGTGCCGATCGGCCCCATTCTTTTGGGGAAATCAACAAAAACCGGGTGCTGATCCCAAGATTCTTAAACTGTAGCCGGCGACCGCAGTTGTTCGGGTCCGAAGCCCAGTGGCCTACCTCGTCGAAGCTTAGCCGCCGCCAACACAACCGCCGAGGAATGTCCCTCCGGTCTCTCGGCCTGTCCGATCTCGTCCGGCCTCACTCTGCCCAACCCTTCCGCCGGCTTCGAATGTCTGGACGTCCTACAAGAAGTGACGTCCTGTGGAGGCTGTGTCTCTACCGGAAAGGGCATCGACTGCACCACTCTTAAAGGCGTCTCTTCGTCCGGTTGCTCTGAGGGTAAATGCACCATTTGTAAGTCCATTCTCTCCTTATTTCTTGGTAGATCTTTCATTCTTATAATCCTCCTCTTCCTCCCCCAACTCAATATCTATAGTCTCTTGTAAAGCCGGTTACCAATTCTCTTCCGTCCATAACGTCTGCTACAAGAGCCACCGGTCCGCCAAGATCTCCCCCTTTTCTTCTTCTCACTAAACATCAACACCCTCTTCCCACCCCCGGCGGGTGTCGCAATCTATATATTTGCTCTGCTCTGACGTTGTATATCAGTTTTCCTCTTGGTCCTCTTTGGCATTCCTTTTTTTTCTGTTTTTTTTTTGTAGTTTATTGTATTTCATCTCGTTTTTTGTATTTTTTTTTAAAACCCCTACCGAAAACAAAAACATAGCTGTACATCTGCAGGAAACTTATCTGAGGGTTCCCATCCCCTTCAATTGATCAAAAATAAAGAAACTAGGATTTCCTTGGTCGCATGAAAGCGTGTCTCGCACTCGTGAACAGGATGCTTAAGATCATCTGGTATCATCCAGAAGTCTGAAGATAGCAGTTTCCTCTGCTTTATGTACCACACTAACTCGCAGTTTGAGTCTGACCCCTCGCTCGATCACGAGCTCTTTAATTCGTAGAAAAACAATTAATAACAAGCTCCAGCTCCGCCTGGATGTTGAGCTCTAGACTCTACTGTATGATGGATGCACTCTTGCCTGGTGGAGCCCTGCCCCTCAATCTTCATCGTAGGTAGTACTTGAATGATCTGAAATTTGTTTTTTGTTTTTTCTGGGAATGATAGTCCATAGACAATCTAGGATATTTTATCAGACGACTTGATCACTAGAATATCTTGAAAGAAGCTCATCATGTGATTTTTTCTTTCTTTCTGGTGGGATTAAGCGGATGATGAGCAGTTGAGACGAGATTGATAGGAGCTTGCAGTTGCATCGACCCCTAATTATTGTTTTACCAGCCGAAACCACTCAGCCTGAGACGACGGATGGATTGGCTGTGTTGAGCAATGAGGGCTGTGTGGGGAGAGTTGGGTGATCTTCTGGCGGTGGAGGGGCAGTACGCTTCTGAATCTTCAGAGATGGATATTCGAGTGCTGTGCATTTCGATCGAACGCGTTTCAGCTGGCGGAGACCATCGACACAGCAATCGGACAGTCGAGTATAAAAACCCAGCTGACTTTCTCCCAGCAACCAACAACAACCAAAAAACCAAAAAACCAAAAACCAACCAACAACAACCCAGAAACAACAACATGCAGTCTTCTTCAGTCAGGTTCCTCCCACCCTCAGCCGAATCAAAAACTCACCATCGATTCCCGAGTATAAGCAACATCAACCCAGAAAACCTGTACCAGGAAAGACTAAGCCCGATCCCAAGACCATCAAGCACCCATCTCGACAACCTCCCCCAACGATATCCCACCCTCTCCCACGACAGCTCATCCAGGCACACCAATCACAGGAACCCCATCGACCATGCCCATCTCCACCCTGCAAGCCACTACCACCACCACCACAGCACTCATCATCACCAACAATACCACCACCATCAAGACCGTCACCTCTCGAGCGAGAAACCAAGACCATCCTCGATCTCAAAGATCCCTAATAACCCTCCCCCTTCACAGCAACAACAAGCACTCAGACCATCCATCTCGCGCACCAGAACCCAGAGTCTCACCGAAGCTTCCCTCAAACCAACTTCTTCTTCCAGTAGTACTACAGCTCATCAACGCTCCTGGATCGTCCCTCTCAACTCTCTCCATCCTCGCCTCCCGTACCCCTTCCCCTTCGCCCGGCTCTTCTGCTCTCGCCAAGAACTCAATCACTTCCATCAAGAAAAACCTCGTCGAAATCCTCGATCGGTTCGCTTGTCCTCTCGAAGATAAACTCCTCTTGGTCGCTAAATTACATGCCGAAGTCGAAGGTACGCTTTTTTATATAAAAAAGAGGGAAAGAAAGAAACAGAGAAACAAAAGAAAAAAAAAACTGTTTGAATGTTTAAAGTGACCTTGGGTTTTTGACCTCTTGATTGGACTTGTTAATGTAGCCGAATTGACCCAATTAAACGAGCTTTCCGTCGGGCCGACCTACACCACCCACAATAGCAGAAGTAGCCGTCATGCACATCATGAGAGTGTGGACCGGAGCGCGAATCACAAGATCATGGGACAGACACAGACGGGCCAGCAGAACCATTCGCGGAAAGAGATCGAAGACATGGTCCGGTTGATCAAGGTAAGAGACCCCCTCCTTCCCAAGAACAAAAACAAAGGTATTGGCGTGTAAAAAAAAGAACTGATTGTGGGAATACAAAATAGCATGCCGATCGGATCAAAGCGCATGCGCTCCAACAGCTCAAACAGGACCTCAGTAACAGCCACTCCCAGTCCGATCCCCATCCGGACCCTTATACCCGTCCCCTCCACCCGCCTAGTGTCCATACGAGTAATAATAGTGGTCGTGTGGCCCTGCTGAACAGGACAGACCTCCATTAACTTCCCAGACAATCTGGCCCTCTCTCTCTCTCTCTACCCTGTTTATCTCTCTGTGTACAGCAATTATCGTGGTGCAAATCGCCCTTATCTTACGGACTTTATCACTCTGGTTCCCCCCAACTCTTCCGTGGTTCTTGAATACAGTCTTCTTGCTCATCTTCATCATTACCCCCCTCATTATCATATACATGACACAACAACACCAAAAAATACCCACAGAAGGTATTTGTTATTGATGCTTTCTATATATATATACACATGCTTTCTTAATGCTCTATGTATCAGCCCTCAGCCTGTCTGTTCTGTGTACACACCTTATCTCTTTGTAAGTCTTAACATGGCTCTTGGTCTGGGTGATATGTTAGTATCAGTAAACAATATCTATCCATCTAGTACTATAATATCCAAGCACTTTGAAACTCCAGATTAAGGGAAAAAAAATGAAAGACAATAATGATAATCCATGGTTATTCTTGTTGGAGTGAGAGCTGGAGAGAGCAATGATTTGAATTACAAAGTAATGGGACTCATCTATGAGTATGAAGACTATCTAGATGATCTGTGGCATGTGTTACAGTGATCAAGCACTTTGACCATCTCACAACAATTCTTGTTTTTTTTTTTTTTAATGTATGTGTTGGGTAGATGCTATAACTAACTTAACAAACTCCCTTCCCTTCCTGGTCGGAGTGGTAAACCACTTGTTGCATTGCGCCAACGGGAGGGAGGGACTTACGAGCAAGGTCCACCCTGCGGCCCAAGAGCATTAAGGATTTTGGTGGGGGGGGGTTTTTAAAATCAATCTCACACAAATTTGGTTGATTTGGTTTCCACTGGTTTTCACTTGGGCGTTCTTTTGAGCTGTCCCCATCTATCTACTAATTTTACTAATGGTAAACACATCTCCTTCATTAATGATGAGGATTGTAAGATTTCTGATTTCAGATACTGTACAGTGGGTGGACCGTTATTTTTGGCTGCTTGTTTTGGATCCCAGAGCTTCAAAGCACCAGATTGAAGTCATGGGGCTTGGTCAATTGGTGCAGAATAGGTCCCAAAAAATGAATATTTGAAAAAAATAAAAACAAAAAACAAAGTTTGAAAATTTGTGAAAAATAAAAAATAAAATTTGTTTTTCTCAAAAGCTTTGATATTCATTTTGGGGGAGTGGGAGTGCTGAGAGAAAGAAAGTTTGGGAAATGAGAAGAATGATTATAAATGAAAATTTTGGAAAGATTGGTTTCCAGATGGCTTCAAACAGCTGTTGAGTGAGGCATTCACCAGCCCACATTGCAGTCAAGCACTAGTATTTACAAGCGTAACAAAGCCCGCGAGCACCCGTAGGCGTGAGGTGCAAGCGGGGTTATGCCTGACCAACACAAGTCGGCATGAGGCTATGTCAAGAATAAGCGGAGGGATTCTTTTTTTTCAATTTTAAAATCATTCAATTTTTTATCGCTCTCATTGTTTGATCCCAGCTGAGCGCTGGTATGATGTCCAGAATCCTGCCGATTCAGTTTCCTCACAGTATCTATTGTAATTTTTCTATCTTTTTTTTGAAAACATTCGATTCTTGTAAGTTTCTTGGTCCGTTAATGTTTTCTCTATCAGCCAATTAAATTTTTAATTTGGCAATCAACCGTTGAGAGATAATGCCATACCCTCGTATTAAACAGAACACATGTGAAAGGTTTACTGGGCATGAACATTGGAAAAAAAGAGACGGGCTGTGAAAAAAAGAGCACTCCAAAAAAAGGCATGGCCTTGCTAGCCAGCGGCCTCGGAAAATCATGAATTCGTTTTATCATAGGGGGATACATAAGTGAATTTCTGAATTGACAGTTCCATAGAGAAAAATCCAAGATTTAAACTATGAAGAGAAAAAAAAACTCATTGAAAACTAAGGGCTGCAGGTGCTCACAGCATCGACTGCCACCAAAGCTTGCACATTCCCTCAAGCGGAACCGCTTCATTATTCCCAAGTCTCTCCCTGCGGGAGAGTCCCTGGTGCTTGCACACTCAACAAGCGGCTACAGTGCACCACGCCGCAGCAGGGACGCGGGCTTGTGTTAAGTTCGCACTGTTTTGGCTCCAATCTGGACAACCAACCTGGCCAAACCTTTTTTGGTTCCAATTTTTTCATTTATAATCATTCTTCCCATGTTCCACTCTTTCTTTCTCTCAGCACTCCCACTCCCCCAAAATGAATATCAAAGGTTTTGAAAAAAATGAGTTTTATTTTTTATTTTTCGCAAATTTTGAAACTTTACCTTTTGTTTTTATTTTTTCATATTCATTTTCTGGGACCTATTATGCACCACCTGAACAAGTCTCATAACTTCAAGTCTGTTTTTCAGAGCTCTGGGGTCCAAAACAGGCAGCCAAAAATAACGGTCCACCCACTGTACAGTGCAAAATGTGTGGTGCAGGATGAGGCAGGAGAATTGTAATCACCAAAAATGAAAGTTGAAAGCCATCCAAGGGCCTAACAAATCTAGAAAAATATGGAATGAATCTCCATGATCTTGTGCATGTTTTGCCTCCCCAAAACATGATCATCAGCCAAAAAATGGTGCTGCTACACACAATTGAAGAATGTGGATTTCCTAGCTCTCTTGGGCCGCGGGCTTGACTTAGTGCATAAGTCCCTCCTTTGGCCCCCCCCCTCCAATAGGGGGACTTGGTTAAGTTAGACACTATAAGGGTTCCTCTCTCAGTCTTCTTCTTCATCAAAACAAATTGCTGGAATTCCCTCTTTTCTCTGCTCTTTCTCTCTAAAATCCCGCTCCATCTGCTGGGTGCTCTCATTTTCTTTCATTCTCCTACTCCCACTTTCCGTTCTTCACTCCCTCTCTTCATCTTCCTTCATCTTCCTAAAAACCATCCTATGGTACCCACAACTGCTTGCCGCCTCAAATACATGTTGACCATCAACCACACATCTTGCTCCAATTGATCTGTCCCTCAGCAGTCTCCAACACGACAAACCCTCATCCTCAACTCCTTGCCAATTCAAACCCTGCAACTGCTTGGCTTGCATCTCACCACTACCCTCAGCCCAAACCAACACCATTCCCGTAAATATCCCCCCTTCAACTTTGCTTATTCTCTTCGTCCTTTCTCTGATCTCCCTCCTTGTTCACTCACATGGTACACCAGTGTTGACTACCAGCACACTCTGTCATTCTTGTCCCTCCAGCCATGTCTCTTCTTGATCTGGATCACTTGGTGATTGCCAATTTGGTCAGAAACCCTATCACCCATCTCTCTTCTTTTCGTAAAAGATCATCAATCAACCTTTTCTTGTTCTATGATTTCTTGTTTACTACCTGTCATTGTTTGATATTGTCTACTTGACAGCTCATGAGGTGGTTTCCCTTGAATGTTGAGGGTGTATACCCTTGACATCCACTGAGAGTACACTCTTGGCCATCAAGCCATACACTCTTGATGGCCAAGAGGAATACCCTTGGCCGTTGAGAGTGTACACCTCAATGGCCCAGAGGAATCCTCTTGGCCATCAAGAGTGTACTCTCAGCAGCCAGGAGGAATCTGTTGGAATATGCTTATATCTTGTATATAGTATGCTTCTACCATAACACAAACAACAGTGTATTTAGTCCACACTCTGTTGTCTCTGGAGTTTCCCTCCTTAGTGAATCTGAACCATATCTTTCCTTCACTCAGAAGTGTCACAAGACTTTCAGTCTGTGAACTTCAGTTCCTCATCCCCCTGTCTCGTCCATCAGGTTATGAGACCCATCGTCGCTCCGCTCCACCAAAATTTCACTTGTTCAATTTGTTTTGGCGGACGAATCGATCTCCTTCTGAATAATCCACGGTCAACATGCCTGCACGACCAACCCTTCGGCCTTGATCGGAAACGTTCCTACTCTCGATGGGAACTCGGTCTCTTTCCCGGCCTGGCGTACTCGTTTGGAAGAGCTCTTCGCGATTCAAGGCGTACACGATATTGTTACCGGAAAACTCGCTCGCCCGGAAACGGATTACAAGGACAAGGAAACCAAGGCGTTAACTCAAGGTTCTCAGCGGATCTGCTATGCCGAGGAATCCGCATCCGATTGGGACACCTTGTCCGACGTGGCCCGAGCGACTCTCAAGATGACGCTGTCTGTTGATCTAGCCATGCGATACAAAGAAACCAAGCCTGTAAGCACGCTATTCAAAACGATCTGCGATGCGTATGAGAAGAACACCCGTGCGAGGCGGATGATGTTGCAGGATGCATTCTGGTGTGCTCGCCACGATCCGAATCAACCGATTGCCAAGTGGATCGCGAAGATTCGAATCGCAGCTTCCGATCTCAAGTCAGCGAAACTGACCCCTGCGGATCAGCAAGTCTGTGACCGTCTGCTTCGTGGACTAGACGACACATGGAAGCCCATTCGCGATCATTTAGTTTACTCACCAAGCGAGATCTCCCTTGACGACGCTATCGGGGCACTGGAAGCGCACGAAGTCTCTAAGCAGGTCTCGTTCGATAATGTTCCGGAATCATATGCGGCAGCTGCGGTCGCAAAGAAGAAGAAGACTCCCGGTTGCTGGTCGTGTGGCGAGATTGGACACCACTCGTCGGCGTGTCCGAATGCTCCCCTCAAGAATAAAACAAAGGCAAAAGCTAACTTGGTCGAGGCTAGAGCCGGCGCCACATCAGCGGTATCTCTTGGAAACGGCGGCCCAAGTGACGACGAAGAAGAAGACGATTTCGACCCGGAAATCGATGTCTATTGGGGATGAAAACTGAAGTAGGAGAACATTTATATTCGTAGGAAGGGCAACTCCGGCACGACCTGAAGGCTAATTCCTCCTGGTGGTTTGGCGTAAACTTGTTATCACGACATCTCCCTGTTCCTTATCTCCAGCGGATCTCTGGCCCGATTTTATTTTTAATTTCTGTCCCCCATAAGTGATAATTCTACTAGCCAAATCAAGTAGCTTATAATTATCTCAATTATTTTTTAGTTCTGGTCTCAGCAAGGGGGTGTGTTGGAATATGCTTATATCTTGTATATAGTATGCTTCTACCATAACACAAACAACAGTGTATTTAGTCCACACTCTGTTGTCTCTGGAGTTTCCCTCCTTAGTGAATCTGAACCATATCTTTCCTTCACTCAGAAGTGTCACAAGACTTTCAGTCTGTGAACTTCAGTTCCTCATCCCCCTGTCTTGTCCATCAGAATCCTCCCGGCCGCTGCTGTTGGGGTCTTTTGGTTCATCAACCCCCAAACCCTGGTTGGTTTTGGAGGAGCAACTCCGAAACTGACCAGGGGTTTTATTTTTTTATACATATTTTTAGGGAGTTAACTCCCAAACCAGTCAAAGTTTTTGGGGGTCTGACTCCCAAATTCTAGGGAATCTGGGGATTGGGATTCAACTCTCCAATCTTTGGGAGTTGACTAACCCAGCCCCTGAGTATGATTGGGTGAACTGAACTTGTGAGCCTGGGTCTCAAAAGTGACAGCAGGACACAAGGATTGGCGGGCTATTCTAGATGTATTTCAAGGGGATGAAGAAATACAACTAGAATAAGAGAAAGGGAGAGAGAAAGGAAGAGAAATGAAATGAATAATCTTTTAATTGTTTATTTATTTTATGATCAAGTTTTAATGCAGTCTTACTTTCCTTAGAGGATGGCTGTTATTAAGCGGAATTAATCTACGCCTCCTAATCAAATGAAACTGAAAAGGGTACCTGGTATTGATATGTCAATCCGGCCACTATTTTTTAGATCTAAGATCAAGGGTCTTTAAAGGGAAACCTATGTGGTTTTTAGTTATACCACCAAACAGAGAATGAAGATGACTTGATTTGATATGATGATGTTTGAGGCAGAGGTTTAGTAGAAACAGAATGGAGTAATCATTCAGAGAGACAAAGAAGAAACTTAGCAGAAAGATGCAAGCTGAACTTGAAGGACTGACTTACATATTGGTGATCCTGACACAATGAGTGGGAAGATTCCAATAGGTGAGGGACTCCTAACGATAACACAGCGATGACATGGCGGTGAATCCAAGTTGAGGTTTGCTGATTTCTGGTCTGAGTTGGTTCTGGGTGGGTCTGAAGCTTGAAGATCCTGAAAATGCAAACTCAGTATCCTCTGAGAGAATTTTCAGAGTTGGATTACATAATCACAACATGTACATGTGGTAGAGAGTGGGAATTCAAACTTGGTTGATATTTCACAAGGTACGGTGAAATATTACAAAGTCTGTGAAGGAGAAGAGTAGTGTAAAAGTGTGTAGTGGTGACTAAGGTTAAAATTAAATGAGGAATTCATTTCTGAAGTCAGAATTTAATGTAAGATTAAGATGAAAAAGTTACAGTAGCAACTTGAGTGAAAAGGAGGACTTAAGCAGTCTTTTGGCCAGCTTGGCTGGCTCTAAGGCTGACATTCCCTACCACCAAAGAGGTTTCATTTCCAAGAAATGGAACCTTTAATCTGCTGCTTAGTGTGTTGATTTCATGCATTTCTTTTGTACAAGCAATTTTTCATGTTCAGCAATTTAACTCTTATACTTTTCTAAATACATCTTGACATCCCTGTTTTATGCTCTCAGTTGTACTTTAATCATTTTATTCAGTATGTATTCATAGTTAATCTTACATTTTTATATGACAATTTTCCAAAAGAAAACACAGGAGTGATCATTATGACATCCATCTTGAGAAAAAGGTATACAAGAGAAATCCTCTCAAATGTCTGTACAAAGATATTAGAGAAAATTGAGCTAAAAAATGAAATCAAATAATCTATAATTATCTTATATTCAAGCTTAGAGTGTTCTTAAATCTTTATCCATACTACATAAACTAAAAACTCATTGCTGTGGGCATGGCTGTACCAGATTCCTGGAATATTTGTGTTTTTACTTTCAGAAGATCCTACCTCATTGTGTAATTTGAGAAAAGTTGAGCATCCCATTGAAGAGGTGAAAGTTTGGCTGGAAAGAAACACAAATGGGTATCTTTGTAGATTTGAGAGTCTCAGTTATACCTCCTATCTTTTCTTCATCAAATTTTCAGAATCACAATAACTTCCTTAAAATTGCTGTGGAATTTGAAGAAGTTTTCTGGCTCAATTTGTATATGTGAGAATTGACCCAATACATATCTCAGTAGTCTGTGATGAGCTAAATGTTGATTATGATATAATATATTTCAAGGAATCATCATTCCTTCAATACATGGACTCATTACTCAATGCAATCATCTCTGTTCCACTGAATTATTTCTTTCTGTTCCTCTCAGATTAAATTAAGATATGTAGCTGAAAACTTCACCTATTCTACTCCTGGGTATAAGCTGGTAGTTGTAGGTGTCAAGGCATTACTGTACTTATCAAGAAACAATAAACACAAATGTTCTTATTGATCATCTTACCCAAGAAGGCAGCTATCTTGCTATCAACAATGTAAAATTTTATCAGTTGAATTGGAATGATTCTGGGGAACTCTTTATGGATTTGATTGCTCTACAGAGAATCAAAAATGAAAATTTTTGCCATTTTGTTTGCTCAACATACATAACCATGGAGAATCACATGCAATGTCCAGCAGCAAGTTTTTTGAAAGCTAATATATGAAGACCTTAAGTTTTCAGGGTTTTTCTTTATGTCTATGTGATTGTAATGGACCACTGATTTATGAAAATAAGGAATGAGAAACATGCATCAAATGATTTGCAATATGTATACCAAGTGTTAAAATTTTCTTGTTCTCATTTCCAAAACTTCATCCTATCTTGGGTACCATTTTTCACCCTATCAGTTCAGCTGTCCTTTCAATTTATGGTTCTAGCTCTTTGATTTAGAGGCTTCACTTGATGATTTTGAAATTTGATGAGACAATAACTGTCCAGACTCCAAATCATATAAGAAGCAAAGCAGATGTGTTCATTGGTAGCCATCTAATCAAGGCAGGATAGGAGGAACAAGCTAATCTAATCCCATTTTTGTATCCAGTCAGTGATTCTTTTTTTTGTTGCCCAGTAACACAGTATGTATCATATATATCATGTCCATATGTATGGTTGAAGGCTGAAAAGCTTCCATACATGTGAAGATAAATTGATTCAATACTCTTAACCTAACTTTTCACTTGAATCTCATTAATTTTCACAGCTGCTACCCAATCAATCTTAGATAAATGATCTGCTTCATGAAATCGACTGGGTTTACTACCTCTGATTACAAGTTTTTATGAAAAAAAATTAGAGCTCCAGTCACAAGCTGTGTTTCCCTTCTACTTAGAATGAAATGAGCTTGAAATTGTACCATTTTGATTGGGCAAAAGAATTAGAATTTGAAACTTCCTGAACTTCTTATTTCCTACTACAACTGAAGAGAAGACAGAATTCAGAATTTAGCATGGATGTTGACTTGGGCCTCGTTTGGCCGTCCACGATCGTTATAGGCCGTCGTCTCAAATCGTTAAATCAGAATTTAGGTTTGATGATTCCAGGCTGTGCAAATGACGCAGCCTGAAAATCCTTCTCAAACTTGCTGTGAGGCCTTATGACGGAAAATTTTGGGGGGACCCAAAATGTTGGAAATGGCAGGGAATATATCTCGCTGACCACTTCCGTCATAAAGAAAGTGGATATGACGTGGCCTCCCAAACACCATCGTGAGGCCCCGTCTTCAGCTGTGCGCCCCCGAAATATTCGCCATGATCGTTTATGACGATCATGGACGGCCAAACGAGGCCTTGGTTATAGCAGGACGGTCGTCACGAGCTGATCATCATCAGTCGTTTGGCGCTTGCTGCCGAAAAAAAAAGAAAAAGAAAAAGTCTATCCCGAGCGTCACGGTCAAGTACTCAACTCGGCTTGCCTTCCATGAGAATTTTGCGCGGCCGAGCCGGCCAGAAGAGTCGCGCCTTGACTAATGGCTAGACCTATTTCGCGCTGTCCCCATGGTTCTAACTTCTGCGTTCTCGGCCAAGGTGGGTTGCAATGACGATAAATCTTGTATACATACAATCGATAGCACGGCCGCCAAGCCATTCAAATCCTCCAGAGCTGGATGATTTGTGGATATCTTGATATGGAACTTACCTGTTTCTATCAGCTTACACATCAATCTTAGTCTGCCCTCTCCACCATCTCCATGTCATGAGTCGCCCTTGCCCATAGTCTCTGGTCATTTGGTAACGACGAGAGAATTATTTGGCCCTACCGCACTGCAATCATCAGGGCCTTGTCGCCCTAGTCGCACAGCCCTTTGTCCCATCAGCCGACGCAATCTTGGGCCGATATACCTGGTCTCACTTCGAGCAGAGTTAATCAATTGCTCCAAGATGCCCCTTAGGAAATCTGTCACATCAACGACAAGACTTCCTTCGTAAATAGCCAGTTCATATTTTATTCCTGATCGGTGATCTATCCTTCGCCTAAATCTAGGCCAATCCGCTTCAAGCCTTCGTTCTCGATCAAGTTTTCCTTAAAACGCTGATCAAGAATTTGATGATGAAATCAATCGCGTTCGTTTTGTTTCTGGCCACGATCAACTTCCGAGAAGCTTTCGGATGGGCCGATCGGGGCAAGCAGGTTGTTTCTGGCTACTATCCGGTAAGCCGATTTTTTTGTTTTGGTTAGTCATGACCAACCTGGAGAAGAAAAAGGTGCACTGAACATGTTGCCGATTCTTACACACTTCACCTTCTTATATCAAAGTCTTACAATGCGCATATCCAACCACCATCCAAAATCCCTTGGAGCCATTACACACACATTGATTATTTTGTGGCACCCGTGCAAAATGATCCGGGAAATCCACTCAAGATTGAAGACGAGAAAAACCTCAAGGAGACAGTCGAGCTGGCCAAGGCTCACAATGTATCCATTTCTTTGGTTGGTGGCTCCTTTTTTTTTTCTGCAAGAGAATTTCCGGGAGGAGACTCGCAGAGCTAAAACGATGCCTCTTCGGGAATCTAGTGCATCGGCGGCTGGACAGGTAGTAAGTTCTTTAGCAACCTAGTAAAAACAGATGAATCCCGTCAGAAGTTCGCAAGCTCCCTGGTCCAAATCATCAAAAAATACAAGTTTGATGGCGTCGATTTAGGCGAGTAATACATAGATTGATAATCATCTTTACGAAATGAGGATCTGGCTTGAACCTGACAGCGTATTTTCGGCGTGTTTTGCAGATTGGGAATATCCCGGTGTACCTGGAGAAGAAGGCAACATGATTTCCCCCTCAGATACAGAGAATTTCTTGAAGTTTTTGAAAATCTTGAGGAAGAAATTTGGGCATGATTATCGGATCTCGGCGGCGGTGTCAGTCAAGGGATTCATGGGCGCAGATGGCAAATATCTCAAGGACACAAAAGCCTTCTCCAAAGTACTGGATTATATTACCATCATGGTCAGACAATCTCTTCTTGAATTCCAAAACGACAAAAAATTGATCCAGATTAAAATTCTCTGCAGGCATACGATATATATGTCAGCGGGGCTGGAAAACAGCTTTCCGGACCAAATGCACCGCTCTTCCACACCTGCTCAGATCCGGGATCCAAATTTTCGGTTTCGGGCGCAATCAAGAGTTGGATCAAGAGCGGCTTCGAATCCCGGAAGATCTTGCTTGGAGTGCCCGCATACGGCTATGCATACACCCTGCTATCCTCTGAACTTCAACCCACCAAGTTCTCAGGATTGAAGCAAAAGACTAGCCTGTTGTTCCAAAATACGACCTCGAAACCTCCTCAAGGAGGCAAGATCTCCGCTACTCCTGGGCATTGGTTATATCACGAGCTTTACCTGGATGAGAAGCTCGCCAAAGATGGAAGAAGAGGTACTTCAGGCTATAAGCGTCATTTTGATGAGTGTACGCGCACTGTAAGTATGTTTTGCTTGATTTCAAGTCTTGCATGTGTTTGGACATATCAAAACTGATCCTCCTTATAAAACCATGCAAACATTTTTTTTTTTTTTTTTTTTTTGTTAGCCTTTCCTCTTCAACAAAGAAAACAAAAACTTGATTGTTTACGATGATAGACGATCGATCTTTGAGAAGACACAGTTTGCCAAGTCGAAAAAGCTTGGCGGGATCAATATCTTCGATACTACCGGTGACACCCTCGATCGAAAACTGGTCGACACTATTCGTGTTCTTTACCCAAAGAAACAAACTGATAAAACTTTCAAAAAATCAAAAGAAGATAATAATAATAAACATAGCTTTTCGCTCAAGAAATCTTGTCGTAAACTCCAAAAATAGGATCTTACAAATTCTTGTCAATGACTTTGACTTATATAGTTTCTCCATTCCACATACATATATTTAAAAACAAACTTTCGTGATTCGGAGCCAGAGAACAATTCCCTGATACATAAACATCTTTGATTTGTAGATTAATAAATATTGTACTTGATCAATTATTTTTTTAGTGGACAGTTTTTGCAAAATCTTGGGGGTATTTCTTATTGGTCTATTCTGATCTTCTAATCTGCGTGCACTTTTGCCTAAATCTATGTAAAAGTGGTGCCATCGTCACATTGAACACATTTATAGGGGGTTCACAATTGAAATCTATGAAGACTTGATCAGAGCCAATTTTAAGGCCCCAACAACATTTCAGGATTTTGACAAGCTGGACATTTTTGGGGGTTTCTGAACGATGAAGTACAGCTTCATTTTTCAAGCAGTAGTTGGTCAATACATGTGAATGGGCCTTAAAATTTGTAAAGTTTAATTATGAACCCCCCTATGTACATCTTCCGGACCTTTGTCTCCATCCAGCTCCCAACATCTGCAAGTTTTCTTCTTTTGTATGCGGGGAATCCTCAACCGATGTCGTCCCCTGTTATCAAGTCCAAGCACCTGCAACGGCCTCGTCTAGCCAAGTTTTGGCTCCCGTTGGTGGCAATCATGATGGCCTCAATTTTGGTATGTATGTCAAAGGTCCCTCGATCCGGAAGCAGAAGAATGAAGAAACCGGGACTGATCCGACGCGGAGCTGTTCATGATCTCATCCAATGGATGCCTTTTCGAAGTACCACAAACTGAGTGGGCACGGCCAACCAGGAGCAAGCTATCTCGTCACAGGTGTGTATGTTCCCATTCCTACCAGACAGCCTGATTGTGTAAGGACCTTGTTCGGTGCACTTTGGCTGATAATGAATCGCACATCTTTTCAGGCTCCTTCACATCCTCGTCCCTCTACGTCCTCCGCTACGACCGAGCAACTCGGAAGCTGCAAGTTGTCCGGTCCGTCCCTGCACACGGCCCTCATCAGTATCTATACATCGATCGTCCGAACCAAAAATTATATGCAACCAGTTGGGCAGAGCCCGCCCATCTCAGCGCCTGGTCTATCGAACGCGATCACCCTGGAGGCCGCCATCCTCGGTTGACTCTGATCAACCAAGCTCCTATCAGTTGGTCGAAATTTCTCTCATCCCTCATCCGGGGTTTCTTTGTCACTTCGATCAGTCGGGGCCAAGATCAGCTTCATATCAGGCGAGACTGAATTATTCCTCCCTTCGGTTACTAGCCGCCGTATCGTCCTACATCACTTCCAAATACGGCTTACTGTTTTCCGTCGGCGGGCCAACCGGTGAAGTCCATCAGCTGAACCCTGAAACAGGCGCGATTGAAGAGAAACTTCATGAGATCCTCTTCGTGCCTAAAGATGCACTCGAGAATCAGGACAAATCTCGCAAAGCACTCGTAAGCTTCTCAATCAACCAGTCCCTTCATTTTAATATCGATAAACAGTTCTCAAAACGAACTTGGTCATGAACGACAGAGGAACGGTAGCCACGCGGTCGAAATTTCTTCTCTGAACCAAGTCTTTGTTCCACATCTGTAAGGCTGCTCCCTTTATATATTTGAACACCTGTGTCACTTTTCTTTCTCCAATCTACAGGGATTCTGAACAGCCATTGACGTCAGTTCAGTGGTCATAACTCGATATGGATATACGACTTAGATTCTCAGACGAAGACCTTGGAATTTTTCTCGGAGGTTCATAGTCCCAACGCTCATGATGGGCCGCGACATTCGGTGGTCAGCTCAGATGGACAGAGGCTTTATGTGATAACTGAGCACAGTGGGTAGTTTTGGTTCTTGACACAATAACATCTTACTCATCTCATGCAAGGAAACCTTCAGCATCGAGAGTGGACCTCTACAATGTTGCGCCCTCGGGGATCGTCCACCATCAGGTATCACTATCCGTGATCGAAGATCCACATGAGCACTCGAAATACCGAGGCGACACCGTCCGAGTCTTGCCCAGCTCGCTTGTAGATTCGTCCCACGAATATATCTTTGCGACGACCAGGGGGGCAGATCGCTCGCAACGCGGCCAACTAGCAGTCTTCGAGTACAACTCGGATACTCGCACTCTGAAGGTTCTGCTCCGCTGGGAAACTCCAACCAGCGGGGGCAAGGCAAACGCTATAGAATTCAGCCCGCTCAAACTACCACGGAATGTGGTCGAGTTGGTCCTGACCGATGATGACGTGGGATGGGTTAGTGTCTTGGAATGCGATCTCTCCCATCAGACTGTCACAGTCATTTCCAGTTGTTTGATCGATCAGAAGGGCGTCGGAGCTAGTCATGCTGTCTGGATATAAAATCCTCATCTTTCAATCCTCCACGATGTCTCCTTCGCTTCTATCTCCTCTTGAATTTGCTTCATATCCACCCTGGCTTGTACTTTTTATCTCTTGAGTCTATGTGCCTGTTTCTTATATCTTGATCGATATCCACTCCATGTAATAACATTCCGTTCAATAAAGACTTGATTGATAGCATAATTCAAAGCAATTGCATTCGAAATAACATGCCAATGACCCCTCAAAATTGTTCGTGTTGTATCGTTATGAGAACGTGGGCGGAGTTGCTCCTGCCCTAACACGTGTAGCTAATTGAAGAGTATGGCACGAATCAGGTACTCTTTGGCAGTAAAGATAAAGCTTATGGAGTATATAGCTGGTAAACTTGCCCATTAGTCATTCAACCGGCCAAGATCGCTCTTCAACATGTCGATGGCCCCGCTTGGCCAAGCTGCCGTCCTGTCGCGTCTGTAGCTTCCCCATCAAGTGTCGGTGCGAACAGACCGCTCTCGACGCGCGACTCTTGACTCTTCGAGACGCTGGTCGCATGAACAGCCATTGCAAAATATTCCACTCAATCCAAACCGCGTATGTACCCTGTGTTTCCCAAGGTATAAAGTCCATAAAGAGGTCCAGACTTCATGTCCGTTTCTCAAAGAAACCCGGCTGAGTTTTACAATACTCATTCGACTTCAACAGAATTCTGGCCCAGATTGGGACACACATATATGTATGCAAATGGGGTACATAATATGTTCAATGTTAGCTGCTTGTGTATGCATTCCTTCTGGCTGGACTGCTCGAACCACTCTGAAGATGTGCCGGAGCTGTGAAGAGAAGATATGTAGTTTCATTTCGGAATCGTCCCGACGGATTATTTTGTATCTGCATCTGCATTATAGCACACCATGGCCTCACCACCTGAGCGGAGCGTGCAAATTGTGACAGTACATAGTAGCCATCGTCCCAGCGAGAATTGACGTTCTTTTGGAGTATGTTTGTTGCGCAACTCTTCCCAACGGGACAACCGTCTTGCTTGTGTATAATTACTCGTTTGCATGAATCTATGCGAGTGGAAAGTTATTGGACTCCTGAATGTGAGCTTCTCTCCTGCTTACGGTTATAATAATATCTTGAATACGAAAGACAAACAAGATAATATTCTAGGACGAGCGGTTCCGCCTCCTCGTACCAATTGTTCTGCTGAGTCTGAAGTCTGAGTCTGGGTCTGGGTAAGATAACGAGACCCTTTTGGTTTCCGTTCGACTCTACAAGTAACACATCCTCACTGCAGGTATTCTAAACGCCTTTCCCATAAGAGAGATATCCGCTTTTATCTTGCCTTCTTTCTGATGGACGAGCCCAAGGTTGAGGTAAGTCTCGTTAGATTCCCTGGTCGACCAGGTCTGAGCCTCTCGTCACCTCTCCTCGATCAGAAACATAAATAGATAGTAGAGCAGGACTAATCAGTTTTGGATACTGGCGGACTGTCGACGGTCTCCTTCTTCAAAAGATTAGCGACGTGATTCGCGAGACCATCCAGTCTGATGACCCCAACGTGACTATCGCAAACCTCGAAAAGTAAAATCAACTATTTAATTGGAACTATTTGTGAAAGCTAATCAAACGCTCATGTTGGCTGGGAGTTCTTTCTTTGTGTGTGTGATCGATTGGGCAGGTATTTCACCGAAGACGCCCACCTCCATTTCTCGATCTTCAAGCAACCTCATGTCGCCCGAGGCCGTCAATACCTCAAAGGGATCTATAAACTCTTGTGCATACATCTTTCTCTGATCAGCTCCATAGCGGATGATGTTGAGCAAAGATCTCTAAGCTTTCGTTTTTGTTAAACAATTTCATTAGTCGACTGGTCACCATCAACAATAAGGTCGAAATCCATTCAGTGATGTTTAGTCAGGATGGATTGTTGGGAGCAATAGGTCAGCACTCATCTCTCTGTCTCCTTTTTTATTCTTTTTACTGGCCAAAAGTTATCAATCTGATCAAGCATGCTACATATGTTCTTACATACTATCATCTTCCTGAAAAAAAAAAAACCCACGAATGAAGAATGCACTCAAAGTGGACAACTTCGACTTTGGTCAATAAAGTCTACGTTCAAATTTTCGTGTATCCTTCGACTAGACTTGCGCAAGAATCGGAAAGGAAAGTACCGGATTCGACGGTGAGTCAGCATAGGAGAGAAAGAAATAACTGGGGGAATAGTTCCTAATAGGTGTTTTTGAATTGATGAGATTCCCCTTTGGTGTTTACTCATTCAAACCAGTCAACGATACGATCTGTCGACAGAAGCAGATGGTTCTCGGTGGCCCTTGCCGCCCGGAGTGGGCTTCATGGTCGATCTTCTTTCCTGTTTGATGGCCTGGCTCATGGCTCTCTTGGGGCAGTTCCTTGCTCACCGAGGCTTACTCAACCTCTGAAGAGACTCAATCTCCCTTGATTTGTCATTTTAGAACACGGAGTTTCAAAAAAAAAAAACAGTCATGATGATCATCAAGAGCCGAAGATTCACATATCATTCTAATTAATTAATGAGTAGATCCCTTCCTGCTCTGGCTTTCTAAGTTTACAAATAAGAGAGTGGTAACTGGCTTATTTCTTGATGAGATGGAAATTGGAATCACCGATCATTGGTGATCGATGTGGGGAGTGCCTCCACCGATCACACCGCCCAGTGACGGCAGTGAGTGGCGAGCAATCATGTCGTCATCGACGAGAGAAACATGTGAAAGACTATTAAACCCTCTGAGTCATCCCTTGGACTGGAGTGGTTGGTGCCATTGATAGAAAAACTGCTGATTACCATCCACTGAGCTGAGTCGCCCCCTGCTTTTGCTCGCTTAAGAACGACTGGATTTTTTCAAAGGCCCACATCCCCTGTTGAGTAAATGACATTATAATTTTTTCTACTCCTTCCAGCTATCTTTCGAATTGAATGGTTCTCAGTCGAATCTATTGGCAACGGAGCCAGCTAACCCATCTCAACTTCAACCCTCCTCGTCTTGTCCAAGTAAGACTCAACCAGAATCCTCAATACTATATAGGAAACTCAATCAGTCGAGCTAGAACCATCATGATGAGTGACCATCTAAACGCGACCGGACTCACCGCAGAGGAGTCCAGAAAATTAAAGTCTCGCTCGGAACGCGAGGACGAAAAAACCATCATTCGTTGTCTCAAAGAGGTGAGTGGTTCTCAGTCCAAGTACCCAGCAGTCTGTCCACTGAACTAACTCAAGCAAGGGTCGATCGGCTGGTTAGCTTTACAGCTGCAAGCCATCGGAGAAATCCTACGAGATGTATGCCGAAAATGCAACGTTCCATGATCCACTGGTAAGTCCTTGCTCTCATCTCTTGTCTTGAGAGACGCAAAAAAACCCACGGACAGATTCATGGGATCAATCAATCAATAAGAAAGGGGATCATGTTTCTGGTATGTTTGTTATTGTAGACGATTGCGACACCTCTATCGATGATCAAATCCCAATTCAATGGGATGCCGAAGATGTTTAGTAGCTCGACGATCGACAAATTCGAGCTCCTTGAAAGCCCGCCAACCTTGCCAAGCCCACCCGGACCTGATCAATTCACTGTGATCAATCAGGATGTTACATGTGAAGAAAATAACCACTGCTTGTTTTTAACTTGGTTTCCAGTTAGAAATCATTGCTGACTTGCGAACTTTGACCTTGCACAGATTATCGGGACGGCAGTAAGTTGAAGACTTTGAACTCCTTGATCACTTTAGAGAGAGATCCTAAGGGAAAAGTGATCAGACATACTGAAGAATGGTCTCATGATAAGGTTACTGGTATGTCGATTTTTTTTGCTGCAGTGTGCTTTTATTAGAAAGAAGAAACGAAATGCTGAAGCTAAATTTCGAAAATCTATGTATCTAACAGATAAATCGGATGGGTTTATCGGTCAATTAAATGAGTGGAGGAAGAAGGTGGCGGCTGAGGTGATTGCTAAGTTGGTTCCAGAAGAGCCACCCAAAGATACAAAAGAAAAATAGAAGTCAATGTTTGTCCTCAGCTCTAAAAGAACAAGCAGTTCAAAATAGCATTGGAATCGATTGGACAATTAAAACAAATCATCATGACTGTGTAATTATTTATCCGATGCCAATTTAACTTCTCCTGCGTCACTTAAGCTTATCTCTTAAGTCGGCCTTTCGCCAGATCATAGAACCCACATTTCCTGATCAATCAAGGCTTGGAATTCTATGAAGGAATCGTGCCATATCTCATACCTTTACTTGAATCATCCCCAGATTTTTTCAGCAAAAGGATAAGAGGGTAGCAACGTGCGCGGAAATTCAAGTCACGGTTCTGAACAAAACCACCCTAATGCCAATGTGGGCTTTAAGTTTATGTTGCCTGCTGCGTAGGCTAATTGTCGCGGAAGTTAATGCGCAGTTATGTATGTTAAAGAACCCAAAGTGTTGTGGCCGGGAGAAAAGAGGAGAGATCGAAAACAGTTGGATTTATGTAGCTCGAAAGATGAACAGCATCACACGGTCATCGACGGCGTATTCGAAGGTCTTCCTCGGCGTTATCCTTGCAACTGGCGTTGGCACAATAGTCATTCAATGGATCTACCGTCCCTTCAAATCTACTAAACGCAAACCGGATCATCCGCGAGGCACTTCGACTCGACCTGCTGGACACTCATCGGATTATCCTCATGTCGCTCACAAGGTTACTGATTTCATCGGTCCGTTCTCTTACTTGCCTTCCCCTGAAGAATTGTTTTGTTTTGTTCTTGTGTAAATAGTTACTTGAAATCACATTGTGTTGGCTCGTGCTCATTGTGGTACTTTTTATTTAGGAAACACACCGTTGTTGCGGATTAATTGTTTGAGCGATAGCACGGGTGTTGAGATTTGGGCTAAATGCGAGGTGAGAATGATTGGTTTTGATGGCATCTTATCTTACATACAATATCGACACGTTCATCTTTTCAATAACTAATAAAAAAACGGACACCGACAAGTTTCTTAATCCAGGAGGCTCGATAAAAGATCGGATCGCATTACAAAGTGTGTGTTAAGAATGAATGACTCCAAGCACGAGCTCGAAGATGAGAGAAAGGAGAGAACGAAATGATTGATGACAAACAAACAAACAAAAAACCCCCGATCTGTTTCTTTGTGATCGAACCGAAATATTTTTTGGGAATAGTCATACGAGAGGCGGAGAAGAAGGGGACGATTGTCCCTTATGCTTCGCCTCGCTGTAGGGTGTTTGAAGGGACCAGTGGCAGTACCGGGATCAGTCTGGCCTTGGTCGCGCGCGCTTTGGGATATGAAGCTGGTCCGTCGTCTCTCTTTTCTTTCTTGACCAAAAACTGGGGCTTCCTATCTATCCGACTTTCTTCAATCGATCTGAATCATATGTTCCTTCTTCCCCGACGACTACGACGACGACGACGATGATGACGGCTCTCTCTCTTCGCTCGTGGATTTTCAGAAATCGTCCTGCCTGATGATACGGCTGTCGAGAAATCTCAATTGATTGAGAATATGGGCGCGACGATCGTCAAAGGTGTCTTGAATTTCCTCTCCTTTCAAAGAAAACCATAAATCCTTTTAAGAAAAATTTTGGCGTAGAAAAAAAAGCAAAGCAAAGAAGAACGACGGACTGATTTTTCCATCAATGATTTCTATCTCAAACCCGTTGGAACGACGTGTTAGTGAGACCAGTGAGTATCTCGAACCGATCGCATTACGTGAATGTGGCTCGAGATCGGGCCCAGAGGTTCATCGAAGAAGGCGGAAAGGGACTTTTTGTAGACCAATTCGAGAACCAAATGAACTGGCTAACCCATTATCAGTGAACAAAGAACTCCATCCGAATTCTTTTCTCCCTTCCGTGTATCGATGATGATTTTTTTTTTTTTTTTTTTTGATATAAAGAACAACAGGGCCAGAGATATGGCAACAAAGTCGCGGGAAAGTGGATTACTTTGTGGCGGGTGCCGGGACGGGAGGGACGATTGCGGGGGTCGGGAGGTTCCTGAAATCGGTGGCCTCGGATGTTCAGCTCATCTTGGCCGATCCTCCTGGCTCGGGATTATTCAACAAAGTAAAATTCGTCATCTTTTCCGCCCCATTCTCTTTTGATTTCACTTCTCAAATGGCTTGAACCTTGATTGTGAATCCATCCGCACAAAAAAAAAAACAAACAGGTGAAACATGGGGTGATGTTTTCGAAGACCGAGATCGAAGGTAAAAGACGCCGCCATCAGATCGATACGGTCCGTCCTCAAAAAAAAATTCAAGCTTAATGAAGCATTCTTTTCACGACTCGGAATCGAGCGGGATGATTGACCATGCTCCCTCCTCTCTCATTCAACTTGTTGGAAAAAGGTGGTCGAGGGGATCGGGTCGAATCGATTGACCGGAAATCTGGCCCAAATCATCGATCTCGTGGATGATGCAATCAGGTACCTCCCTCTCTCTCATTCCCAAAGAACTTTTGAAGATCCACAATCTCTTATCCCATCATTTTTTTTTTTTTGTGTGTGTGTGTGTATAATAAATCGGGATGTTTTTTGTGTGTGTGGAACAGTGTGACGGATGAAGAAGCGATCGAGCTCTCCCGCCTGATCTTGAAAAACGAAGGCTTGTTCATCGGCTCTTCGTCCGCCGTCAACCTGGTAGCCAGTCACAAGCTAGCCCAACAGATCAAGCTCGGGCGAGAAGATCAACAGCAGAGCAATGGCGAGCGGACAAGGATCGTGACGATCTTGTGTGATTCGGGACAACGACATCTGTCCAAGTTTTGGAACGATCAGTTCTTGGTCCAGCATGGGTTTCTTAATAAACCTTCTTCTTCTTCTGAATCTGAATCTGAATCTGTTTCTCCTTTTTGATGAGTGAGTTTTGATTCCAAGATCATTCGATTCACAGATCATTTTTTTTGCAATTCTATTCTCTCAGACGGTAATGTGAAAGGTTTGGGACTAGTATTTATGATCCAAGTTTACTCGCAATGATGATGAGCTTTTTGACGTCGGATACTCAAAACGAGGTCCACATGTAGCTGTGTATCTCTGATCGTCCAGTTCTCTACCCCGGATGATCTTGAATGTACCTGAGTTCAGACTCAACACACAAAACAAAATGGGCTCACAAGTGTGGAGGACGAGGTATCAGGGGGAGACGACGAGACACACGTATAAACTGGTCCTTGCAGGTCGGGTGCCTTTCGGGGGTGTTGTGGAACCATGATTATTATTGTTGCCCTCTTTCCCTCCTTCCGTATATCATCATTTGTATTTTTGTATTTTGTTTTATTCTTATTACCATTCAATTTGTTTTTTAGTCTCTTTTTCTTCTTCTTACAATATCAAAAAAAAGAAGGAAATGCAGTGTATGAAGAAGGATTATTAATGGCTGCTTTGTTGTTGTTGTTTTTGTATGGGTGTTTGTCTCTCCTCATCTCTATCGTTTTTTATTATGGAAAACAGACAAGAAAAAAAAAAAGATGGAATCTGGGAGAGAGAGAGAGAAAGGAAGCAAGATATAGTGTGATTGTGGGTGAGGAGCAAGAAGAAGTGATTAGAAAGACCGATCGAGCTGGGCAGGATCGGATCCACGGCGAGATTTCCTAGACTGCCGATGCCTGTCGAGATCGATACCGGATTCGGGCCCATCAGCCGACCGTTTTCTCTGAGGGTGGTCATCCGAACGCGCCTCCTGATTATCCTCGTCCTCATCGTTGTCGGAATGTTTGCTACTATGCTTCTGAGGATGTTTGTCGAGGGTGGAAATAGGAGGGGCGGAGAATTCGGCGATCTCCTTGGCCCGCTCTTGGTCCCGGATCGACGGGTGTAGCTTCCGCTCGACTCGCTGTTGGGCATGCAGTTCGCGGACTAATGAGGACCGGGGCTCTTTTAAATGCCTTTTTGTTTTCAATCAATCATAATAATAAGAAGATATGTAAGTGAATATAAGATAGATATTGTCAAGAATGGAAGCTGGACTCAACATGAAGTTGCAGAATCCGCCGCGGTTGCATTCGCCCATGTCGTTCTGTCTGCAACAGGCTTCCCTGAAGTCGGTGACTGGTGAGAGTTCGGCGAAGAGTGGTCGACCTGGATCGAGTGGAAACTTGAGTTGATGATGATGGTAAAGAGAGATGGAGATGGATATATATGACTGACCAGCATACCATCTCTGGTTGAAGGCATCGACGGCGATCTGCGCCTCGTCCTCCCAATCGTATCGAGCATAGACGTTCCCGATGAGATGGTCGCCGACGTTATCGCAGACATGCATCTCGAGCAGATTGCCATACTTGACCAGTTCGCAGAACACGTCCTCGTAGAACGTCTCGAAGTAGGAGGTCAGCTCGGCCTCGGAGAGCTTGCAGTTCGGGTCGTGCGCCGGGTTCTGGTACATGTTGGCGATCACTAGCGTCTGGGAGAAGGTCGGCTTGATGTGCTTCCGTGAACACCGCTCCCCGTGCCGACATGCGCCGATCTTCAGGTAGAACGAACAGTTCACTTTGTCTTGCTCGGAGCCGTAGATGTTGCTCAGATGTGAGGCCATTTCTTGCGTTTTTTGGGTTTTTGGTTTTTTTTTGGTTGAATTTGGGTTGAAGATGTGGAAGTGGGGGCAGGGGGGTTGTATGTATGTTGGGTTTGAGGTTGAACCACTTTCATTAAAAAAAAAAAAAAGAAAAAAAAGACAACCAACCACCACCATGAAGAAGCAACTCAGCAGACTCATCAAAAACCAACTCAAACTCAACCAAACACTAAAAACCAAAAACAACAACAACCTACTCCTACTCAAACCTCAAACATCGAAAAACACCATCTCATTCATCGGATCAAAACTAGCAAACACCATCAACAGCATCACCAACAACAACTGGACCAACCTAGACATCAAACACACTCACACCAACTGGAAAACAAACCCACTCAGAACAACAACAACAACTGAACATCCACTCAACGCACAACTCATCATCATCGTATTCGACCCAATCACCGAATACCATCTGCTCAAACAACAGCTCACTCTCATCAAGAACATCCACCAACCCCTCCTCATCCTCCTCGACTCCCCCATCCCTGCCAACCTCCTCAAACCGATCCTCTTCCAAAACGAACCATTTCTGGCACTCAACCACAACAACACGATCTTCTTCATCGACTCCCAAGCCGCACTCGACGCCATCCATCACTTCGATCATGATACTCAAGCGGCCATCGATCGGATCCGCAACTCCGGCTTGCTCGAGCTTCGACAGGCTATCCACACCGCTCTCCAGCCCCCACCTTCTTCCTCTGCTCAACAGAAAGATCCTCCGAATCGGCTCAGACCGGCGCTCTCGCTCGCCGAACTCGCTCTCGATCTTGCCGAGGACAAGGTGCTCTCGATCGTCGAGGAGACTCAGACGGCGTCAGCCAGACTTGCGCAGTACCATCGCCGGCTCCAACGGCTCCAGAATCTCGCCCGATCGGTCCAAGGCCCGGGTTCTTCGGAACCGTCTTCGCTGAAGAAGCTGCTCATCTCTCGTCTGGGCTTCTTCAGATCCCTCTTCTCCTCCGATCTCGTCGGAACTCGAGCTTCCATCATCTTGGACCAACTCTATCTAGACCAAATCGAGAAAAACGTATGCCCATCTTGTCCCCCCCCCCCCCTATTCCTTGTGCTTTTATGTAAAGGAAGAGAATGCTAATCATCATGACTCTCTCTTTCCCCCCCCCCAAAAAAAGCTGATTTTTCAAGCGGGTCAGATCCAGATAATCAAGCAAAGAGCGGACGAGGTGATCGGGGAGCTTCTGCGAGACCCGATCCTAGCCCGATACCGGACGGAGACGATGGTCAATGACGTCCTACGATCCCGGGCCACCGATCACGATCTCTTCCTGCTCGACCAACAACATGATGTTTCAAGTGAGAGAGAGAAAGGGAAAGAGAAGATCCAGATAGGATCTGTCCGGATCTTCGAGCAACACAAAACCAGACTCCTGGGCCCCGGCGGGCCGGTCCAAGCTCTCCAAACCAAGGCGACTCGAATGAGCCTCAATACGGTCTTCTTGGGGCTCGGCATCGCCGCCCTCTCGCTCGCCTCCCATCCGCCTCTCCTCCTCCTCCTCCCCACACTTCCCTCCCCTCTTCCCTCCCTCCCTTCTCCAGCCCTCCCCGCTTTCCTCGCCCTCGCCGCGCTCTCGTTCGCCCAGAAATCTTGGTCCAAATCCGTCCGCTCGTTCGTTCAAGATCTCGACCGCTGGAATCACAACCTTCATCATCATCTTCTCGTCCGTTCTTCTTCTTTTTTCTTATCTCCGGGTTGTTGTTTAATCGGAGGGGGTTTTCTCGTTTGTAGGAGTATCAGCAACGAGTCGGTGAACGGATCTTCCTGCTTTCGACCTCTTCTTCTTCTTCTTCTTCTTCTTCTTCTTCCTCGACGACGACGACGACGACGACGGCTTCGGAACCCACTGGCACCACCACCGCCTCCGAAATCGGCAACCATCCATCATCTAATCAAGAAGATCAAGTCCAGCAGCAAGATGTGGATCTGATCCAAGCGATCCGAGACAACATCCACGCTCGATTGAATGTCCCTGTAGCTGAAACAGACCAAGAAGATGAAGATGATAAAGATGATGATGATGATGATGATGATGAGCAAGATGATGAACAGCAACAAGATGACGATGATGATGATGGAACGTTGGAATCTACGCCTTCTGGTACTTCTTCCACTGTTAATTTGGTCGACTGGGTCCGCCAGTTACGCCGCCGTCTCGAATCTCTTAAACCAGACCTCTCTCCTCCTCCTCCTTCTTCTTCTTCTTCTTCTTCTTCTTCTTCTTCTTCTTCTTCTTGTTATGACCAACCCAAAAAATCATCTCAACAAACTGGCTAGTCTCTCTCTTTTTTTTTGGGGGGGGGGACGGGGAGCACGGGGGGGGGGCTTGATGTTGTAGTTTTCTTTGGGCGCTTTGTCGGGTCAGAGCGTTATGTGCATATGCTTATATGATCCGCAATGAAATTCCGTATCCGGGTCGCTTGTTTTTTGACTGTTTAGACCGGTAATGGTTTAGATTACATGTAACAGGCTCGGTGTTGGAGAGAGCCAAGCGGGTGTCCATATTAAGAAATTGATGATGATGATGTTGATGATGGGTGGACATGAACGGATGGGGCTCCTGTTCGAAAACCTCTCAAACAGCGCTCAGGATTGGCTTCCCACGGCTCTATTCATGTCCCTCTCATTCTTGCCTGAGCTTACTTTTCTCTTCTCTATCTACTGGTTATTGTTTTTTTTTTTTTTGGGGGGGGGGGGGAGTACATTGGAGGACTTGATCCTGTTGGGATTTATAGTGCTTCTCTGTATCAGTCTTTGGGGTAATTTAAGAACTTATTTAAGGTTCCAATGATTAGCTGATCATGTGAGAGTTATTGCCAGAAGGCTTTTCAGGAAAAAGAAGAAAAAAGATCCCTTTTTTTATGGAACATTTTGTACAGCCAAACCGAGAAAGCATGTGGTCTCAGTTGTCAAAAAAAAAGCAAGAAAAACAATGTCCAAAGCTGGAATGTTTGGGGAAGACTTGATCACCCTTTAGAGATGGTCTCTTTGCATCCGGATATCCGCTGATATCCGGATATCCGCTCTTAATTTCAGCAGAATTAGGCAATTTTGCTGAAATTAAGAGCAGATATCCGGATATCAGCGGATATCCGGATGCAAAGCGACCATCTCTATCACCCTTGTATGGCCACTTGCATACGGGGGTTTAATTTTTGATTTTTCTTGCTATCTTTGGTATCCCTTCATTTCAGCTCATGAGGGTTATAAGACCATTGGAATCCTGATGGCAATCTTGGTCTTGCTGCTCCCCCCAGTGGTGTGCTGCTACGGGTGTATGTTAGTGTTAGCGTAGCGGTGCCAAGAGCTGCTGTTTTTTGTGTAGTGTGTTAGCGCACCACTACTGCTGCTGCGCTATGCTACCCTTACCCTAACCCTAACCCCAAATGTGTTTTTAGCTCATTTGGGAACACTTTTTTTTTCAGTGGTGTTACCTTGTTACCTCCTCACCAAAATTGGCTAACAGGCGCCACACCCAGGGCCCTGGGCTTGGCACTAGGGTTGCAGCCCAGTAATTAAGTAGCCAAAACACATAAGCAGGATAGCAATGCAATTAGAGATGGTCAAAGGGTATCCGTTGCGGATACCCGCTATCCCCTGGCGGATACCCGCCAGATTCAGCGGATATCCGCCAGGGGATATGGATTTGGGTTTGGATGTGCCCTTTTCCCAGAAATTTGGGCGGGTATCCGGATATACCCAGGGATACCTGAGACCAATGGCCGGCTGGAAGGGTTTCCTTCCAGCCGGCAAGGTACGTGTACCTCGTTGACTGGAAGGGAAACCTTCCAGCCGGCAAGGTCTCATGAAACGTACCATACATGACAACACAGATCCCAAGCTATCAAACTCCCCACCCATCATCAACCGGTGGTATAAAGTAGTACTGCCCCCGAGTGATGGCGATGGGCTATCTAGTGAAGAGAAAGCTCCCACAACACTTGTGGTTGGTTTGCAGTCTTTGGACAAAGAACAGGATGAATTAGATGAGCAATGGAACGACTGGGTTGAGGATGAAAGCACCCCGACATCTACTTTGGTTTATCCCTCAGTCACCGTGCCATCTGTCCAGGCCGCACTCGAACACAACCTCAACACCCATGGGTTTTGCTTTAGATCGCTGATCAAAAAACTCAAACTGGATGCTATTGGTCGGATCAAACTGATTAATTGGATCCGTGCTGGACCCTCAAACAGTCGGCCAAAAATCAAATTAGAAAACCTGAGCAAAGATGAGGCTTGGCTGCGTCAAGACTCTGAAGAATGAATGGTTCCAAGCTTACCCGACGACGGAATGCTACGTACGTTTCTCCTTTCCACAATCTTTCCATTTTGTCAGCACACCCATGTCTGATACTTGTCCCCCTTTTTCTTTGAAGAATTTGACTTTGATGAAGATCTTGACGTCGATGAAACAAGCATAACGGCACGGTCGGTTAACGGACGCTCTGGAGCTGACCAGCCTACCCATTCGATTGACCTCAACGAACACCTACTTGCAACGCAAAAGGAATTAGAAGACCTGAGAGCTCTCCTAAATTGCACCATGAATGACAATACGGATTTATAACTATCATACGCCTGACACCCCAACCGGTCGAATCAAATGATGTGTTAGAAACACAGGACAATAGGTTTTTTTTTCAGGAAGGAGCTCAAGCTATAACTAAGGAAGAGCGAAAGGTTAACCCTTGATATGCAGAGGGAAGTGTGCTAGATATCCAGCGGATCGTACAGCTTGATCAAGTACAAGCATTCCTGTCATGTTGACTAGTAGCGGTTTCCCTTCCAGTTGGCGAGGTACACGTACCTCGTCGACTGGAAGCCTAGTGGTAGAGTTTCCTTCGAGTCGACGAGGTACATGTACCTTGCCAACTGCAAGGGAAACCTTTGAGTCAACGAGGTACGTGTACCTCGCCGGCTGGATGGAAACCTTTCCAGCCGGCGAGGATGTGCCTCGCCGGCCATTCAGAGGGCGGGTATCCGAGGATATCCGCTTGGATACCCGCTAAGGCGGGGGGATATCCGCTGTGAGAACTCCTTTGGGATGGATGGCAGTCCTGTGAGGGGGAAATAGCAGTTATGATATTTCAGGTATGTATGAATTTATTACAACTGTTACGGGTGGTTTGAAAGACCTGCCCCTCTAATGTACTACACTAGAATTCTGACAACAATTTTATTTTATTGTTGTGGCAAAAAAACTGATGATGGAGAAAACTATATGTAGTAGTCTCTTATCAAACCTAGATCAACGTGGAATCAGCTGAGACTTAGTGGAATTTTGAGTGGAAAGAATTTGGTGTGGGTTACCGCAGGCTGGAATCAGATAATGGAAAGAGTTGAAAAGCTGGGAGATATTTTTTGTATGTTTTTATATGTTTATATGAGTGAAGTAAAGTAAATGTTGATATGGAAAAGACTGAGAGGAAACTGATGATAAATATGAACTATTCAAAGTGTCTTTGCCCTCCTCCTTAATCTTCAGTTAAGAGAACAAATGGGTTAAGATCACTTTGACTTGTTAAGAGCACAAGGGGTGATACTTGCTACTTGAATTCTTCTATGCTTCCTGAGGTATGAAAGATGTTGATGGGCCACTTGATTTGAGATCACACTGTTGGATTTTACCTTAATTTGACTTGAAGATTCTGGGTGAGATGTGTAGCTTGGTAGATGTGCCGGATTGGCATGAGGAACTGATCTGAGGAGGGAGAAATGACCTCCTTATATAGTAAATTGTGAGGGATTTTAGCTAGTGAGGATGTCCTGTGAGGGATTTATGCTGGTGTGACTTCTTCTTTGAGGGATTTTTGCTGCTTGGAAACTTCTATTGAGCCATTTTTGCTGGTGTGTCATGTGATCTGCACTGCCCCATACAGAAAATCACACGTGTTGCGGAATGTTCTTTCTATGTTGAGGCATTTTTGCTGGTCTGTTGTGAAACTACGTGTGATCCAAGCGTGTGGCTGGTGATGTCATGTGAAAATACGTGTGATCCAAGCATGTGATCATGCATGTGACTAAACATGTGATCATACATATGCCTGTACAAACAAAGATTGCAACTATGCACTTATATATAAATCTATACTATGTACTACCCAGGACAACTATACTATACTGTAGAAAAAAAACTGCTTTATCCAAATACCTTTTGACTGAGTGGAGCTAGCCTAGTGGTTCCAGTGAGTGACTATGGGTTAAATGACCTGTAGAATCTATTGAAGTAATAATAACACCAAGAATCTAGCCTATTATCAAGAGTGGATCATGATTTTATGCAATTTGGTACTTGAAACACATTTGGCACACTACATCCTCCCCCAACTTAATGCTGTCCGCAGCATTCCTGTTTCAAGTACCAAATTCCACAAATCAGACAGTACTTTATTTGAAGTCTAAAAAAAATCCTCAAACATAATCTGTAACATTTATCTTTCTCTCCCTTCATATCTGAGTCTGCAGCCCTGTCTTAAATAGTACCTATCAAACTAAATAGCCCATAAACATATAGATACTAACTGATCCCATCAGATGTACCCGCACTAAAAAAAAACTTTCACCTAACTTTATTTCTAACTCTTAAAAATATTTTGATTGAAGATACTAATTATGACCCCTGTGCAGCTTCTTTCCTTGATGATTGAAATTGACTCGTGTTACCTCCCAGGTTGTGATTTTCTTTGTAGCATAAATATTTACTTCTTTCTTCTGTAGTATCTTGTCTCTGATTAAGCATTTTGAGAACCCTTGATATGCTATTTTTTTTTGTAATAAAAACTCCTCCTTGATCCATTTTCTGTCTGATTTGAATTGTAGTTCTTTGCTGAGTTTTCACTGAACTGGTTTTCATATATCCAACTGATTTCTTTTTAAGTAATTCATCCAACAGTAGTATCATCTATCCTTTTTAGAACTTCTCGTGCTCTCCTACGCCTGCCACGTCCAAATCAAAGGCGCCTAATGAATCTATTTCAATCTCTTTCATCTCATTGGTCCAAGGAAAAGGCCAGTGGTTGATGTATTTGGAAGAGGCCCCTCAAAAATCTCCATATACTGAGTTCCATGGTTGTCCGAAACACCTTCAAAACACCTTTCCCCCAGCGGAATACTCCTAAGCCTCCTTCAAATAATCCCCAGTTTACCAAAAAAGGTTTTAGCCATACTACTGTTTAAATCATTACCCTAAAAACCCATGTCTTCAATCTCCACCTGGTTAGTGCTTTCTCTTCTGTCCCCTATCCTTCAAATCAATGGTTCATGTGATCCGGTAGTTCAAATTATTCTGGAATATTTGGTGGTAATTCTATTTCTTGTAAATCCTGTCCTTTCTTGCCCCAAATTTCATTCACATTGATTCTTCTCTTGAAATCACCAAAGGTTCCACTGTTAGATTGTACAGCATTTTTGTGAATCCAGTTGTTTTTCTCCACATCAATTTCAGATTAAGGTCATGATGGACCCCGGTTTCCAGTTATTTCCGCCTTTTTACAATACTTCCAGTTTTGGGTCATGAGGGAACATTGTCTTTTCCGTTTCCGACCATTTCTAGATTTCATTTTAAGGTCATGAGGGACCCCAGGTTGGTTGATTTTTCAGTTTAAGGTCCTGAAGGACCCCCTTCAGATCGGTTGATTTTTCATTTTAAGGTCATGAGGGACCCCAGGTTGGTTGATATTTCAGTTTAAGGTCATGAAGGACCCCAGATTGGTTGATTTTTCAGTTTAAGGTCATGAAGGACCCCAGGTTGGTTGATATTTCAGTTTAAGGTCATGAAGGACCCCCGGTTGGTTGATATTTCAGTTTGATATTCCAACAGTAATCGTTTCTTCCCCAAACAACCTTGCGCATAAGTTCTCTTCATATTGATTTGAAAACCTTGAAACTTCCTGGGCCCCAAAAACCACGTTGCTTGTAATTCATCTTCCAAAAGTGTGGGTGAAATTGACCAGAAAATATGCTTCTACTGAGTTGTAAAGCAATATGCTTATACTGGGGAAGAAGGAAAATTATCCTTATACTGAGTCAAAGGAATATGCTTATACTGGGTAAGAAGGAAAATTATCCTTATACTGAGTCAAAGTAATATGCTTATACTGAGTAAGAAGGAAAATTATGCTTATACTGAGTAAAAATAAAAATATGCTTATACTGAGTTAAAATAAAGATATGCTTATACTGAGTAGAAATAGAACTATGCTTATACTGAGTAATGATAGGAAATATGCTTATAGTGAATTTCTAATTGAGCAGGGTGGTCCATGTTTGACCTCAGGCAAGCCAAATTTTCACTCCTGCTATACTATATAAGGGGGATAATGTAACTCCAAAAAAAAACCTTGTATATACTATTCTGTTGTATCCTCTTTCTTTTATCACTATAATCTGCCAGTTGTATTCTTCTGTTTTAGTACTTAGATAAGAAGCTTGATCATCCTAAAAAAGTATAACTATCCTGAAAAGAATACAGGTTTTTATGTAAAAAGAGGTTAAGACCAAGTCCTCAAAAAGCAGTATAAAGGATTACTGCTTTCAGTTGGAGAGTTGATTTGATGTGCCACTGGTGGTTATGCTTTTGTACAATATTTATTAATAGCTTGCTCTGATCTATCTTACACCTTCAGCCATATTATCTTGATAAAGGAATCAATAATTTGATTGAGCATTCTCTTGCACAAGACCAAAAAATTGCTATTTTTTTGAAAAAGGTTTGCCTCCAGGTGGAGTCTTCCCAGCCCATTTCAATCCCTTTCTTATCTTCATTATATATGTTGATCCTAATTTTATATCCAAGTTGGCCATATCTAGATTTCCAATGGCCTTCCTTCAAGAATGCTTCTGTTCCAATATCTGTGAGTATGTGTATAAAATCCAAATTGCTAGTTCCACCACCCGGTAACTCTTGAAGCAGTTGATAAGTTCTTTTGATTTCACCGTAATACCATTCTTCTGAAAATACCCTTCTAAAAAGTTTCAGGGGTCTTTCATCCTTCCAGAAGTTGTGGGAATATTTATTATTCAAAGCTGGAACTTCTTGATAGCTCTTCCTCTGTTGATTTTCTAAATTTGGTTCTTGGGGAACAGCATTCTCTAGATCTGAAAGTGGGTAAAGTTCTTCTACGTCATGTGCCTCTTCATGGTCATATTTGATCGTCTCCTCTCTGATGTCAGAATAACTGCCCCAATCTTTTACTTGAACTGAATAACTACAACCAAAGAAGGGGCATTCCTGATCCAAAACTGGTTTTGTTGATGTGGGTGGCGAGTCAAACCTGCCTTCATCTTGACAAATCTCCATAATTTCCTTGTTCAAGACCTCTGGTGAATCTGTTGGAAGTGACTGTGATATCTTCATTTGTTTGAGTAAGATATTTACTGTCTCCTGCATACAATGAATTGAATCTTCAAGCTCTGATATTTGGGCTTGATTCTTTAAAATGATTGCTGACTGCTCCATGCTGAATTCTTCTTGGGTGGACATTCTTGACTCTAGCTTAAGTTCCGGAAAGAATTTCTTGAAAACCGCAGCTGTTGCCTCCCTTTCCCTTGACCTTGGTTTGGTCCTTGGTTGATTTTTCAAAGTTCTAACTTCACTGTCTGCTAGTTACCCAGTTCCCTTTGTTATCCACTTATCTAGTCTTCTGGTGCTGAGGGAGAGTTATTGTTGATCGTCTGAACGTTTTTCGGCCACTGTTGGGACACCAGATGTGAGAACTCCTTTGGGATGGATGGCAGTCCTGTGAGGGGGAAATAGCAGTTATGATATTTCAGGTATGTATGAATTTATTACAACTGTTACGGGTGGTTTGAAAGACCTGCCCCTCTAATGTACTACACTAGAATTCTGACAACAATTTTATTTTATTGTTGTGGCAAAAAAACTGATGATGGAGAAAACTATATGTAGTAGTCTCTTATCAAACCTAGATCAACGTGGAATCAGCTGAGACTTAGTGGAATTTTGAGTGGAAAGAATTTGGTGTGGGTTACCGCAGGCTGGAATCAGATAATGGAAAGAGTTGAAAAGCTGGGAGATATTTTTTGTATGTTTTTATATGTTTATATGAGTGAAGTAAAGTAAATGTTGATATGGAAAAGACTGAGAGGAAACTGATGATAAATATGAACTATTCAAAGTGTCTTTGCCCTCCTCCTTAATCTTCAGTTAAGAGAACAAATGGGTTAAGATCACTTTGACTTGTTAAGAGCACAAGGGGTGATACTTGCTACTTGAATTCTTCTATGCTTCCTGAGGTATGAAAGATGTTGATGGGCCACCTGATTGAGATCACACTGTTGGATTTTACCTTAATTTGACTTGAAGATTCTGGGTGAGATGTGTAGCTTGGTAGATGTGCCGGATTGGCATGAGGAACTGATCTGAGGAGGGAGAAATGACCTCCTTATATAGTAAATTGTGAGGGATTTTAGCTAGTGAGGATGTCCTGTGAGGGATTTATGCTGGTGTGACTTCTTCTTTGAGGGATTTTTGCTGCTTGGAAACTTCTATTGAGCCATTTTTGCTGGTGTGTCATGTGATCTGCACTGCCCCATACAGAAAATCACACGTGTTGCGGAATGTTCTTTCTATGTTGAGGCATTTTTGCTGGTCTGTTGTGAAACTACGTGTGATCCAAGCGTGTGGCTGGTGATGTCATGTGAAAATACGTGTGATCCAAGCATGTGATCATGCATGTGACTAAACATGTGATCATACATATGCCTGTACAAACAAAGATTGCAACTATGCACTTATATATAAATCTATACTATGTACTACCCAGGACAACTATACTATACTGTAGAAAAAAAACTGCTTTATCCAAATAACTTTTGACTGAGTGGAGCTAGCCTAGTGGTTCCAGTGAGTGACTATGGGTTAAATGACCTGTAGAATCTATTGAAGTAATAATAACACCAAGAATCTAGCCTATTATCAAGAGTGGATCATGATTTTATGCAATTTGGTACTTGAAACACATTTGGCACACTACACCGCCAGCGGATGCGGATGCCACTTTCCCCGGAAAAAGCAACCGGATATCCGCATCCGCGCGGATATCCGGATGCAAAGTGACCATCTCTAAATGCAATGATACCACAAGCTACTAGGGACCAGGATCACCATACCATATTGGCCTAGCAACCATTTGACTATCATAGGCAAACAGGTTTAGTTTAACAAGCATTTCAAACAGTCATTCTTAACCCTCCATGAATATTGGAATCATCAGGTGAAGCCATGCTTTCTCCACGCCAACCAATCAAGCCCCTGGGGCCCCAAATGTCAGGCCAACCATAAACCTGGAGCAAATCTAACCATAACCCAGTTGCTCACTCCAAACAATGCTGCAGACCCAGACACAGAAAGAAAAATGATTCATCAAAGGCCCTTGGAACATAAGAAATAACCCCAAACAATTGCATTGTACCTAGGAGTTGTGTTGAACCAAAGAGCCCCCACAAGGCAGTGGATAGCTAAGCAGTCAAAGGGTAAACAAGGAAATGAAAAAAAACCACCAAAAAGCGCCAGAAAACAACCAACTAATTATAAAGCAAAAAGCGTTAGAAGCAGGATCCTAACATGCTTGCAGACGCGCCCTGAAATTCCATAAACTTCAAAAAAAAACATTGATGGTATTAGGCCATGGAGCCCCAATGCAGTCTGCAGTTGCCTCCAGCCAACTGAGGTATCCCCCCTTGTCCAGCCAGTCCACTGTCAAATCCACCAGCCATGGGGTGTGATTGTAGTAACAGTGCATGGCAACTACAAAAGGAATGTTCTTCAAACCACTCTCACACACACTATCAATTTTCCAAGTTGGGTGAAACCTGTTGTAAAGCTCATCCCCAGTGGGAACACCACAGCCAATACAGACATGGAAAGATCATCTAATGTTTGAGGCTGTGCTACACTAATTTGTAGCGCCGCTAGCCCATTTTTTGGTGTAGTGTTAGCACACCTCTGGAGCCGCTACGCTACCGCGTTTTTAGAGGCAAAAAACACCTAAAAACCCGCTAAAAACTGCTGTAACCCAGCGTAGCGGGCACTTCTTTGCGCCCTGTGGGTTTAGTGTTAGCGCAGATGGGGGGGATTGTGCTAATGCTACACTAAACAATAGTGCTTTTTTGAACCCCATACGCGTAGTGTTAGTGCAGAAATGGAGAAAAGTGCTAACGCTACACTCAATTGTAGCTTTTTGTTTGCTACCCTACGGTTAGCGTAGCTGGCCCACCATGGCTCCCCCTGCACAGTGGCCGGTCAGGTCCTGTCGCTGATGCTGTCAATCATTTTGAAATCTGTACCCTTGATGTATTCTTCCAAACCTTCTGACTCCAGACGATGGTTTTGTTTTTTTATATTTTATTAGAAATTCTGCCAACCAAGGCCGGAAGCTTTCTTGGTTTGGCTGTAGATCCAAGGGGGTGTAAATCAACATCTGGGAGAGGGTTGTACTTGTAGATTGTGACAAACTCCTAATCCAATATTTCAAGTAGTTTTTTTTCCAATAAAGAAACAAAGAAGAAGAGATTACAGGAATCAAAGAGATATGTATGTAGGGACCACATTTTTCAGCATATACACACGTGTGCTCTCTCCGGGTGGGCTGTTGTAGATCAGTAAAGAGATCTCTGACGTTTGCACTGCTGACAGCCTTGGGCAAGAAGATTGAGGGTGTCTCAAAGGATTTTGTCTAATAGGTTCATGGATTTACTGCTCTGCTAGGATCTCTCCCTTCAACCTATAACTGTAAGCCGGGTTTGGTGGTAATGCTGAGAGAGCATCAGCCCTCCCTTGTTGGGGCAAATCTGCTATGTTGGCATTGGTTTAAATTTTAGCCCAAAATGATGTATGATGATGCTGGCTTTTCTCAATTGACAGTGCTGGGACTGGAATTTGATTATATGAAGGAGTAAAATTTTGCTTTTTTTTTGGGGGGGGGGTGAGAAAGGTTGAATTTTGCCAGTTTCTTTGACTCTATATCACCATAGATCTAGAGGCACCTTGCATTTTTTTTTGATAAAAAGACTGGCCGAAAACAGTTTTTAACCAACTGAATATATGCACATGAAAAATTGTAAATTATCCAAAGAAAAGTTGTAGCAGTTAGTTTTCCAAAACTAATTAAGGATATTAAGACTTGAGTAGAATGACTAGAAGAAGAGTGATCTCCCTTAGTAAAACAAAATTTGATGTGTATAAAATTTGAGAACAAAGATGTAAGATAATCAATCACATATCAAAGAACCCATTTAGGAAGGAACTGTCACGATCAGATTGGAAAAGCACTGGTTAGTTGCGATGAACTCTAGCAGGGAACTTATTGTGGTCAAAAAATCCCATCCAAAGGTTGAGTCTTAGGTATTTGTCTGATTCGTGGGGATATGTCCAGCCAGTGTACGGGAATATTTTGAAGATGTATGTATTGATCCATTTGATGAAGGTTCTATTCTTCTTGATTTGATGACTCAGAATCTCTTTAAAGGGCCCCATGTCGTACTCTTTGGCGCCGGGGGTATTATCTACGTTTCTATTCCGGTATTTGCGAAAGTGAGAAGTCATAAATATGAATTGCCTTGGGAGCCAATTCTGATCCCTCTTGCGTACTACTTCTTGCAGGATCGGAAGGTGATAGTGACTAATGAAATCCAACATGTACCACACAAGTTGGTACTCTATTCTTTGGTTCAAGGCTTTCGTCATTTCGGGCCCTTCAAAAAAAGTGACCAGATCTTCAGTCAAACGGATGAGTCTTAAACGATCATCCTGTTCAATGTGATTTTTGGTGTCTGGCAAACGAGTTATTGCTGAGGAATGACTGCCCGCGCCTTCAAGAAGTTTGGCATCGAAGAATGATTGACGGATTTGAGAGAATCGTGCACTTGGTGATACCTCCTGATCCGAGAGGAATTGATTTGGCCAACGAGACAAAATCGTACCTAGGACTGCGTGAACGACCTGCTTTTGGCCTTCATCCGGGAGGGCTACGAAGATATAATGAAAATCATCAATGTCATGAGCAAGCGGGATTCGAACATAAAAATCTCAATCTCACCTTTGATAGATCTATGGAAGTGTTTAACAGCCCTGCCGGATGTTAAAAATTCAAGTTCCGGAACGACCGACTCCGGAGATTCAAAAAAATCTCTCCCCAGCTTGTGAAATAGCAGCTGGGTATGCCACTCGACCATCTCCACAAGATTCTTTGACTTGAAAATCTCAACTGTGCCGATTACCTCGGAAGGTAGTAGTTCATAGCGCATGATATAGTCCCCCAAGAGGAAAAAAGAGCGCAGGAAATTCAGCTGGAACTCGGCTTCTGCGGGATTTGGGAGTCTGTCTGAAGATTTGAATTCGAGCAAGAGGTTGTGTAACGCGTTCAAAGTCTTGATCTTTTCAGAGGCGGGGAGGTCTTCTCCAGCTTTAGTCTTCAACAAGTCGCCGATTGGAATGTTCTTTTCTTTAAGAAAAGCCTCCAGGACTGTGGGTGTGGATGACGAGCTGGAGGACTTGTTGAGCTCAAGAGCATCACTTGGTTTGTGAGCCAGGAATTGCTGCTCATCAGAGGAGGATGTGAGAGGTGTTAGCTCATGATCGGTGTACTCAAGCACCGGCGGGAGGCGGGATGAAGTGCCTCTGCTCGTAGGAGTGGGATTAAAAAGGTTCGATATTTTTGCCTTCCGCCGCCTGACTTGAGTTTGACCAATATTAAGGTTCGTGAATGAATTGCCTTGGCTGCCGGCTTGAGGAAAGTAGTAGGCATTCGACGCGTGCGTTGTAGCCGGTTCGAATGAATCGGCGTTTGAGGTGAAGGAATGTGGATCCAGGTGAAGCTCCAGCCCACCCAGCTGGCGCACTCTCTCTTGACTGGGCTTCCGGAAAGCACCATGGAGCTTTTTTAGCTCTGATCTCACGGTGACGAATTTGCCAACCGGTATCAGCTGATCGATTTCGCGCTTGAGTTCATTACGATCACTTGCTATCGATTGGATTTCAGCTGAATGAAATCGTCGTTATGAGCGAGTTGGGTTTAGCTTGCGCTTCTGTTAAGGTTGATAATAAAGCATTCCCAAAAAAATACTCACTTTTCCTTTCCTCATACCCCTGGGGAATGTTCCCATGCTCATTTCGTAGGTTAGTTGAATCTATGAGTGAATGAGCTCCACTCTCAATGCCCGATTCTACGGTATCTACTTCAGCAAACGGGTCTGAGACCGTTCAAGAGGTAAGTTGAAGAGATAAACAATTGCGATTTAGAAAGTTCAATGGGCCATAACGGCAAATATTGAGTACGTACTAACATATGCTCCCGTATGGGCCTGTGCATTCAGACTCGATAACACAACTTGAACGGCGCCTATCGCGTACCAAACCACGCAGAAAAACTGCACTCTTCGCGACATGTGCTGCATCCTGGCCGAGCTTAGCATCAGATGTACCCTTGCACGAAAGTGATGGATGAACTAACCGGTAGGAAGGATGTCTCTTTTGAATATCTGATGGGCAGATGACAGAAAGCGTTCATTGGTCAATTAAATAGTAATCAACACTGGAAAACCTGCCGACTCTTCCACAAGAAGCAGGTAAGTCCATGAAAGATCAGAGAAAACCTTGGCCGTGCGTGGAGAGCCAGCTGCGATATTCTTGAGACATATCAACCATCTTATTCTTGAGACAAGTGATTTTGAGGCAAGAGATAACTTTCCTTGAAACAAGCCGATAATCAAGCCCTTCCTCATTTCAAACCAAGTCACCCCCGGGGCCAGAGCCTCAAGCATATGTAGCTCTCATACATAGTCAAGGAGATAATGCCCCCGTCCTACTGAATTTTGAGCTTGGGTCTCTGCCGAAACATGGTGAAGGATCCTCAGGCTTGATATGTAAGATCCATGAAGTCCTGGAGCAGCATTCTTGACGCGCAGGAGTTGCTGTCTCATGAATATTGCTGTATGGATCCACCTCTGAGTGGGTTTGGCGAGTGGACCGAGACCGCGCGGGGGGACAGTTCAAGATGCACAAGGAAGGGATTCCTCAGGGAGCCTGTAGCCATCGGCTTGGGCGGGCACTTGGGGAGGACACATCATCGGCGAGTACATCATTGGCGAACACATCATCGGCGAGCAAGGAGATGTCATGACAGCTTGAGTGAAAATATTGGTATGCGTACCGGATCAGTGAAGACGATAGATACATCATCTCCGAGTCAGTAACGACCGTACCAACCTGGTGATGAAGGTACATCCTCGCCGGGCGAGTACCAGAACCTATCAGCTTTGAGCGGATATTATATCCTCGCTGAGCTATTGCAGACATTCAGTAGGAGTACACATCCTTGCCGAGCTGGCACAATCCTTGCCCAGTTGGCACAATCTGTGTCATCTGGGCAAGTGGGAAATATCCTTGGTGAGCTGGTAGGGCTTATGTCAGTGATGTCTCTAGGCCGAGCTGGTACACTATGTTGCCAATCTGGTAGAGTCCGTAGCAGCTTGCCATCTCGCCAAGCTGGTACAAGATTTACCACTCAGCTTGGTAAGAACGAAATCCATCAGATGCCACCCGTGAATTTCGAGCAGAAACTCCCCAAAGGGATGCGATCCACTGCTGCGTCGCGGTCTATGTTGGATCTTGGAGAATCACTCAAAAGCGTGTTTCATTAGAGGAGAAAAACCGTTAGTCATTTAGATCGGTTCTGGTTATGAGATCTCTTAAAAAAAGTCTCATTTATGTTAGAGGGCTAATTCGCAAAGACTGATGATTATATTCCAGGTCATATTAAGACTTCATATACTCCATTGACCATAAGTTGTGGAAATGACACTAGAAGAGACCAAATGAATGAAAAAGAGAGGGAAAAAAAACAACAATAACATTGCAGTAGCAAGCCATCAAAGAGGATTGCTAATTCAGAAATATCAGTTAGAATTTGTCAACAGTACGCGGGATTTGAGTTTCTTCTCTAAAGATGCCCGTTTCATACAAATTTATCCATGCGCTGAGTCTTTCTCTGTGGAACGAAAAGTCTTTCCAGGTTGTGAACCCAATAATTTTATTGACAAATTTGTGAATCCATTCCTGGAATTGGGGATCTCCCGGTTCTGGTTATGGAGATCTCTTAAAAAAAGGTCCTATCATTTTAATGTTAGAGGGCTAAATTCGCCAAAGACTTGATGATTATATTCCAGGTCATAATTAAGAACTTCAATTATTACTCCCAATTGACCATTAAGTTGTGGAAATGAACCACTTAGAAGAGGACCAAATGAATGAAAAAGAGAAGGGAAAAAAAACAACAATAACATTGCAGTAGCAAGCCATCAAAGAGGATTGATAATTCTAAGTAATATCAGTTAGAGTTTGTCAACAGTACGCGGGATTTGAGTTTCTTCTCTAAAGATGCCCGTTTCATACAAATTTATCCATGTCCTGAGTCTTTCTCTGTGGAACGAAAAGTCTTTCCAGGTTGTGAACCCAATAATTTTATTGACAAATTTGTGAATCCATTCCTGGAATTGGGGATCTCCCGATTCTGATGTGGCCATCGAGCCAAAAGTGCTCATATCATCATAATGTTCACGCCTATAACCGCTATTGTCTTGGTAATAATTCCGGTAATACTTCAGAAATGCACTCATGAATCCGAACTGATTTTTTACCAGCAAACGATCCTCTCTGTCTTGCACCACTGTCTCCGTGATCGAATTGTAATAAATTTGAAGAAAATCCATCATGTAATAAACCAGTTGATATTCTATCCTTCTTTGTTTAGGGTCCGTTTCCATTTCGGGCTCCTGCAAGAATTTGATGAGATCTTGCATCAAATCGACGATTGCCAGATCTTTAATACTTTTGTCATGATGGCTTGTTCCAGGCGCGAGACTGATTAGCGCTTGATTGAGGAAGTCGATCTGGTGAAACGAATTGCGAATCTTCTCAAATCGTTCACTCGCCGGTTTGCCCGTGGGGAAGTGATCCGGTCCATGTGTTAGGATAGTATCCAGGACAACATGGACAACTTGTTTATGGTCTTCGACCGGGTGGGCTTTTTAAGAATAGACCAGCAATCATGAGTATCGGTTATAAGCAGATTTCAAATTCGACAAATCTCAGATCAAGCTCACCTTTGATGGATTTATGAAAGTGTTTTGTTGCCAGTGCATAAGTGAAGAAATCTAGCTCCGGAACCACGGAATCAGGAGTATCAAAGAATTGTTTGCCCCATCTGCGGAAGAGAAGCTGCACGTTGAGCTCAATCATCTCGATGACAGTCTTTTTGTTGAAGATTTCAGCCCCGCCAATGATCTTGGCGGGCAGTAGCTCATAGCGGATAATGTAATCGCGCAATAAAACGAAAGATTTCAGAAATTCAAGCTGGAAAATCATTTCTGTGCGATCAGAGACTCCGTCCCGGAATTTAAATCCCATGGTTTTTGTTTTCATACTTTCCAAAATCTCAACCACTTGAGAGTCGGTGAGACGTTGCCTCCAGAGCGCCTGTTCCCGAGCCGACAGGTCTCTGAACGCAGCGGTTCTCATGCTCAAGTCGCCAATCGGAATAGATTGTTCTCCTAGAACATGCTCGAGAACCGTGAGGATTCTTTTTGGTTCCGCAACTTCAGCAGAAGGACGATGTGTATCGGGCGATTTTGGGGAGGATGAATCAAACGAATCGCTTTTCTGGAGCAGTCGCTTGGAGTCAGCTGTTCTCCTAGGGTCGGATTTGAAGAAAGGCAGATAATCGGTCCATCTGGAGTAGGTTTTGTAACGTGTAGAAGAACTCTTGGAGTCCCCTGAGGATTGAGTTTTGGCGGCGGCCTGCTGAAGATTGTCTCTAGGGATGAGGTAGTCAACTGACAACTCCAGTCCACCCAGCTCGCGCACTTTATCAATCGTCGGCCACCTTAATCCACGATGAAGCAGTTCTACTTGTAATTTCATTCGGGTGAGTTCTTCGTAGGATTCCGGCTTGAGCCGATCGATTTGATACCAAATATTGTTCCGTTCGTTGACCATCGATCGCATTTCAGCTGTTCAGAGCCGCCATAATGAACAAGGTGAACTTGAGCCACTAGTGCTGAAGAGATCCAAAAAAGAAACTCACATGCCCTTTCCTCATACGTCTGGGTATACTCGTCCCAGAAATCATGGCCCAGTTCCTCTCTTTGATCAAGCTTCCCTAGTTTGCTGGATGGACCATGAGCTCGACTCCCAATGCTAGATTCTGCGGATTTGGCATCCCAAAGCCGGTCTGAAGCTGCAATCAAACATACAAATTTTAAAATATGAACGATTAAGGAGATTTGGGAAGGTCAATTAGGCAATTACCGTAGACTTACCAAGATACTTTCTCGCATCTTTTGCCTGTGAAGTCAGACTGGCAAACGCAAGCTGAGCCACGCCTATTGCGTGCAAAACGACGCAGAAAAAGACTCTATCTGTAAGGACTACCATCTTGGTGGAGCTTCGAACAAGCTGTGAGCTTGCAAGATTGTAAGATAGGGAGTATGGACTTGGAAAGACAGTAAATTTGCTGTAGGGGAGGATAGCGAAGCTCTCGAACTGTCAACCTTAAAATACCACTCCGCACTCTACATAGCCAGCATCAGTTTCGACCATCCATGTAAGTTGTATTTTGAAGAATGGGACCGGGCAAATCGGCCAGAGAGGAAACATGGTCGGGGTGTGCATGGGCCCGCTGTCTTTCCTTGAGACAAGGAATGGTGTACATATGTCTTTCTTGGAACGTGTGATTGATGAGGATGAGGCAAGTGGTACATATTCTTGAGACGATCTTGAAACAAAGCAGTCACACTTGCACACAACAGTACATTTTATTTACGTGTCCAAGCTCGAGCGGACCGGGCCGGGACCCGGCCGTGCCGACGTTACGTCGCGAAGCAAACCTTCCCTTCGCGAGGGGCGCTTCGCGCGCCTTAATGCTACAAAAGCAGAGCGGCTTGGGTTAAGTTATGGCCCGATCCCTCGTTCCGTTGTCCTCGCCGGCCGACGAGATTCACCGCGGCCCCCCCTCATGACCTTTCTTGACCGAGGAGAGGAGATGCCGATGTAACTGGGAAGGATCAGTTATGGGTACCGGAAGCATGTAACTGGCATGGCCATCATCGACCTCGATACCCAATCCACTTGAATAATATACACTCTCGTTTTCCCCTTACACAAATATACACTCCGTAGATGCACATGCTGCACCGCCGGACCAACATTCGAGAAGCAGGTGAAGATTTATATACCGATCCAAGCAGTTCGAATGCTTTTGTTTGGCTTCATTTGTAGTTCCCTGGTTCCTGATCTTTGCAGATATTTTGGTCAATCGATGTGTCTGTGCAGAAGATACCTGGCGCAGTTCATCGACATCATAATAATCCATCCACCTTGACACACACTATACTAACATAGGATTTCATCAAACAAGAACTTGCATCTCTTTTTAATTCTTTCTCAAGAGGTGGTCTCGCCCATGCCCTGTGGGTCATAGGATTATCTCCGCTCATCCTGATTTACACCACCTATTTGTATTGGAGAGACAAACATTTAATACATTTAAATACACATCGTAGGCTACCCCACCCCATCCTCCAAATTTCATCTTTTTCCTTGCATTCAGGCTTGCCACCCGAAGAAATCTCCCAGAAACTCAAGCCTTCTCTCTCGACAGCCTTCGCACCTTCGTACTGAACAAAAAAAACTATATATCGGGACTTCAGGACCTCAAGGGAAGCAACTCACGAATCATGATTCTCAAGTTCGACCCATTCTCGACCCTCGCCGTCCTTGCCATTATTTTGACAGTACATGGTCAGCCCCCATATGAATTCTGCTTCTTTTTTATTTGAAAGAAAACGCCCTCAAGAATGATACATAAAACAGAAATAACCGATGAAAACTTGATGACAGACAGTAACTGACTGGACAACGTCCCATCTTTCGATTTCTAAACCCGAATATTTGTACTAAAGCTCATAATGAACCAGAAACAGAAGACGAACTCAGGCACTATCTCGACTCACAACGTTCGATCTATCATTGCTATCCCGAAATATTAAAACAAGTAGAGCATCGTAAATCAGCCTTCCTCAAGGCATCATCGGCAGCTCAATTGGTTCATCAGACCACCCATAACCCCGCTTCATCAAGGCTCGAGACGCTCGAATTTGGCGCTTCCGCTTCTGAGATCCCATCCGATTATAATCTTCTTCATCATCAAGCTCCTTCAAATTTGATATGCACTCAAAATCCCAGTCATTTTTCTGCCAAAATCAACAAGATTCGTAACTCAACTTGTGTGCTATGTACGTCGATTGACCTTTTCCCTTCTACTCATTCTTCTTGATCTGTCTCTACAATACAAATCCGAACCGTATATTACTAGATACAAGCCTTTTCAGATACGTGTTCGGTTCATAAGCGGTCGAACAACCCCCAAAAAGCACATTTACAGGGCATATGTATCATCCTGCGACTTTCTAGGTTGATAACACTGAAAATCGATCTGCTCGTTTAATTTCCTACGTGTTGTTTTTTCTATCTCGAATACTTAGCTCCGATCGTTCGTGCTGGGCCTTATTATCATCTGGAAGGGCATCCGATTAGACAGGACTTGGCCGAATGGCAAGAAGGATTACCACTTGTACGTGATTTCTTCTCGATTTTCGATTTTTTTTTTTTAAATATGCAATATTCCCCTTCATCCATTTGGCTGGGCATAACGAGTGCAAAATACGATTATCAGAAGTAAGCGCTTGCATTGACGCACTGAATTTAAATTTAAAAAAAAAAAAATCAACGATATTCTAATGGGGCATACAGTCATTGGATATTGGGGTGATTGACGTCGAGACGTGTCGACCGGTTGAAGGAGCACTAGTTGATATCTGGCACGCGAACGCCACCGGATTCTATGCTGGCCATCCAAGCCCAGCAGAGGGTGATGAAAATGAGAAACCTCAAGTCGGGGGTGCAAGGGCTGGACTCTTACCTGCTTATCCGCGGAAGCTGTTTGACGAGCAATGGCTTAGAGGCGCTTGGCCTACAGATAAGAAGGGTGTTGCTCGATTTAATACCATCTTTCCCGGTTATTACACTGGTCGTGCAACACGTAAGCGTTTTTTTTTTTTAAATATCCTATACCAAGTTCACATCGAGCCTTCTATTTCTGTTTTGTCAATCAATGGACTGAAAGCTCTTTCTTTCTTTCTTTGTTGGACCAGATATTCACACGGAGATTCACATGGATTGGGAGGTGACTTCAAACGGAACGTTCACATCGAAAGATGTACAATACATAGGGCAATTCTTCTTTGACGATGAGATCAACATGAGTGTAGATAAGATGTGGCCCTACACCGAAAACCCAGTGAAGCATAGAACACGAAATTGGAGAGACTCCTTGAAAGTGTTCCAAGAGTCAAGAACCAACGGATTCCAACCGACTCTCGATGTCATCAAGATCGGCTCGGTCATCAATCAAGGCTTGGTCGGCTTTATGACGATTGGAATCAAGACGTCTCACCATTTTGATCATCACTATAACCCTACCAAGTCCGATTGGGATTTCTAGAAATCGTCCTTTTTGCATACCTAGACACCTACACATCAAATCCTTTTCATACTCTATATCATCTAAAATTGTGTAAGACTATTGCTTCGTTTAGTGCATGGATCATGGAACTAGACCAAACTTTTTTTTTGTTCGATCTCACTGGCACGACATTAAGCGATTTCTTCCTCACTGGCACGACATTAAGCGATTTCTTTTTTTTTTCTATTAATGGCTAGAATACATATAGGGAAAGATCAATGTTGTTAATTGAACGAGTTCAATGGTCATCAGCTTATGCCACTTCAGGAAAGTGGCATATCAAAATTTCTACATGGGACCTCAGGTTTTAACTGGCAACCTTGGTCCTATATTCCATTGCTTGGTGAACATTGAAATATTTGTAAGGTTTGACTCAGTCAATTTATGTACAACATATTCATGAGGTAAGGAGGAATCAAAAAATGTGACTGGATTTAATACAGGAGACGTAAAAGTTTCAAAAAATAGTGTTTGGAAATCATGAATTCCAGAAGCATTTGAAAATGCTTCTGTTCCATGAGGAATAATTACAACCTACATGTAGTGCTCCAAATTGAGTAAAAAAGTAGAAGTTGGAGTGATGTTATCATAACTGATCATTCAGGATCATTGACTGGGAATTCTTTGATCCATCTATCAATACATTTTGGTTGATACTCACTGATTGCCATCAGGACTACTGATAAATCATTCGCAGGGAAAATCAGGCGATGATCTGCTTTCATCTTCCAAGGGAGGATATTCAATGATTTGAGTTTTGGCAAGAAATTGTTCCTAAACTCGTGAGCTGCTTGAGTGTAAAAGATCAATGAGCTTGCTTTGAGCAGAACACCCATCATCAGTTCATCCTTCTTGAACAAAACCTTCCACTTTTCAATGTTTTGGTTCTTGTAATAAGAGCCCAATATGTTGACTACAATTCTTGTCAATGTTATGTCTTCTGCAGAGATTGTTACACGGGCTGCATTGGAATGGAGTGATGCCTTAGTGGTATAGATAATCTGTTGATCTGGTGAAAGAAAAAAATTGACCATCAAATCTTCAAGTATTTGGTTTGATGGGAAACTATTCACTTGTTGATTTGTTTTATTTTTCTCTCCAGAAAGGATAAACTCAAGGTAACTTTGAAGCAATCTTTGTTCATTTGAAAAACTCTCATCTGATGATTCACAGCCCAAAGTTTCAAGAAAATAGTAATTAGCTGCCCAAATAAAATCAATCAACTTCCCCAATTTCCCCAAAAAAATCTTCTCATTACTAGACTGGAATTCAAGTTTCCTTTCTTTTCCTAATTTCTTCTCTATTGCATCTGAGATATACTTTCTTGCTTGTATGGTAAGTTGTGAATTCAGTTTGAATTTTTTAGGTGCTTGAATGTTTCCTCTCACAAGATGATTTGATATCCATGCCCATTTCTTTGGATGCAGAGACTTCAAATCCAAGACTTCATTGTCCCCAAATTCTAGTCTTTCAGAGTTGTTCAAGTTGGATATTGGTTCTACAAATTTCTCAAAGATGTCATATGAAATCTTTTGAAATTTTGGATAACCCTTCCATGATCCTGGTGCGCATGGATTCCTCCAAGGTAGTATTCCTCTGTAACTATTCTTATCCTGAGGCTGAATGTCAAATTTTCTCCTGTGAGCTTTCAAAATCCACCGGGCACCAATATTGCAAATCTGAAGCACAAAATATTTATCTTCAGTGAAAATTTGGCCCCATTTTTGATAGTTCATATTTTTGTAGTAAAATCCAAGGACATGAACAGCAGCTTTATTCATCAAAACCTTTTGTGTTGAGACAAAAAATTGACTCATTGGGACGGATATCCAATCTATAGATATTTTGTAAGCATTGCTCTGTTCAGTAGAATGGATGGCTTCAGATAACTTCTGATAAATAAATTCCTCTCCATCAAGATACCGCTTATTATGTGGTGAATTTTGGTTAGGCTGAGCCAAGAAGAACTTGACAAACCACTGCATCAAATGGAGCTGTTCCCCAACATGGACAGAATGCGGAGCCCCAGCGTCGATGACTTGTAAAACTCTGAAATTTAGAGCTAGCATCAAGCACAGGATTTGTCGCATTTTGACATGTTGATCGAAGCTTGAGCTTGAGGCTTCAACTAAGCTTGAAGTCTTTACCAGAGATGGTTGAGGTTTGAGGTGAGGTGATTGCCCCAAAAGCTTCATCCATGTATCCAGATGTTTTTTAACCGGTTTAGTTGCTGATTCATGAAGAGCTGCCCCAACGACGGAAATCCATGGCCAAACTTTTGGATCTAAATTGTCCTCACGAAATCCCTTGATCATTCCCATTCCATTATCAAAAATATGGGTTTGTATCCTACTTATAGTATCACCGTCCCAGCCCCTGAAAATATTAGGAAACGTGGCCTTTTCTGAGTTTCCTAATACGCCAGGCCTGTGATCTGGCACTACACTCGAGATATCAATTTTCTCGGGAAAAGGCTTGAAAACACGTTTGACCGTCTGGTGCTTCAATGAATCAGATGGGCCATTTATGTCTACAACATTTACAGCGTTGGGAAGTCGAGTTGTGGCACTACTTTGAGAGCTTTCCGGATTGACATTCTTCGCTTGGTTTTCGGATGAGAACTTCGAATGCACCTCATGATCAGAAGGACTCTTCTTACTATTTTGATGCTCTGTAATGGTCGAATTTGGAGAAAAAGCAGTCAGAATCAGCTAGGACCTTTTGGTACAAATAGGAAGAAGTGATATATACCATTCAGCTCGAACGTTGCATGTGATGAACCCACCGAGCTGGCTAAGCATTTTTTTTCCCTTGCGGAAGAATTCAGTGATAAACTCAAGTCAAGGTCATGTTTCTTCAAAGCCGGCTGATTAATTTCATCATCTTTTTCAATCTCTTGGGGTCGCCCTGCAAAGGATGGCCGCTTCCTGTTTTGATGAACACCAGTTGCAACATCACCTGGTCCATCGAATCATCAATTGCAAAACATTTGGGAGAAATTGGTTGAGTATATTGCATCTTATCAGCTTGACTTAATTGCCCACCAGGATACACATTCGCAAGGCTGACCTGAATGAAGTCTCGATGTAGCTGGTGCCAAATCGGGAAATGTTGGGAACAAGGGTAAAGTCTCCACCATGTGGCCACCTTTGAGCTTTTCATCATTTGAGGAATCATGCAATAAGCTTTGTCTTGATTCATCCATGCTTGCATCTTCAAACGATTGAATCATGAATGATCCTGAAGTAGCTATGTGGAAGTTGATCTGTAGTAAGATCACAAGAGCTGATTTTGGAGAAGGAATCATCCGGAAAGTTGCTATGGGATCGAAAATTGGTTATCCTATGTCACAGAAATCGCTGGGACGGCCTTAAGGAAGCTTGAACAACAGTCACATCCTCAAGCTTCTGAAAACTGTCCAGATCTTATCCCTAATTGCAGCCAGTGGCCGCAGCCTACGTTTCACCCCGCAAACAACCAGTATTGTTTGTCACAAATTAAAGTTGCCTTTGAACATGGACAAACTTAAATTTCAAAATTGAATGATTTGTAGTTCTGCAACTTTTTAGTGTTTTGAGTCTTGAAGGGGGTTCTTAAGGGGCTGGCCAGGACTTACAAAAAAAATGGCTGCTGGTATTAGAAGTCGATATATCACTTTTTTTGACGATCATCCAATTTACTCCTGAGCCTGAAGCAAAGGAGACAAACATTCAACTCAACACAAGTCACTATAACACCTTCGGAGCCGGGCGCAGACAGTCGCTCAATATTACGCCGATCCTCTGAAGTATGCAGGCTGGAATTGTACCCTATCATAATCCGTGCCGATGGCTCGCCTCTTTGGTTCCAAGATTTTTATGACATGTTTCACAAGTCTTCAAATTAAATTTCTCTTTATCATAAACCAGCTGGCTGTTTTGGATAAATTCCTTCAACCGACGGCGCTAGCCGGTACGCCAATGGAAGGAGGTCTTGGTATTTGTACTTGAGTCTTAGACTAGCTGAGTCAGCTTGCAGTAGAGATTGATCCTTCCTCATTCTGCTGATTAAGGATTTGGAGCTGATGTACCTCGTTTTCTTACCCCGTTTTATGTTCTAGACATAGTAATTTTAAGCTGTGCTTTGCAGCCCCATGGTAACTCAAGGGTCATAATCTTGTCATTCAATTGATTTCTGAAATTATGCAAGAAGTGCCAACTTGAAACATGGACTACTTGATCTACTATAGTGAGAATGAAAGCTCTAACTTTGATCACAATTATGAGCACATCAACATCTTTGATTTCATCAACCATGATAGTGGCCATAGTGATCAATATGAAAATAAAAAGTTTGAAGTGAGCCCAGAAAACTGGGTTTTTTGCCTCAGGACTCCATGCATCCCAAACCCTGGTATGATGCCTTAACCCAAGGGCACCAGTATATATTGGTATTCAAAATTCCATATGGAGCCTGTTGGCATTCTTGAAAATCTATGTAGTTGGCAGTTCTCAGCCAAAATCACGGACACTGTTGTCAAGTCAAACATTAGGCCATTTTTAGTGTTCTAGTGTGGCAGTGTGGGTGTGGTCTAGTGTCCGATCACGTCATGTGTGGGGTCGGCCGATCAGTGCTCGTGACAGGCTCCTGTGACACTCACTCCAAGCTCGGGACATCCCGAGTGCTGAGGCTGTCCTGCACTGACCCTTGGGCCCTGGACTTCAGATCTCCTCCACCAACAACTAAATATCTCTCCGCTTCCATATCCCCATCCTCATCCTTATCGATCCTACTATCCTCTGGCCTGGTCGCATCAAAAACCACCACCACCACCATCTTCAAGGTAAGCTAAAAGCAGCATGTTCATTATATAGGATCCCATCTCTCCATCTACTGATTACAAGACCCACTCCCGTTTCAAGTTCGAATTGTTTTTATCAGTCTAGCTCATTACCATTACCCTCCTTCTATCCTATGTCTGGACACTGGTTCAAGATAGTCTCAGGCGCCTGCAAATCTAAACACGCCCCACCAAAATCCAAATACATCGACGCCCTCGTCTCATCCACCTATCAGGCCGACGGATCCTTCCAAGATGTCTCTCGTGCATTACGCTCAAAACTACGGGATCCCAACTCATCCGTCGTCTTCAAAGCACTCCTCGTCATCCACACTCTCATCCGGGCCGGTAATGCGGAAGAGGTGATGACCTACTGGTCAGGTCTCGATGGACGTGACGGGCGATCCCTCGGGCTGAAAGATGTCGTCTCCACCACCGATACTCCTCAAAATCTATCTCGTTATGCCAACTATCTATTAGCAAGATTCAAGTGCTATGCCGCACTCAAGCACGATCCTATTCGCACTCGATCTGAGGCGCCCGCCTCACTTCGCAATTCTTCTCGAAATGGAGCAAACAGAATCCGATCACTGACGGTTGAAAAAGGCCTCTTGCGCGAAGTAGGAACACTACAGAAGCTAATGGATGCTCTCGTAGATTGTAAAGTAGGTGAAACACAAGACAGACATTAAACTCAATTGAATTAGTCATTTATTCTAGTCTGACCGATGCTTTTTTTTTTTTAATTCTTCCACAGTTTTACTTGGAAGATACCGATGACGACTTGGTGATGTCTGCATTGCGGTTACTAGTCAAGGACTTGCTAGTTTTGTTTCAAGCCGTCAACGAAGGCGTCATTAATGTTCTAGGTGAGCAATGAATCATTCATCCATGCTTACTTGTCTTTCTGATATATTCAGAACAGCTAGACAAATTGACTGGATGTGAAAAACTAAATTCTATTTGTTTTCATTTTTTATGAACACTTTTCTGCTTACCTGTAGAGCACTACTTTGAAATGTCACATGTCGATGCTACTACAGCTCTGAAAACCTACAAGATTTTTTGTAAACAATGCGAAAAAGTGGTATCTTATCTGGGTGTCGCAAAGAAACTCCAAAACATAATCAACGTCAACATTCCCAACTTGCGACACGCCCCAGTTTCACTTTCCGGATCTTTGGAAGAATATCTTAACGACCCAAACTTTGAAACTAACCGGCAAGAGTATAAGGAGAGCAAGCGAATAGCCGACGGCCGACCTGCTCCCGTGGCCTCTACCCCAAGTCAGTTTGGTATCTTCTCAATGACTTCAATGATCCGTTTCAGAAACTGAAAGGCTGATGACACTCAATGTGATATGACTTGATTGCCCACCACGGATTACATTCATCAGAGCCAAAAGTTAACGAATCTGCCACTGTACCACCAGCCCCTTCAACTCAACCAGCAGCCCAGCCAGCCGAATCACAAAAAGCATTCATCGATTTCTTTGAGTCGATCGAATCCGAACAGCAGTCCATGTTTAATCCCAACTCAATGTCGCCAACCTCAAGCTATTTTCAACAACAAGCTGGCATAAATCCTTTTGGCCAACAGAACGCCGGGATACCGACAATCAATACAGTATTTCCTCAGCCAACGGGTATGATGCACCACGCTCCTGGTAGAGAGTCCATGGGTCAGGCTCTGTTTGGGAACCTTAATGGACCTCAACCACCCCAGTTTCTGCAATCACAGCCTACCGGATTCTCACCCGGTGGTCAACTTTTTAATCCAGTACAACCTCAGCTCACTGGTGCTGTGAATCCTTTCCGTCAGAGTACCTTCAGTACCCATAGCATGGGTAATATGGGCATGGTGTCATCTCAACCTACCGGGGGCAATCCATTTTCACAGTTTGGGTCAAATCCGACGATCAGTCTATCGACAATTCCCAGCTCACCATGGGGACATTCATCCGGCCAACCTGATCGATCAAATGGCGCGATGTCAGCACCTCCAACTCAAGCAGCGGCGATGAATAACTTTGACGTACTTTCGCCGATCAGCTCTGCAGCCTCACCATCTAGCAATCACTCAATTGCCAGCCCCCTCAAAGCTCAAGTGACTGGCTCCCGGAATCCGTTTGCGTTACTCCCCGGGTCCACCTCGACACCGCCTGTTCCCAAACTGCCCTCTGGTGGCGCCCCATCATTGAATGCTCTTGCGGCATCTGCCTTCTCTCAATCGATGGTCCAGCAACGCGCTCGCGAACAAGCAGCCCAACTCCAATTTCAACAGCAGCAGCAAAGACAACAGCAACAAAGCGCTCAACCGACTCACTCCTCAGACTTCCCCGACCCAGCCACTCAGGAACGATTGGAGGCAGAGGCTCGGAAGAAGAAGGAGTTCCAAGAGTTCTTCGGCAAACAATTGTCCAAGTTAGAGGGAGGTGGAAAGGATGTACAGAGCGCGAATGCCGTCGGCACTGGCGGCTTATTCAGCAATGTGGCCAGCGAGTTTGCGGTTACGAAGCCGAAGGAGCAGGAAGCGGGAAGCTTTGGGGGAGGATCGGGACTGATGAGCCAACCGACGGGCTTCAACGGCTCGGCCTTTGACAACCAGTCTTCCCTCCTCAACGCTCTCCCCCCGATCATGCCCCAACGCACCGGATTCGGCGGCTCGACCATCAAGCCCTTCCAGCCCTCCTCCTCCTTCGGCGCCTCCCTTGCCGCCCAACTCGAACAAAGACCCACCGAATCTGGCCCGCTCGGTGCTCAGTCTACTAACCCCTTCGGGGCCGGTATCTCCAATCATTCTCCTAATCAGCAGGACCTCATGGGGTTCAATCCTGGCTCGAATCAAACCTGCTAATAATCAACCTTGTATTCCTACTCATACTCCTAGTTTAATTTAATCATTACCAACACCCCTCCTCATCACTTCTTCGTTCCGCTTCTTTCTTTCTTTCATCGCATGTTTTTTGTATCTCTTCCTTCTTCCTTCCTTTCTCTGGTTATTCGGGCTTCAATAATAAAAAAAAAAAAGAAACCAATCATTGATCTCAAAAAAGAAAAATGGTGGCGGTGGTAGGCAGACAATATGTGCAGGGCCATTCAACACACTTGCAGTCTCTGGTGATGACTGGGGTTTCATATGTCCTCCCTAGTCACTTCTATGCCAAGTATATTCATTCCAAAAAAAAACAAACAAAGATACTTCAACCAAAAAAAAAAATCACAAAAACATGTTTTGCTTTTTTTTTGTCATGCTTTTTAGTTATACTTGGGTATTTATCTCATTGGCTGGGGCTTTCATCATTTGTTCTTCCCACCGCATTTTGGTTGGCTTTATTTCCCATCCTTTATCTTGGCTGTATTTCCTTTTTTTTTGGGGAGGGGGTGAGAGCTTGAAGTGTATGAATTGAACAAAATTAGAAACCTGTACATAAATTGGTTTGTGTTACTTGTCTCAACAACATGTGTTATCACCAATCAATTCCAAATGTTCCTCTGTTCTCTTTGATTTTTTTTTTTTTTTGAAGAATCCATGGTGAGTCATCAGACTATATAACACTCCCAGCACCATGTTGACATTAGCCTGGTTCATGTAGGGCGTTTTTATGACATGGGTGAAAAGTCGCACTGCTCGTCGCTTCAACTGTTTCGCTTAAATTGTGCGTGAGACTCTGCCAAAATTTTAACGAGATGTTGTTAAGCGTTGCTTGTCCCACAAATTTTATTTGGGAACAAGCAGCTATGTGAACTGGGCTATTGGACACATGTTGGGGCCAAGTTTCTTGGGTGCAAAGTCAATAGGTCTGCAGCCCTGATGGATGTGGGCATGGAACTGTCTTGGCTTGGATGGTAGATCCTCCAGGGTTGATATACTTGCACATCATGGTCTCTGTAGTGCCTGACGGAATCTGGAAACAATAAGTAGAGCAGAAATACATAATGAAATATTAATATCTGCGTATCGGTTACGCATGATGTGATCCTACTTGTATTTGTTCACCGCACGCAGTAATGAAAGGAGCCCTCATCAGCAAAAGAAAATTTGGCTTTTCTGAATTCTCAGTGAACTCGTGTGTTTAGAAAGTGAAGTGAGCTCAAGTTTGATTTCCATGGGCTTGATGGCCTCTATGTATAGGCATCGGCAAGCTCAATGGCAAGTAAAACAAGTGCAATCAATTCAAGATGTTTTCATAAGGGAGAGCTTTGTATGACCAGCGAGTTGGCCTCACTTGTTCAAGACCTGGATCCGAGTATCCCTTTTCAAGCGTTGCTCGGCCAGGAGCAACTTGTACCCAGCCAGCAATTTTGTTTGCCGGGAGGGTGTAAAGTGGGCCCCAGTAACAACAATCCTACACAATCACACTCCAGGGAGCAGGCAAAAGGTATATGCACTTGCTCCGAGTGAGATTCCATGAACCTGTACATTGAACATTGCCGGGGAGTGTTATTCACCGGCAAGTGAGTACATCCCTGGAGGCCAGCTTGAAAGTGGCAAGTCTACGTGTTGTGAATGCAAATCAGACTTTTCATTACTCCTCAATGGGGTAATGAGGATCCACCTTAGAATTATACACATGGCTTCTACTTATTGCTTCCAGATTCGCCCACCGTCTGTAGTTGATGCTGGATGTATATTTTCAAAAGAAAGTAAGGCCCCATTTGGCAGCGTCATAAATTGAAGTGTAATATTGCCTTATTAATTCAATAAAAAATTAACCCCTCAGAAATATGTAACAAAATTTATACCAATGCAAGTTAAACTACTGATTTCAAGTTTAGTATGAAGAGAGTTGAGATAATGGGCTAACTTCAGCACCATAATACCAATATATGTAACACTTTTTACCCTTATAAAGTGTGATATTGATACCATAGGGCTCAAGATGGCCTAAGATGTCAAATTTGTTCTCAGCATTAATGAATCCAGTGGTTGAAATTGCCTAAGTAAAAATGTTGTTACATATTTTCAATTGGTTTATTTTTTTTATTGAATTAATCAGGAAATATTACACCTAAATTTATGATGCTGCCAAACAGGGCCTAATTCATATTCTTGTGGAGTGATAAATGATTGGGGTGGGAGTGAAAAAAGAGACTAATCAATCAAAGAATGAATGTGCCTCAGTTTTTGAAGTTGTTTCTCCAAAACTCAGGAGCCATTCAACCAAAACCCTACAAAAATTTATGACTTAATAATGCAAAAAAACACTCTAATTTTCCACAAAATGCTTCTGCAACACAGAGAGATTGGGGGGGGGGATGTATACTACCTGAGTGGGAAGTGACTGCACATTGGAAGCACATTGTCAGACACTGAGACACTAGCCCAGGTGTCTACAATAGAATGTAACCCCCTTGGGTTACATAATAAATATGATCCTATGTAATCTTTAAGTTAATAAGTATTGATTAATATTATTTATTATTATATGTATTTTTTATGTTAATAATTATTTTGTAAATTGATAAAGAATCACCTCTTTATTAATTTACTTCTTTCATGAAAATTATACTCAAGTTGAAAAGGATAATTATTTCTTGGGTGTATCCAAGAGATGATTATCCTGTTTATCTCTCTTGTGTGAATATATATTCTGTTTATCTCTCTTATGTGTATTTTCTGAAATAAAAGATATTTATCACATGTACAGTGGGTGGACCGTTATTTTTGGCTGCTTGTTTTGGGTTCTACAGCTTCAAAGCACAAACTCCAAGTCACAAGGCTTGGTGAATTGGTGCAGAATAGGTCCCAAAGAATGAACATGAAAAAATAAAAACAAAAAATAAAGTTTCAAAATTTGTGAAAAATAAAAATTAAAAATGGTTTTTTCCAAAAGCTTTGTTATTGATTTTGAGGGAGTGGGAGTGCTGAGAGAAAGAAAGAGTGGAACATGGGAAGAATGATTATAAATGAAAAAAATTGGAACCAAAAAATGTTTGGCCAGGTTGGTTGTCCAGATTGGAGCCAAAACAGTAAATTCTAGTGCTTTACTGCAATGTGGGCTGGTGAATGCCCCAATCAACAGCTCTTTGAAGCCATCTGGAAAGCAATTTTTCCAAAATTTTCATTCATAATCATTTCTCTAATATCCCAATCTTCCTTTCTCACAGCACTCTCAATCCCCCAAAATGAAGTTCAAAGCTTTTGAGAAAAATAAATTTTATTTTTTATTTTTCACAAATTTTGAAACTTTCTTTTTTGTTTTTATTTTTTCATATTCATTCTTTGGGACCTATTCTGCACCACTTCACCAATTCTTGTGACTTCAAGTTTGTGCTTTGAAGCTCTGGAATCCAAAACAAGCAGCCAAAAATAACGGTCCACCCACTGTACATTTAACATGCTCTGAATATCCTGACACTTTCCCCCAAGGAATAGTGCACCAATAAGGGGACTGCACCGGTCCCAGCAGCAGTTTGACCCCTGCTCTGTAATATTTAAGGGGATGCCTCTTTCCCTGAGATCCATCCCCCAGACATTATTACCATACAAACCCAAGCACCTTACTAGATATTACATCCTAATAAATAGTGAGTGGGGTTTTTACAATAGTCTATTAAAATATTAATTACACTTTCCTCTATCTTCATTACTAGCCTTATAAGTTACTTATTTAACTTATAAGACTAGTAAAACCCCATTTCTCTTAAATTAAATAAGCTCTGGCACTGTGAAGCTCATTCCACAGTAGAGATTGTTTGTTCGGACCTGGGTACCTGTTTATACCTAGGTACCTGTTCATTTTTTCAAGAAAATAGATACCATGTACCGCACCAGACACCTCCCGGGGGGTACCCAAGGTACCTGTTGCAGGTACCTCAGGTACCCCCCCTCTCTTTTTCACCTAGTTTCACTCCCAGAGTCCCAAGTCACTTTATTATTATTATTATTATTATTATTTTTCATATTTATTGTAAAATATCACTCACAAGTCACTTTTTTGGCATTTTTTAATATCTGTTGTAATATATCTACATCTAATTGGAAGAATCTTACTTTTCTATTTTTTCATATTTATTATAAAACATCAGTCCCAGATCACTTTTTTCATTTGTTCATATTTAATAATTTATTGAAAAGTTGAAACTATCTACAACTTATAACTAATTGGAAGAATCTTCATTGTCATCCAAAACCATCACCTTCCTTTTTGATTTTTTGTTAGACTTCTTGTTATCCTTGAGTCCCTGTTTCCATGCAGCCAAGGTACCTTCTTGGATCTTGGAGTTCTTGGAGTAGAAGTCCACCATCATTTTGATTTTTGGTAGGGAAGTGAGGGGGTACCTGTAGAGGTACCTAGGTACCTGTTCAATTTTTCACAAAAATAGGTACCAAGTACCGCACCTGGCACCTCCTGGCAGGTGCGGGGCGGGTGCGAGGGGTACCCCCCAGGAGGTACCAGGTACCTGCAAAAAGTACGGACGAACGATCTCTATTCCACAGTTGTCCCTTATGAACAGTCCTGTGACGCAGTGAAGTTTCAATCAACTTCTGAAGATCGACACAACGGAAGCATTGGTGGTAACTGATTATGAGGTACAGCTGTTGTGCAAATGATTGCGCTTTTCCACGTTTTTTTTTTTTTTTTTTCCGCACCAATTTTTTTTTTCCCCCGAACCCAACATTTCCCCGGCGCACGGACTTAGGGCTCCCCCGTCATACGTAGTACCACAGACACAGGTTTGTTTGCCTGCCACCACCATCCGCCCTGAACCAACCGTTTTCCTTTCATTGCAACTAGTGCTATGGAACCAGCAGGTACGTACAGATTTTTCTTATTTTCATATTCTTAGCTACACACACTTCTTTTTTTATAATATTCTGAAAATTTTTGCTGTTGTTTGATTGTACTTGCAGACTATTCCGACTATCTTGACGGCCTCCAAAGCCTCGATCAAGTTAGCAATTGGTTGGACGATCAGTTACAACCAGGTGGTGACTCCCTCAGTTCAGAAAGGCGTTCTGTATCAGTTGCCAACACGTCGTCAAACACTCAGCGAGGAGGTATCGATCCCAAGGACGAAGCCGACAACGACAATGATGGCGAAGATTTCAAGGTTTCTATTGAGTAAAAACTCTTTGTAACCTTGAAAAAGAACAAGTCAAAGCCTACTAATACCCGCGGAGGAAATAAGCGAAAGGCAGCGACCGCTGATGCCCCCGATAAATATGCGCGATTAGTTTCAAAATCAAATAAGCTATCGTTAACGTGGAACGCTTCAAATACCAGCCTTGCGGTTTTCAAAGAGGCCGTGCTTGAAGTCCTCCGTGTGCTCGAACCGGATCAGGTGTTTCGACTTGCGGACAAGCAAGAGAAGGAGAACAACCTCTGCTGGTACGCAATTATCCCTTACGGTGGACAATTCATCGAGAAGAATCAAACTGTGTTGGACAACTCCAAAATATTCGCGAGGTTTCTTGAAGTGGCCGAGGCAAAGGGGGAAGCAAAGGTCTACTTGGTCCAAAATGACCCCAAGACGATTGCGGAGGTATGTATTCTTCTTCTTTCTTGGACCTGACCGTTTCATTTACTTATTTTGTATCAAGCTAATCATCATTTTACAATGGTCTTTAGCGCAATGAGGCTTTAAAACAATTATCGGAGCAGGACAAGGAGAACAACGACGACCAATCTGCGCAAGCGGAGGCGACGGCCGGTGCAAGTTTCAACAAACAGGTGATCGAGAATATGTGGTTGCTCAGAGCAACACATATGCCGAGTGAGAAATTGACAGGGTCAATGGAGCTTCCAGTTATGATTGACCCCGATGATCCCAAGCGGTTCATTGCACTCAGTCCGGATCGAATTACCCTCTGGGCCAGAGCAATGGTGAGTTTCATTGTTTTCTTTTGTTTTCTTGCTTTTGCGACTCATTTTGGGACTGATCAGGCTCTTTGTATTGCAGGCTACCAACCCCGAAGTCACAGTAGACAATCCCCCAAAATCTCCTGCCTTCCGATTCCAGACCAAAGCCGAATTCAAGGGAATTGCCGGTGCCGAAGAAGAAGGTGAAAATTCGATCAATGTCGGCGCGAGGACCACTCAAGATTCGCCTAGTGTGCCTAGAACTCCTGGAAGCAACAGAAGCCCTGGTGGTATCGCATCGGCGGCGGGTTCTACGATGTCCCCGATCCAAATGGCGATGGGGGCCTATCCACCGGCAATGAGTTGGCCACCGGCCTCCCCTTGGGGATGGGGCCCTCCCAACCCAAACTTCTATGTCCCATACGGTGGGATGCCAGGTGAGACTCCACCCGGATGGCAGCCCAACCCTTTTATCACGCACAATCCTCATCTGGCTGCAGGGACTATGAACACTGGCCCTGTTTCTTCGCCGCCTGCTTCGGACGACACTGTGGACATCAATGATTACTTATCATTCTGCCACATCGATCATCATTGTGAATCGGTACAAAAGGCACTTGTCGATTACGGGATCACTCATTATCAAGAATTTGAGAACATCAAACCTGAAGAGCTCGAATCGTTCGGTGTGAAAAAGAGCAAAGCGAGATTGCTTGTCTCGAACACCAAAAAGTACGGACGCACTCTTAAAAAGCGCCGCCTCAACAAGTAGGCTCACATGTCAATCACCGGTCGCTACTCCTCGGTCCATTGTCGCTTTGGGTCGCTTTTCCTCAGTTGATCGTCACTTTTTCTCTCTTGACTCATGAAATCACATCGTTTTTTTCTTCCTGTTGAACTCAGCACTATGATATACAGAATCTCCGAAATCGTTATTGTTTCTTCCTGATTACCGCGGCACAATTAAGATATCTATATGCTCTCTTCAAAGAGTTTCTATCTCGTGTTTGTTTCTTCCTGATAACCAGAGCACAGTTGATATTTCTCTTCTCTATTCAAAAAGTTTCTTTGATGTCAATCGCTGTTGTCTCTAACCTACAGAAATAGTTTCTTCCATGACTTCTTGAAATGAAAACATGTGAGACAAGCTATCTCATAGTCTGCAAGCATTTGTGAGGAAATAGTCTTGGCTGTGCACCAGAACAGATGAATGATCCATCAAGATCTCTCTGCTTACTGAAGTCTCAGTACCCAGACCCGGTGTCCAGATTCAAGTGAATTTCTGGTCAAAAATAGGAAAGTGCCCAGCTCTGGGCTCAAGATTCAAGTGAATTTCTTATCAAAAATAGGAAAAGAAATACTTCTAAGGAGGCAAGTTTTATCTACAATGTTCTATTTCTCAAAGATAACCGCAACCAACAAAGAGTTTTCGAGTCAAGACATCAGTAAACACAAAAGAGACAAAACTTTCAATGACATTGTAATCTTCCTCGCCGCCGGTAAGCAGATCTTTGTTCCGTCGGAGTGTCGACTTGTATACTGAAAAACCTTTCTCGATTGGGTTCAAGTCGGGAGAGTATGCTGGGAGATGTAGCAAGAGGCAACCTCGGGCCTCCACGATCTCTTCTATCCGGCCATAGTGATGGATTTGTGCATTGTCCATCACAAGCACGCTTCGCGGCCCTGGAAAAGGGTTCATAGATGGCAGCTGGGCCCAAACAAATGGAGTCAGCAAACCCAAAAAGAAAAACTAAACAGATCAACACTCACTAAGATATGCTCAAGGAAAAATTCAAAGTCAGATCGAATGACTGATTCTTCCTGGACCATATGTGCAACCAACCCAGTTGATGAGATCGCTGGGATGATATTGTATCCATGTGTGCTCCTCTCACGCGGAACTCGAGGGGTTCTTTGACCTACTGGCGCCCAGCCTTGTGTCCTCGAAACCACCTCGAGCGAGACCCCTGATTCATCTGTAAAAAGATTGAAATCAATGATGAGTTATTGGCCGGTCAGATTACAGATTAAAGACAAACTTGCCTGTGAATACAAGGCAAGAGGTCGGTACACAGCTGACTCGCGCAAGGTAATGTGCTCTGGCCTCTGGATCTTGACATCGATTAACAGTTGTGATGGTCTTCTTAGACATTTTCAATCGTTCGTGGAGGGTTTTTGAGATCGTCTTCAAGCTGACAGAGACTCCTTTCTCTTCAAGTAAAGCATTCTGGATTTCGTCAAGATACGCTGTTGGTTTCTCGGTGACCATGTGTAGGATGTATTCTAGATCTTCAGGCTCCAATTCGAATGGCCGGCCTCGGGTTTGGTAAGTAGACGGATCACACACAACAGCTCGGGTTCTATCGTACAGGTCTGTCCATCGACGCAGGGAATCTTTGCTGACTGTACTGGCTAACATTGTATTGATCTCGTCCAACGTTCTTCCTCTCTTTGCCGCTCTAACGACCGCATATTTGAAATCGGCCGAGTACTTTCGTTTTGCCATGGGACCGGGACCTGATAAAATTAATTGCAAGTTTTTGTTAGCTAAAGTGCGACATGAAATATTATCTTTAGAGGATGCTTACAGACCAGGTTGATTGGGTACCCCAAGTGATCGAGTGGGTTTGTTACTGAAATATGTTGTGGCTTGGCCTATGCAACGGGGGTGGCAAGGCCAGTGAGTGGCTCGCTCAGCCGGGGGATAAATCAGTCCGTGCGCCGGGGAAATGTTGGGTTTGGGGGAAAAAAAAAATTGGTGCGGAAAAAAAAAAAAAAAAACGTGGAAAAGCGCAATCATTTGCACAACAGCTGTAAGTGTTGATTGCATCTGGCAATGAAAACCTTGGTTCAAGTCTTATTTTGATAAGGAGCCGGTCCCTCCACAGTACAAGTGTTGAGTTGGACTTTATTTCCACTGGCCACTCTGTGGCTATAGTGTGACCCAAAACCCTATCAACTCCTGGTCACATAAGAGACCGGAGCTGACACACATTATGTGTTGTTTTGGACTCAGTAACCTGATTACAAAACACAAACTGATTTTCACAAACATGGGGGAATATAGCACTTCTTTTAATGTGTTTTATAGCCAGTCTAAAGCATTACAAACCTTCTTACAAATGTTCATTCAGTTTGTGAATTCATTCAGTTTGTGAATTCATTCAGTTTGTGAATTCATGCAGGACCAATGAACATCTAGTCTATCCTTCTATAAATATCACCCCCCCCCCCTGACAGGCAGCTCTCCAGTATCATACTACACCATCACTGAAAATGAAAAATTCATTTCATATTTGTTTTTCAATCATCACTCAGTTTTACTTTGTCATATCATACTTGAATCCTGATATTTCTTTGCATGAAAAGAAAGAATTGGGTGAGCTACAAAGAGGTCTTTCCCAGAATGGCTTTCCAGACCACCACAAGCAATATCATCCCCAAACCAAACAACTATTCCCTTTCACACAATCTTCCACAAATCCACAAATGGAGGAACAGGAAATGCTGGATCAGATGGTTCAACCAGAATTGACATCACCAAAATTAAGCCTAAATCTTGGTCAGTAAGAACTTATTTATTTTATTATCAAAAACTATGTGACTGTAATTGAGTTTCTAGGGCTTTCAAAAAATGATTTGGTTTGAATCATTCAGGCAGCTCAGATGTGCCAGTCCTGGGTGGTGTTTCCAAGGGTAAGAAAAGACCAAGCCAGGATGGTGAAGCAGAAAATTTCTTCCATTCACAAGATAAAATATACCAGTCATATTCAAAAAAACCAAACTTGAACTTATCCTTAAGTCTTCCGGGGTTTGAAAAAGAAAGCCTGGAAATGGCTGATGGAGCATTTCCAGAAAGTGAAAACAATGGTAAGTGAAATTGAACCTGGTTTGCATTTCACTTCTGATTTTAATCCAGTTTTACTTCTATAAACTTGCACAAATAGTAAAAGCTGATTAAAATCATTCTAAATTCTGCAGAAAAAGGCCAACCAGGTAGAACTGTTCCTCTAAAAAGTCATCAAAAATCTTATACAAGGATGGGTGGGGGAAGTCACCTCCATTTCACCTTCAAACCCAAGACCCGACCTGAATATCCCTCAACAAGTATGAACTCAAACAGAAAGAGTGATTTATCAGACACATACAAGATAAGAATGAGCACACAAAATAATTCAAATCACCAAATTGAAGGCAAAGACATATTGCTCAAATTTCCTGAAGAGACTCATCACATGAATGAAAGGAATTATTCTCAAACAGGTCATGTATTTTGTTTGGAGAAGCAGGTAGAAAGCATGTGGGTATGGATAGCAAGAAATAACCTGAAAGGAGTTGCTAGACTGAATGCAACTTTCAAGCCAAACATTTATCTCATCAAATATATGAGAGAGTTCATTATAAATGAAATTGGCAAAAGACTTGGTGAATCAGAAGAGTTGAAATTTCAAGTAAAAGAAGAAAACCAATTCTTTGAAAAAATTGAAAGGCTTTGTGGTTTCATTTGGTCACTGAACTCAGTCTTTCTTGAAAGCTTGGGATGTATACAAACAGGACAAACTTTTTTTATGGAGCAGAAGTGGCTCCAAACTTATTTTTGCTTTGTTCTATTCAAAAGAAAAAGACTTAATCACATTTCAAGAGAAAGTACTGAATACCAAAGCATCACCAGTGAAGACTTAGAAGTGTTGATGGTAGATTTGTTTAATTTGGGAAATGACAAAATAATGTACAAGGTTTTGAATCCAAATGAAAGAGAATGTGATCAATTCTTTGTCTCGATGGAAGATATCTTGATGACCAAAATTTCACTCATTACTCTTGGATATTATTACAAAGATAAGAACCATCATAAATGGAGACAAATATTTACAGAAGGTGATCAGCAATTTTTCTATTTCCTCATTGGATCAATCACCAAGGATTTCCATGGTAAAACCTTCAAGGAGAGTTATATGAATCAATATGAATCATGGAAGTTCTTTCCATGGTATCTGGAATCAGGGAATACAGCCCAATCTATCTCTCTCAATATACCAAAATTAATTTATCCTAAAACATTGCACTGCATAGAAAAATGGGTGAAAAAGCTTTCTCATGAAATATTTTTACCACCACTTCCAGCTCTCTCAAGAAATAAGTATCACAGGAATTTCAATTTTGAAAATTCAGTTGAATCGGTTTATCATTCAAAATTCTCTCAGGAAATAAGTGGCATCCATCATTTCAAATGCAGTGAAATGTACATGTTAGATCAACATGAAGAAAAGCTATGGGTATGGATAACAAGGATTATACTCAAAGGGATTGATAAATCAAATACACATTTCACACCAGATTTTTCTCTATTACAGAAATTGAAAAATTTCATGTTGAATGCAAGTGATGAAACCCAGGAAAAATTCAGATATTATGAAGAAGTCCAATTTTCAAAAAGATTGGAAAGGTTATTTGGTTTCATTTGGTCAATGAATGCAGTTTTTCTTAAAGGTTTAGGGTGCACGAGGTCAAATGAGGCTTTTGATCAAGAGCAAAATTTTCTTCAAATGTATTTTGAGTTTATGATTTCCAAACCAAATATAGAGAACATATCCAATCCTAGCAGAAGTAATAAATCTAAAGAAATCAAAATTGATGGTCTAGAAAGTTTGATGGTAGAATTATTCAGTTCAGAAAATGACAACATAATTTACAAAGCTTTAAACCCAAATAAAAGGGAATGTGATCAATTTTCAGTCACGATGGAAGACATCTTATTGACAAAAATCTCACTGCTCACTCTTGGAAATTATTACAAGAATCAGAACTATTCAAAGTGGAGGCAAATATTCGAATCAGGCAACCCACAAATTTTCAATTTCTTCATTGTATTAAGCAGTTTGAATTTCCATAGAAAAAGCCTCAAGGGGAATTACATGAATAAATCTGATTCAATCAAATTATTTCCATGGTATGAGCAAATAGATAACACCATTCAGTACCTGCCTTTTTACATCCCAAAAGTTATTAGTCTCAAGACAATGAAGAACATTAACAGATGGGTGGTAAAGGTGGATTGAATTATATTAGCAATTTTTAGTTTTGTATGCAAGGGCTTCAAATTCATATTCCTCAAGTGACCATCTGTTTAGAACCCCTTACAGGTTTTCATGATTTATGTTTTTCAAAAGGCAGACAAAATCCACAAAATTACATATTACCACTGCAAGAAAACCCCATGCAACTGCTTGCATTTTACCCTCACCTATCATTCAAAAATTAGGGTTCTCAAAGTTGAAATCGGGCCAACATACGGCTTGTACATACTCCCGTACATACACAACTACATAGCTCTTTTTCTCTTTTTTTCCATGCACCAATTGATACCTCACTGCGCAACAAACCCCATTCTAAATGCATACCCCCGCCTCCCCCTGCAGAAAAACAGATTATGTGTTGTATGTAGCCTCATATGTATGTCGGTATGTTTCAACTTTGAGAACCCTAAATGATTAAGAGCAACTCCATTTCATTTGATTCCCCATACATCTTCATTTCATATTTTTATCAATCACCCAATTTTTGCTCCATTTTATTTCTTGACTGCATATTGAGTAAACTTTATGTATCTGTTACAGCAGTTCCCGTAAAGCTTGCTGTCTGGGACTGCTCCTAACCACAAATTTCTTTGTTTTCAGCCAATTTTTTTTGTGCCTTTTTGAACTGTACTGGGCTCTGTACAGCCACAGTAATCCAAGCATTACGGTCCAACTCCCACAGTTTTTGAGTTGAGGACTTGGGAGTTGGACCATTGGATTCCTCTCAATTTTTTGAGTAGAACCCACACATCACATGAAGGGTCCCCAGCTCCCCACTGGGCAACTTCCAGGTACCCGGAGCCCCAACAAGGCCTTGGCAGCAGAATCACAACCTGTACAGTCATGTGTAACAGGCTGGAAGGCACAAAAAAAGTGGGGCAAAAAAAAATAAAAAAATTGGGATCCCAGAGGCTTGCAGACGCAAGCTTTATGGGAACTGCTGTACATCAGTTTGCACTACATACTTTGTAACTAAAACAGGATCTTTACACCTGAATTACAAAATAGAATCATCTAGATTTGGAATTTAGTTTTAGAACATCAATAGCACACTGTAATCGGGTTTTTAATAGATGCACCACCACATCCACACTTGGAAAATTCAAGTGCATAGAACAACACACCCTTTTTGTTATGTTTGGATGCAAACCAACACTTTTAAAAATCCCCTTCCATAGATTGGCACACAGGCCTCCATGTCAGTCATTAGAGATGCCGCTCAATACCCGGGTACCTGTAGTGGGTGCGGGTACCTGCCTCAAAAATCCAATATTTTTGACACCCGCACCTGCTAGGGCCAACAGGGCGGGTACCCGGGTACCTGCGGGTACCTGGCACATTTTTGCAGACAAATATACCCAGAAATCTCAACCTTGAATTTCTGCATGACTTGGTAAATATAAGATTGATATTCACTAGATATATGAGTAAGAATAAAATAAAAATAAAGAAATAAAGAAAAACAAATTATTCTATCACCAATTTGAATTTTATCTTCTCTCTGATCTATCTTTAGCTTTACCCTTTTGATTGGCCTCATTTGCCTTATTCAATTTCCATTGATGAAGACTGTACACTGTCTTTATGACTGGAGGAATTCCTCTATTCATCAAGACTGTACACCATCTCAAAGGCCGGAGGGAACCCTCCGGCCTCAACAAAGCAACCAGATTAGTTCAGCACCACATGCAGGAAACCAGCTGGTGTCCTACATGGGTTGCTGACACCTTTGTGCAGCCCAACACACCCAAAAAAGGGAGTGTTGGACCACCAATGATAAATTAAATTCTTCAGGGGAAGCATTCCCAGGGCAGGTGTAAGGCGGGTACCCGGGTACCTGCCTTTTTTTACTGCAAATTTTGACACCCGCACCTGTTTTTACCGCAAATCTTGACACCTGCACCCACACCCGGTACCTGTTTCCGGGTACCTGCTTTGGAAAACAGGTACCTGCAAATGGGTACTGGGTACCTGTTGACATCTCTACCAGTCATCATGAATATATTGCAGTCCAAGACTTAAGAACATTCTCAATGACTGAAAGGAGCTGTTTCTCGCCATCAGCATCTGGAAGCCTTGGTGGTGTCAGAGGGACAACAGCATTCACTAGATGGTTCCAAATTTGCAAGCCACTGACACCATGGATGCACATGATCCAAAAGGGCCCACACTTGTCACTCCGGCATCATCCCAGGAAAGGGCCTTATTCACGAAACAAAGAGTTGTCAGCAACATATGCGAGCACTTTGAGTTATTGTACTGGAGGTATCATTCCCTTAGGGTTTCTTCATACAGATACAAAATCAGAGTTCAAAATTCAAAAGATCTCTCGGAAGTATTGCAAAATGAACAAATAATGAGTGATGGGTCAAAAAATGAAAGAAAGACCAAAACAGAAATTTAAGAGAAAAAAGAATCAAGGATAGGACTTTGTTTGATGTGGTTGACCGATGTGGCCTTGTAGAGTAGAGTGGTCGCGGTTAAGAATCTGTGGGGTACTTGACTTCTAGGTGTAGTTTTGGATTGATACAACATATTGCGGAATTGGCTCGGGATCCGAAAACGCGGAATTCAGTGAGGTCGATTTGGCCGGGTTGTGTATGGGTTTGGAATGCATTTGGACCCGTGTTTGTCCGACTCCGAGCCCGATCGGAACGGAGAAAACAGTGGATCGTCCATTCTTAAGGGCTCGCCAGCCTTATCAAGTCTCCCCCATCCGCGCCATCATCATTTCCAACTCCCATCCCCATCCATTGAACATCTATCCGACAATCTTCTACATAGATACAAATCCCAATCGTCCTTGATAAGATGTCTACCGATAAGATCTCTGTCCTTCTCAACTGGCACGCCACCCCTTACCATTTGCCCATCTTCGTGGCCCAATCCAAAGGTTTGTCAGGCCATTCGTCGTATCATTACGGGCACCTGTTTCCTTGCTTGTCACCTTTCTCTTGAATTCAAGCACACCAGCTTCTTGGTTGCTTACTCTGCAATCTTCCCTACCCGTGCTGGGGCGGTTGGAAGGGGAAGCAAATTCCAAACCAGGATGCCTTTTGGGTTTGGATGCAGTCATGGATTGACTTCCAAAATTCATTCCCCTAATCATTAAATAGCCTAGCTCTTCATCCATGCCAATGTCATTCTCGAATCTTGCTGTGCTTCCTACTAACATTTTGCATACCTCACTTTTCGCAGGTTATTTCGCCAAAGAGGGAATCAAGGTAGCTATTCTTGAACCAAATGACACCTCTGACGTCACCGAGCTCATCGGCTCCGGCAAAGCCGACTTGGGATGCAAAGGTTAGTCAAATATCCATGCATTTTTAATTGATGGCATCGACCCAGCTGAACCCATACATTCTACTTTTTCTTTTTCTTCCTAGCTATGATCCACACCCTCGCTGGTAAGGCCAGAGGCTTCCCCATCAAGAGTATTGGAACTTTGATGGATGAGCCGTTCACCGGTGTAATCTACTTGGAAGTTCGTAAATTTCGCACCAAAATGACTCGGTCTTTTCGATCAATTTTCGTTCTGATGCCTAAGTTGTTGTTGCGCCCCTACGATCATTGGGGTTTTTTTTTTGGCTACCTGTGGCGTTCATTATTACTAAATAGGGATCTGGAATCACTTCGGACTTCAAATCCCTCAAGGGTAAACGCATCGGTTACGTGGGCGAATTTGGCAAAATCCAAATCGATGAATTGACCAAATACTACGGTCAGTAAAACCATTTGCCGATTTTGATTACCTCTTTCCCTCCCTTTATTGATTACGAAGAATGCCTTGTCTTGCGGTAAATATTCAGGTATGACCTCCGAGGACTATACCGCTGTCAGATGTGGTATGAATGTCTCCAAAGGTATCATCGAGGGCACCATTGACGCCGGTATTGGTCTAGAGAACATTCAACAAGTCGAAGTAAGTGGCCTGTTTCACAAGCTGATCCAGTGCTACCCTCCAAAAAAAGTCGAGATATTACCGCGAAATTCGATTAAGATGATTGACTTCTGCCACTTTTAGTTGGAAGAATGGTGCAAGGCTAACAACCGACCAGCCAGCGATGTCAAGATGTTACGGATCGATGAGCTCGCCGAACTCGGCTGTTGCTGCTTCTGCTCGATCTTGTACATCGTGCGTATCCTTCTACTTTCTTCCGAGCCGCTAAGTCGAATACTCCATTGATCGCCCTCCTCCACATCACTTTGCCATAATGTACCTACTTGGATACTGTTTGATCGACCAGGCCAATGAAGGTAAGCTGGAAGTCTTGCATAATTGGAGACTGTAATCTCATGGGAACTGAACATTTTTTTTTTCAATGTTCTGGTTCATAAACAGATTGGTTGAAAGCCCACCCTAAAGAAGCCGGTGCCTTCATGCGAGCCGTGAAAGCCGGTGCCGACGACATGTTCGCCGATCCCCGTGCTAGTTGGGCCGAATACTGCAAGGTTAAGGTGAGTATCGTATTTCGCCTATGCTTTGCTGTAATATCGTTGTTCTAACTGGTTTCATCTCTACCAATCATAGCCGGTGATGAACACCCCATTGAACCGATTGATGTTCGACCGCAGCTTTAACTACATGAGCCAAGACTTGAGCAACGTCTCCCGGGACTGGAACAAGGCAAGTTTCTTTTTTCATCCACGAAACCGCTCAGTTGCTTTATATGTGAAGTACATGAATGCTAACCGACCAAAATCACCTGGGTTAATTTTTCCACCAAAAGGTCACCAACTACTCCAAGCGTCTCGAGATCGTCCCCGCGGACTTTGTTGCCAACTATACCAACGAGTTTGTCCAATGGGAAGTGGCTCCTGAGGGCGGCGAGGCCGAAGGGCTCGCCAAGCAACAAGAGATCAAAGCCTTGCAAGCCCACGTGGCCCAACACGGAGGTGTCCTCCAAGCCACGGTCGCCTAAGAAGGAGCCAGGAGAACGCAGATCATCATGATCTGGCCCAGAAGCTTAGCCCTCCTAACTTTGTACAAATTTGTACAAACCGTCCAAATGTTCTTGGTTCATAACTACATCTTGTGTCACTCTTATCCCCTCCAAATCAAACAGCTTCATACCTCTCATTCTCTCAACGTAGCATATGATTGTCAAGCAAAAACAAAATAGCTTAACCTGCTCCAATATGTTTTTTAACAAATTGGGGTCAAACTTCATTTGCTAAATCAACATCACCTTGTCTCTACTGTTCAATTACTTTCCCACTCTGACCAAGTCAAGCAAATTAACTCAATGACCTTTGGTAAATCCAGCTCCCACAAAAGATAAGGTGAGAAGGAAGTACAATCCTTTTTGGGACTGCACATGTATCATCCAACATCAATGATAGATTGAATTGAGATTGTAGGGTCAGAACAGATTGACAGACCAAAATGAAACAAATGGTAAGGATGTGTTCAAATTGACTAGCTTATTTTTCAAGCTGGCATGCAGGTTATATATAACATGTTTGCCATCATGACTGTAGTGAAGTTCAAGCCTCCAATACATACAGTTGCAATGAGTGGAAGGAGCGTCTTCTAGCCATCAGTTAGATGGGCCTTGATGATGTCAGCTCATCTGAAGTGACATCATCCTTTTTTTTTTGGTGCACATTCCCTGGAAAGAAATATCTGGGCCTTTGTGTTGGAGTGTCAAGTCTCAGTCAAACTATGGAATATGGGTTCCAAATAGTTCTAACAACTGCATAATCTATCCTAGGGAGGGCTCTGTGGTTCCCTCTTGGTAGAACTATCATAGGAAAGATAGGGAGCACCAAATGGAATGGTCCATCACATTCACTTCATAATGCAGGATTACAACCAGAGCCTATGTGACTATTTGAAGCCCCCTTTCAACCAAGTTCACATACCTGCAGGAAATCTGATCTAAATGGGTCTATATAATCTGATGATGTGGACTCTATGTAGGGCTTACTGGGAATTTATAGTCAATATTTCCGTCACTAAACCAAAAACCAGTTGACTTTGATTTTCTCTTGAGGAACTTAAACCTCATGATGGGCTATTCACGTCTGGATGTTTTTCAATATGATGTCTCTACTACTCTTGAAATGAACAGATGTGATGAGGGGGGAGGGCAGCTTCCCCTGACTTGTTCACCAGAACTTGGAAGTCCCTCGGAGGCTCGGAGGGGGTCACGCCTTTGTCAAGTTCGCGCTCAAAGCCCTCTGGAGTCCGGTTGGGTCGTGCCGCGGTCTCCGTGCGCGACCTCCTCGGAGGGACTTGTGGCACGCTCGGCGCTGGCATCTACCCCAATCATCGACCACGGAAGGCGGGGAGGAAAAACCGGTTGACAAAAAACAAAGCTTGGAAAGTGACTCGTTTGTTTGACGAACTTGATTGGGTTTGTTCGTTTCTATGTATGTAGCTGTGGGTAAACTTCCTCAAGTTTTTCTGGTGGCGTGATATTGATAAATTTGAAGGGCTTTTCCAGCTTGTCCAGAGTCTAGAGTCCAGATAACGCCCAAACCTACGCCTGATTCGTATTATCATCTGACAAGAGAATCTACTTGAGTCAAAGGAAATAGAGTTCCCATGCCTGGGCAGGAAGAACCGAGATACTACTCGCTCATCGAGCCACTCAGAGAATCATCTTCGCCTTGTGGATATTGCCATTCTAAGTCGGATTCGAGTCACACGTATGGAGTCTGGGCTCATGACTTGTCCCCACAAGTACGTTTTTCTTAACTTCTGAATCGCCCGTTTTACTTTTTGGACGACCGTCACATCACTTTTGGAATTCCAATCACTTATTTGCCCCCAAATTTTACGCTTGAAGGTTTATCAAATGATGATGGATCGTGGCTGGAGACGGTCGGGCTCTTATCTGTACTTACCCGATCGACGTACAACCTGCTGCCCGCCTTACACGATCAGATGTTCCGCCTCAGGTTTCCAAGCAAGTAGAGGTCAAAGGTAAGGGTCATCACATGCTCTACATTCCGTCCGATCCAAAATTGCTCGATTTTTTTTTATTTTTAAAAGGGTCTCCGGCATCCTTATAGCTGACAAAATACACAATGCAAACGTGTCCAGACAAGCAGCTTATCGATGGCGAAAGTTCATCGAAGGCGCAACCGAACATTCTGGAGCGCCAAAACAGCAGAAGCCTCAGTCTACATTTGATTTGTGTCAAGTTCTCAATTTTGATGATGCTCAAGGTACACCACCAACTATAAAAGAGCACGAATTCCAGGTGCGCTGTCTGTCAGTTAGAATATTTCCAGCGATGAACACTCTTTCTTCCGCTCACCAAGAAGGTGTGAATGCAGTGGAAGTGCGAGAACTAATCAATAAGAATTGCCTCCAAACACATAGATCAGGATCGAGCCAGCTGCATTCACCGAAGAAAAATTCAAACTCTACAAGAAATACCAAATTGAGGTACACTCATAATTACTATCATCGAATCAAGGTTCCACACATCAACTATATGGTTCTGGTTTGATAGGTGCATAACGATCAAGCGGAGGAAGTGACGAAAAAGTCGTTTGAAAGTTTTTTATGCACGAATCCGTTTCGATCAGATCGCTCGGTAGCCAAACACGCGTGCTGGTTGGTCGATGACCAGCTGATAGCCTTTTCGGTTATTGACATCTTGACACTAGGCATCAGTAGTGTGTATCTTGTCTGGGACACCGATTATGCCAAGTATGGGTTGGGCCGGTTGGCGTCGCTGCAAGAAATCGCCTGGATTCAAGAATGGGGGGCATCGAAGTTGGGCGAGCAATTTGATTGGTATTACCTTGGTCAGTTAATGCCCTTGTCAGCCCTCTAAGCTTACATCATCAGATGCTGAATTCAATGGTGCATCTAGGTTTTTACATTCATTCGTGTCCGAAGATGACCTACAAAGCAGAATATTCTCCCAGCTTCCTTCTAGATCCAGTAAGATTCTCAACGCAGCTTCCCCAACCCATTTATTCTCATTTGATTGCGTTGCATGCAACGACCTATACGTGTGGTCGGATGTCTTTGGTCAACAAAGTGATTGAATGAACTTCAATGTTTACTCGTCTACAGTCAGCGCTAGACTGGTGGCCGTTGGAAGACTGCATTCCGATTCTTGACGCGAGCGAGTCAAATGTAACAAGTTTTGCATCATCGGACGTGAATCAAGAAGGCAAAAAATCTGATCGAGCCGATTTCTCAGTCAAGATATTGACTCAGACTGGAGCGATCGAGACTGTGAAAGTTAGTCAGCTCAAGCTATCTTTCACATTGCACCACTAAGAAAGCTCTCAACTGAATATGTTTTTTTATGCGCGTCAATTTTATTCTTCCTTACCAGTCGAGCGATCCAAGAGTGAAAGAAGTGGTGGAAAAGGTAGGAGCTGAGATTGTCAGATTGTCTTTGATTTGCATTTGAGCTACATATGTAAGGCTTGCTTAAAATGTACAACGTATCCAACTCGTATTTCATCTGCCTAAGTATGTTGTAAGAATTATATCACTATGCCCGGATCATTGATATGAATGAAACTTGATTAACGCATTTTTTAGATGATTTTATTGATGCATGACGCCAGTGTACAATCAACACATGAACCTGAGTATTGCAAACTGGGATTCAAATTTCAAGTCAATTATTGAATCATTCACGATTCTCAGCAATAGCTACCCCCGATGTATCTGCTTTATCAGTCCCGCAAAAAAACCGGGTGGACACAATTGACCCGAAGACTGATCGGACCTTTTTGCCCGAGCGGTCACGTAGCGAATGCTGCCTCGTCATCGTCTCTCTGACGAGCACGGAAGGACGCAAAGACGCAGTAACGTGATGACGAGGCTTGTTTCGAGTGTGAAATGATCATAACTTGCCGAAACACAGGGGACTTTCGACGTCAACGTAGGAAATGATCATGCGTGTTTGACGCAGTATGATGCTCTCCTTTGTACATACCTTACGGACTTTCGTCAGCTTAGGAAACTGACACAGAATAATACTCTGATCTCCTGTACCTTACCTCACATAACTGCTAGGATGAAATTTGCGGGCCAGCGAAAGGATTTGTGAGAGTGAACCCATTTATGATCCCGCAAAACTGGATTCCATTCCCACGTCAAAATGAAGAATTTGTACATTTTTCGCCTCTTAATATTCCCGCTTCTGGCTTACTTTGTCTCTGCATCATTAAGCCCAAAGATTGGCCTGGTTGGAAAGCATTCCTGTGATGAACAAATGCCTGGAGTGTTTAAGAACCTGAAAGATCACAGCACGGAACTTGAAGGCATTCGCACTAGACAACCCTTGCCACTTCTTCAAACTTCTTTCGATGCCCCTTTGGATGAAGCTGAAATATCAAGAACATGGTCATTTCAGAGGCAACCAACTGACGTAAACACGTGCGGTTTGCGGGCGCCTGACGTAGCTCTCAAAATTAATGATTCTTCTCAAAAATCAGCCCTTCCCAATACCGCTACGTTGGCTGATATCAGCAGGGGTGCGAAGAGACTAGCGGTTGGAATTCCTGGCCAGGAGGGTGAAGGAAAAGGCGCAGCCTACCAACCAGCTCCAAAGAAAGTAAAATTCGATCTGAATTTGTCTTTGGGTCCTCCGGGGGTTGAAAAAGAGGAAGCTAGTCCGACTCGTTCTTCATACAATTGTAAGTGCACCTATTCCTGTTTTTGATTTAAGATGAGTTCATACAAAGGAACGAAATGAATGCTGCCCAACAGCTAGCTAACTTATCGGTAAAATATCATAGATCTGAAACAAACAGAGAGTACAATTCCTGCAGGATCTCTTCGGATTTTTGGGAAGACAATCCATACGGTTCTCCCCACCATATCAACAGCGAGGAAGCGCGCCGGTTTTTCAGAGAAAGGTGGGAATGCAATAGGGCCGTCTGCAGTTTTCATCAAATCTTTAGCGGATGGATCTCCTTCTCCGAGCCATCCTGAAGCTCTCACTTTGATGAGACATATTCAAGAAGATGGTAATTCCAGAAACCTGGGTAGTGAGCGCAATGTAAGCAGTAGCTTGGGTTTAACAGAACATCAAATGCCGCTAATTGAGGATTTCCGCCTGGAGAATATAAATCGCAAGATGTGGGCATGGGTCTCAGTGATTGTGCATGTTTTATCGAAGGGAAAACAAGAGCAGATGCGCAGACACATAGGTCAACTAATGTGGACACTTCATTCCAAACATAAAGAATACCAAATTCAAAAGAGCCATATGGGTAGGAACGCCGATTCAAACATCCATCTGGGAGATCAAATCGATCAATTTTGTCGTCTACTATTGATTTTGAATTTTCGAGTCCTACAAGTGCTAGGACTGGGTTTATCAGATGTTTTGTACTCTTTAGAACAAGGAGATTTCATCCATTGGTTAATTGAAGTCGTTTTGGGTCATCAGGATTACAATGTATCTTACCTTACAAATAATTCATTTCAGGAACAGAAGTTTCCCTGTGGCGTAGTGGAATCACTTCACCAAAAAATTTACAAGGCCTTGAATTGTCAAGGAGAGGATCCTTTGTACAGGATAAAGATATCTTGGAAGTCCTTCCCAGTAGATCCTATCATCATTTCAAAAAAACAAGTAGCAATGAATGAAGCAGCAGTTGAACTTCTTGGTTCTTACTACAAATCTAAGAACTTGAGGAAGTGGGATAAAGTATTTCATGACACAAGGTGCTTTGTACTTCAAATAGGAAACATTGACCCTGATTGGATGAGGACAGGTCATCAAGATAGAAAGATTAAGTTCAAAGATTTGGAGGCAGCAAAGCTTTTCCCTTGGAAAGATGATGTTGTGGACGATTTAGCAGGAGATGTTTTACAAAATAAAGCAATGAAATCGTCTTATTTGGAGAAATTTGTCGAGCTGATTGGCTTTAAGGATCCATCGATAAAACTGGAATTAGATCAGAGGCTTCAACTTTCAAACTCCAAAAGATTTTATATACCAAAACAATTCACCCAAACATGGAATAAGATAATCAGGATCACTCTGGTAAAAATGAAAGAAGTGAGCCAGGAATACACACCTGATGATTCTTTTGTCTCAGATATGAGAGGGTACATTGCTAGCGGAATTGAAAGATCAATGGGACTACAAGCAAAATCATCATTTCTGTCTACTGGCCAAGACAAATTTACAGAGATGCTGAAAAGGATATGTGTGTTTATTTCATCAATCAATTCAGTTTTTATGGAAAGTTTGGGGTGTGATCAAACAGAGGATGCATTTTTTCAAGAGCAAACGTTGGTCCAAAAGTACTTTGAATTCTTGGCATCCACTCTCAAAACGGGTGTGAACCAAGGACATATAATTGAAAATCAAACCCTTGAAGAATTCTTGATTGGTTTATTCACTTCAGAAAAAACAGATCCAATTTATTCTGGAAAGCGTTCATGGTTTGCGAAATCTTACCGATTCAACTATTCAGAAAATGACATCCAAGTGATGAAACTTGCAGTCTATACAATTGGATGTTACTACAAGAACCAAGATCCGATCAAGTGGGAGGTTCTGTTTCCAGCAGACCAAAAGCTGCTGGATTTGATTGCAAAATACAGCAGCATTTGTTACAACTTCAGACTTCCCAATTACAGAAGAGATTATTTAACTAGATTGAAGCCATATAAACTGTTTCCATGGATTCAGAAAATACAAGGTGTCACTCAACATTCTTCATTTCATTCAAACAAAAGCCAGCTCAATGAAGACTACATTTCTGAAATCAAAACCGTGATGGCTGAAATACGCCAATTCAAATTGAAAGAAAAATAGTTAGGATCTGAGTTGAGGCAAGCTTAGATTTCACTTATAATTAAAACTTCACATACATGCATTTTGGGGACACAGCATGCAAGATGTTTTATTTTAGATTGACTTAAATTCATGCAAGCTTCTTGCACCAACCTTTGAAGTTGCATAACACTTCAATGATTTTTTTTGAAACATATATGTATTAGAGCTCCTTTTGCTTTCTGCTGATGTTATATTGTCAGGAGAAATTTGCAATTTTATAGTGGTTTCAGCATGAAAAACTGCTAAGAAAAGTGAAATCCAGTGTGTTGACCCCTACTCCTTCTCTGTGGCTATCACTATTAGTTGAATATGAAACTGTACCACATTTCTACACATGCTTCCCTCATGAACTAAATTAAGGATCAGGATGATATTATTTTGCTTTTTGAGAATTTAATGTATGTAGATAGGCATACAGAGTTCTGTACAAAGGTTGATTTGATAAAACTTAGCCTTTCCCAAAAGCAATACATATGCTTCAGTTTGGCTGAAACAACATACAGCAGCAGTGCAACAACTGCACCAAGTTACACCAGTGCCCCTAAAACATAAGTTTAGCTGAGAGCCACTAAACTTACAGGAATTTAGGTTTAGTGTAGTGGAAGCCCACTCAATTCCACTAACACTCAACTGGGCTGAATCACAGCTAATTAGGACCCCACTACAGCTAAAACTACCATTTGTTTTACAAATTTTGGTTAGCTTTAACTTTAGTGTGACAAGCACTACAATTGCAGTGTAGTGTAGTGGCTGCAACTACACTAAAGTGACTAAGTTAGCTTAAAAATACACTAAATGTAGTGCAGTTGTTGCACCATTGCATACACAATGGACAAACTTGCTTGTTTTACATAATCAACTTACTGTGGCCCAAAATCCAAACATGACACCCAATCTATGGTCACTTTGCCTCTGCTTAATAGAAATCATGTTTTTGACTCATGACATGCTTGTCTGATTATGTAACAAAAGCCCAATTTGCCTGCTGTGATAAGACTCATTGGCACACTGATTGTCAGATTTCACTGTGGGATTCTTTGTTTCAGTTTCATTTTTCAGCATACATAAGTTGCTACCCTACTACATAAGTTGCCTTCTCAGTTTGAGTTTATTTAGTCCATCTAACAGCTTGAATTTTTTAGTTTTGGCTTTGACTCCAAACAAGGTACATATGTATGTCTTGGTTTTGATGTCTTGTTTCGAGTAGTCTGACTCTGAGAGCACATGACACGCACAACACTATATTTAATTAGAAGGGGTGAAATTGACAGCTATCCATCCCCCGGTGGTAGGACATGCTGGCTGCGTCCGTTTGATACCCTCTTTTCGAGAGGCTTAGCATGGGGTTTTGTGCGGTTCATTACTTCTGCGATAGCAACTCAGCATTAAAAAAATCCTATACAAACACTTCAAAATGAAAAAGTTTTGCAGCTTCTTGCTCAGAATTCTGCCTCAGTTTCACTTTGTCGCGGCATCCCTCATTCCTAACACCCGCCAGGTTGGAGACCCGCCTAGCGAGCAACTAATAAATAAATTTCACAAGGATGAAAATACAGAAGTCCACACCAGACCACTCTTGTCATTACTTCAAACTACTCACGGGACCTCTTCAGAAGAAATGGAAATTTCAATTAAAAAGGAAGAAATTCCATCATTAGATCTACACATTGGTAAGTATCCTTCAATATCGACTGATGATTCATGCAGTTGGCAGACACTTCTTGACTTTCTATCATTATAAATCAGGTCTTTCAGATGCCGCTGCCTTGACTGATGCTGATAGGGGTACAAAGAGGCTATCGCTTGGGTATACAAGCTCTGACAGTAGAGAGCAAAGGGCATTCCACCAACCAGCTTCAAAAAAGTTGCAACTAGATCTACATTTGTCTTCGCGTGTTTCGGAGGTTGGAAAGGATGAACGCAATAGTAAGTGCACCTCTTTCCGCTTTCGATTCAAATTTTGATCGCAAGAGGCTTTCAATTCAACACTCTCATGAAACAATATAAAAGCTAATGAGCTTCAATCTTCATAAATCCTGACTGAAATGAATCAAACAGGTGATATGATATTTTCTGCATCTTGTGAAAATTTTAAAAAGGAAATTGATGCGAGCAGTCACCTCCCCTCCAATTTTATAACTGGTGACCCACTGAGACATTCCACTGGCATTTTGGTGCCTCCTGACAATAAAAATCCAAATTATCTCCTGGAAACCGTTATCGAGCCACTAGCTCCAAAAATTGCTCTTCCAAACGAAGAAGAAGCTGCAAATTTACTTATCAACCTTCACAGAAATGGTAGTTCCAAGGCCCCTGCAAGTGACAAAAATTCAATCAGTCCAATCGAACCCAAAAGTGGATTTCTGGTAGAAGATTTTGTGCTGGAAAACATGAACCGAAAACTTTGGACATGGATTTCAATGGTTTCGCATGGTTTGTATACAAGAAAAGACAACCATATGCAGGGAACAATAGATGAATTAATAAAGGATTTATTTTCTAAAAATAATGACTTAACATTTTGGAAAAACAAGAATGATGGCACCTATGTTTTAGACTCTCATCTGGCAAGTAAAATCAAAGACATTTCTTGTTTATTGTGGGCTTTGAATTTCAGAGTGCTTCAAGTCCTTGGGATGGATGGATCTCTTCACTCTTACCTTTCGGAACAAACAGATTTTATGCATTGGTTTTTCGAGTTTATTTTGACTGATCAGGATCACAACTTGTCTTCAAATTTACATGGTTCAATTCAGGATCAGAGCTCTCAATGTGGTATATTGAAATCACTACGCCAAAGGATTTCAAACGCAATCAATTCTCAAGAAGAGAGTTATGTATACAGGATAACCTCACCTTGGAAAGCATATCAAATGCATCCAATCATGGTTTCACAAAAGCAAGTTTTAATGAACAAAGCAGCAGTCCATGTACTTGGTTTTTATTACAAAAACCATAACCTGAAGAAGTGGAATCAAGTTTTTCATGAAGAGAGACAGTTTTTACTTCAACTTGCAAATATTGGATGTGTATGGATGAGAACATGGCACCAAAGAGGACAAAGCAAGACTTGGGCTCAACAAGGAAAGGAAAAAAAAGACCATGTGAAAGAGGCAAAGCTTTTACCTTGGAAAAATGATATTTCTGATGATTTGCCTCAAGATATCTTGAAAAAGAAATATATTCAATGCTCTTATTTTGAAACTGCTGTGCACACAATTGGTTTTGATGAGGAATCAACAAAGATCAATATATCACAAATGCTTCCATTTTCAACTTCCAAAGGCTTTATTTTGAATAAGCAATTCCCATCAATTTGGAAAAGGATCACAAGAGATGTAGTGACTGAAATGAGGGAGGTAAACTTAGACTTTATACCAGATGATCATTTTGTATCAGAGACCAGGAATTACATTGCAGATTCAATTGGAAGACTAATTGGGAAAGAGAAAAGGTCATTATTTATGTTGGATTCCAATGAGAAATTTTCAAAAACTCTCAAAAGGATATTTGATTTTATGGCATCAATGAATTCAATTTTTCTTCAAAGCTTGGGCTGTGATAAAACAGATGATACATTCTTTCAAGAGCAAAATTCATTCCAAAAATATTTCAAACTCCTAGTTTCAACTCCAAGGAATGAACAAATTGGGAAGCCAGAAGGAATGATTGGGAACAAGAATATTGAATCTTTGATGGTTGATTTATTTATCTCAGACCAGACAGAACCAATTATAAAAGGTCAGAGTTCAAGGAATCCACATTCCCACCATTTTAGCTTCTCAGAAAATGATGTCAAAATATCCAAAATTGTGCTCTATACCATTGGTTCTTACTACAAAAGCCAAAACAATATAAATTGGAGAATGGTATTCCAAGAAGACCAAAAGATGATAGATTTTCTTGCAAAGTATGGAACCATATGTTACTGTGTAAAGTTGAGTCTTTATCAAAGGGTTTTTTTGCCAAGATTAAAGTCATATGGACTATTCCCATGGGTCCTGAAAAATCAAAACTCACTTGGAGATATTTCATCTGATGTAAACCCAACCATCCGTAAACAACCCAAAATTGGTGCTGAAATCAAAATACTGATTGAGGAAATCCTTCAATTCAGAGTTCGTTGATAACCACAAATAAATTTCAATGACAATTTGAAAAAAATGCCATTTGTTCTTTTCAGAGATTCAATTTGTTTCTTATCAATTTTTCCAGAAGTCCTAGTCCTCTCCTCAAATAAAGATTTGTGTCATCAGTATCTAGATTTTTCAACTGTGATCCACGCAAATTCATTTTCAATTCAGTTACATTTCAATAAATACCTGATTTCCCATCCATCTATTGTCCAGGACCCCCACAATTTCCCCCAATGGCCTCCTCTCCCCCTCCAGAAGGGCTGCACTACCAGTATTCTTATTATTAAATTCCAGTGCAACTATACTGCTGCACTAAACCTGGAATGTTCTCACCCAAGATCCTCCTTCACGTTCAAATTTGGTATGGCACTGAATTTCATGCTTCCTATTTAGATCTTGCAAAAAGTGCTCAGTATGGATGCATTAGGGGGACTCCAAGTCAATTTTTAGTCAGTCAACTTCATGATCTTGTGTAGACTGTTGCTCAGAGATCAACTTTGAAACCGCCTGTTAATCAGATGTGTGGCATAAAATATGCTACAGAGCTTTCGGCCATCAGTTAGCTTAAAAAATCCATTGATGCTATTGCTATCGATTGCCAACATTTGTTCCTTTTTTTTTGATGAGAGGTCCCAATCAGAGTCAAGTGTGCTGCTTACGCAATCGGGCGCTATGGGTTATGTGTTGAGCCCAGCGGGATGCTTAACTAATCAATCCTGGATCGAGTCGATGACGGAGTGGCCTGTCTCCAGTTGACCGTCTCGCCCGAGAAAACCCAAAGACCAACCACGTAGCAACAGCAACTGTGAGGGCGACCACATACATCCATAGGACGCTGAAGGAGAAGACAACGAACGAAGGACAACGGACAGCACAACCAGCCAGCCCGATAAGAGACAAGAGCCTCCAAGAGTCAATTTCGAATCGACCACATCATCATCAATCCCATCGATCATGAACGAGTTCCCAACCCTGGAAGCTTCAGCTGGTGCGCCCAAGAAAGCCGAGACTCATGAGGCTATCAGAGAAGACCCAGCGGCCCCGCTCAGTTCCGCCGAGAAGCTCATGCGTCAACACCACCAGCATCTTTCCTACGAGGAAATCCGTTCAGCGACCACCAACGGCGATCAAGACCATCAAGCGAGCCTCCCCAACGGCAATGGCAATCCTGCCAACCAACCTAACAAGAAGAATCGTGACAAAAAACAGCAACCCGATCTCGATTCAGAAACCGCTTTCCCATCCCTTGGTGCTTCCGCTGCCGCTCCTAAGACTGCTGGAGGTTGGGGCGCAGGTCCGGCCCTTAGCTCTAGGTCTCTCGCCGGAAGCTTCCAAAAGATTGATTTGTCTAGCACCAATCAATTCACCGAGACCTTAGTCTTGTTGCTATCTAGGTCCGCCTCATCCTTTTTTTTCTTTTCTCCATGCTCGAATTTGAGCATTAAAAACTGAGCAATTTCTTCTATGTCTTTGCTATTCATCCTGTTTATTTTATTATTATGATCTTCAGTATTCACATCGGCCCCGTCCCCCCACAGTATAGAGAAAAAGGTCCCCGAGCGGCTGGTGAGAAACGTGAAGAAGATCCCAAGACTTTGCCAGATGTGCGTTCTGCTGCTTTGGATCAAGCATGCCTTGAAGTAACGATGCTGACAAAGAACAACCTTATAATCTTCTGATGAACAGGTTCTTCGAGTGATTCATAAGAGACATCCAACGGTCGTCGTAGAATCATCTACGTCCAGAGATCGGGTCACCATCATCTTCCGAACTCCGTTCGTCTTACCAACACCCACCTCGTCGACCCCTCCACTGATCAGAGCCGCATCCTCTTTGCCCCCCGAGGAGCGGATCATCCGAGCCCGCCAAGAGTTGATCACTCGCGTGACCAGAAAGATTGAAAAGGTGCTCAAGATTCCCGTGTCTGTCAAGCCATTTGTGATCGGACAACGAGGCCGCGTCATGAAAGAAATTATCGAGGTCACTGGTGCGAATATTAGTCTACCCCCCAAGGATGGAAATCGCCCGGTGAACGTGGACTCGCCAGCTGAAGAGACTACCATCAATGGTTCAGATGAGGTCGAGATGATAACTATCACGATCAATGGCGAAGAATCTGCCGTACTGGATGCAGAAGATCGAATAATGATGATCGTTCGCGAACATACTAACAAAGTCAATCTCAGGATCACTTCGATCCCAATTGAGTCTTACCCACTTCTGAACAGGAACTCAAAAATCTCGGAAGTCGTCCTTCGTGGTTTAACCAACGATCTTAAGATCAACGAAGATGAAATCAACTGTCAAATTACCATACCTTCGATCGATCAAATCCTCAAATCTCATCCTTCTCATGTCTGTTTGGCTGATCCTGATGGAAACAACAGCTCGCACGGTCCGAAAGGTTCATCCGCAAGTAAAGAATCGCTTCCTATCACTATATCTGGTGATCGAGCGCAAGTTGAATATGCTGTAAAGGTATTGCAATCAACCTTTGAAAACATGGTCCGTTTATTTCCCTTTCTCCAAAATGATATTTTTCAAAGCCTCTTGTTCATTTTTCCTGTTTTTTTACGCAGACGAAGTCTATTGCCAAAGTGGAATTAGAGCTTCCCAAACGTCAACACAAGTTCTTGGATAACCGAGCGATTGAAGAAATTCTCGAGTCCACAGGATCGCTCGTCCTCTTACCCCCAGCGAGTGACTTGAGTGAAAAAGTTGTCATCCGTGGAGAGAATATGTCGAATGTTCAAGCGCTTGGTCTAGTTGTGGTTAGTCATTTCGATATCCTGAATTCTCAATTTGCCGTTTTGACGGTTCGCCGGGCCTAAATCTAACTATTCCCTGAAATTGACTATGCAATAACCAGACGAAAGCAAATGCTCAGTCAGTGGAGAGCTTGGATCTCAAGAAAATTCACCCGAAAGTGCCGAACCCCTCCACCTATTCAAATTCAGTGATCGCATATTTGTCAATCAAAGCTCACCAGACAAAATTGAAGCAGATACAGGAAGAATGCGCCCCCAGAGGAGTCAAGATCTATCTTCCGCTTCGAAGCTCTCCCTTCTCAACTATTGATATCGCCAGCAAAGACGCAGAATCGATCAAGTATGCAAAAGGAATAGTTGAAACGTACATCAGAAATAACATGAAGCCGGAATACTTTGTAAACGTTGAAGTTGACAGATTGTTACATCGTCACATCTTGAAAAAGAAAAATCCCCGCTTGAAAGTCCTCTTAGATCACAATGGGATTGAGATGATCATCCCTCACGAACATGACCCATCCTCGACGATTCTGTTAGTTGCTAGCAAGGCAATCATTGGCAAAGAAGCCAAGGCGAGCAATGAAAACGAGCTGATCTCAGCACTATCCAAAGCGAAGGAGGAGATTTTGAAATCGGTGAAAGAGTTGGCAGAAATGAAGACGGTAGAATTGGAAGTCCCCCAAAAACTGCATAGTCACATCGTCGGTCCCAACCAGACTACATTGAACGTCATCATCGGTGAAGATAAGTTGGTCTCCGTCCAAGTCGGCAATCCCTCTTCACCTGATCTCATCACCATTCGCGGCTCCAAGGATGAAGTGGATAGAGTGGAAAAGGAAATCCGAAGGATGGCTGAAGAAGCCAAAGTAACTGAAGCAACTAACTCATACGTCAGTCTAATTTTCTCTCACCTTTCCCCAGATACACAATGAAGAATTTGGCTGAATGTTGCGCTTTGATTCTTAGTCAACTGATTTCGAGATAGACTCCAAAGTCGTCAGCCATCTGGTTGGTAAAGGAGGAGCCACGATCTCAAAGTTAGGAGAAGAATTAGGAGTCCGAGTCGTGTTTGCAGATCAAGTCAACAATGGACCGTCTCACGAGGCCGACAGCTCCAGTCATCACAAAAAGCGCAAGAATCATCACACAAAAGTTTCCGTCACCGTATCTGGAAGGATGGAAAATGTTGAGGAAGCTAAGAAGCGGATCTTGAATCAAGCCGAGCGACTGGTACGTGTCAAATCATTGTTATTTTAAATTCCCGGTGCTCTTTGCCTATTTGGCTTTGGGTCCTCATCAGTGAACTGACTTTTGAATGGTTCTTGGTTGCATATTTCAACACTATACACATTTCATTAATTCAGGCGGATGAAGTCACCATAACTTTGCCTGTAGCAGCTGGATTAGACAGGGGTGCATTGATAGGCAAAGGTGGCATATATCTTACACGCCTTCAGGTCAGTATCGAGGCAATACAAAACCCTAAAAAGATCCGTATTTTATGTAACTCCCTGATTTCTCTTGTAACTTTTGTTGATCAGGATACACACATGGTTCACATCAAAATGCCTCAAAGTCGGAAAGAAGACAATTCTGCGAATGGCAATGATTCGGACATCACGATTAGGGGACCTAGAAAGGGGGTAGAGGCAGTAAAACGTGAAGTCAGTTATTTAAGGCCCAATACACCTTGACTTGATCGAGGCAAGCTAACGACTCATAGATGCAATATTTCTTCTTAGTTGATCGAGCTCATGGAATACGAGCGTGAGCAAGGAAACACAGCATCCATGGAAATTTCCACCAAATCCGTCGCTCGAATCGTTGGCAAAGGAGGCGCTCAGGCCGACAAGATCAAAGAAGAAAGTGGACTTCAATCTTTGGACATTGATAAACTCGATAACGCAGAGGGGACCAGCCGGGTCACTTTGAAGGGCTCCAAGGCTGCTATCTCAGCTGCTAAGAAACTCATCAATACTATTGTTCAAACTGTGGACGATGAATGTCTCGCTGAAGTCAATATCCCCAAAGCTTATCATCAAGAATTGATTCGTCGAGGAGGAGCACGATGTAAGTACACATATTAATCAACAGAGTACGTGTCCAACAGTGAACCTTTGTTCTTCTTTTTTTTTCTTACATTTTTCTAGTACGTGAGCTCGTCAAGAAGGCTGGGGTGGATGAATCAGCATCCAGATTTGTACATTTCCCAAAGGCCAACTCGGAAGGCAACGTCGCCGACATCGTTCAAATCAAAGGAGACAAGAACGTCGTCCCGAAAATCAAGCGTGAATTAGAGCTTGAAGTGGAGCGTCTGATCAACCAAGTCACCTATGGGCTTTTTGTTCCCAAGAACAGTCAACCGAGCATCATTGGAAGAGCGGCAAGTGGCCTCAAATCCCTACAAGACAAGCACAATGTTACCATTATCGCTCCAGGTTGGTCCCAATGGGCCACGTCTGATCAACCTATAAATCAAACCGATTTGAAGGATATCGATCCAGATGAGATCTTTAAAGTTGTTGGAAGCAAGGATTCATGCTTGTCTGCGATCGAAGATTTGAAGGTTAGACACCCGTCCCCTGCTATTTCCTCCCCACTTACCACCATCAAGCCACTTTGAGACGTTTGTCACTGAAATTTACACCTTACACTCTACACAGAGCAAGATCGTCGTCAAGGATCGACCCGAGCGAGCACCGGCATCAAAAAAGACAATAATGATTCCCGCTCAATACCACCATGTGCTAATCCAAAGTGGCCGATTTATGCAAGGTAAACCTACCTTTTTCCACGCCTCCACAGTTCAGAATTATCATCAGGAAGAATTCTGATTGATCTCTTGGGATTCAGGACTTCCGAGAGCAGTACGAATCGATCACGGCAATCTTTCACTGCCCTCACTTGAACAGGTTGGCGAACCCCTCGCCGACAGTGCTCCAGTACCATCCATGTCTAGAATCGATGTTGACGATAGTGACTCTCAAAATCAACCCGTCATATTGAGTTGGCATGCTGTAGAAATTAAGTTGAATGGAATCTCAGAAGTGCCTTGGTAAGTTCATGATAGCAGACTACTGAATATTTCGATACTGAAGCTAAACCCTTGTTTTTTTTTTGCTGATCTTGACGACATCGGATGGGATGTTTTCTCGGCAGGAACATTACGGGCCCAGCCGCGGAAGTGGAGAAATTGGAGAAGACGGTGAAGAGTCAACTGGATGTCTGGACGAAGAAGACGGATGCCGAGGGAGGCAAGCTCTATGCGGCGACGGTCAAAGTTCCAGTACATGTGATGCCGGGGATCATTGGCAGAGGCGGGAATGGATTGCGCGAATTGATCGCAAAGAGCGGTGGTGCAGTCGTCGAAGTCCTTGGAAAATCCGGCTCGGATACGCTCAAAGTCATCGGCACATCTCAACAGTTGGACGCCGTTAAGGCCTCGTTGAACCAGATCAGACGAAGAGCTTAGTTCTCCCCACATATCTTTTCTCATCCATTCATTTAGATTGCATGTTTTTTGTTTGTTTGAATTTCCTATACAATTACCCTCTTGTGGAATCCTCAATTGCTTTTTCTTTCTTTCTTTCTTTGTTAATCGTCGCACTTGATTACATCCTTCTACTACTACCTTGTCAATCAATCAATTATTGACAGAATCAAACAAAAAAAAGAGGACTAACTCAGGAAAAAAAAATCAGATGTCTCATTACAGTCAAACACGATTCAAATTGTTTTGGTGGACTCAATAATACGCATTTGAACTCTTTTGGCATTAGAGACTATCTAAGATCCTGGATTGTGGATTTTCACAGGAGGTCAAAGTCTGTGCAAGGATCAAGGCTGGACTGTCCATTCAGATTTTGTTTTTGATTTATCTATAATGCCTGTAGCCTGAACAGATTTTCTGCACCTGCAATCATGCAAGGTGTTGCCCATAAGCCTCTCCTACCAAGAGTGCAGTGAACGTGGGCCCCGGCCCCAGATTTCAAGGGGCCATTTTCAATTCAGGTACGCAAGATAGTTGATGGAATTAATCCAAAAAAGAATTCCTATTTTTGTTCAATAGGAGAAAATCAGGGAAGCAACTTGGGACATGTTGACAACACATGAGTGTAAAAAGAAAAGGTTTTTGCCTGACAGCACAAGGGAGTAGTGTAAGCCCAAGGCCATCATGATTCATCTCAGCCAATCCAGCACAGATACATCCAACCTACAAATAGGAGAGTTCACATCTGAACCTTTGAGGCAAATTTCATGCAATTTATCATCAAAATTTCACAAATTTGTCAATAATCTCAAATTCCTCCAAAACTGATGATTCATTGCTTCTTTACTTTTTGATATTACTAAAAAATCAATCCAAACATTTTGGCCCATTGTTGTTGTGCAGCCAACAGCACCCCCAGCACCATTGCCAGACAGCAGAAATGATACATTAGCACAGTTGGCCACTGTCCCATTGTATGCAATGGTACACAATCTGTAGTTGCATGGGGACTTTCTCACCTTGGCTGATTTTATTTTTCATGATAGCCTGTTCTCCACCTCTCAAGGTTATGAGTGTGTCATCACCCAAGACAACTTAGAGTATTTTCACCAAATCATGCCCATTTGTTACTGTCCACTCACACATCTTCATTTTTGCAGACTTTGCAGGAGGACTTGGTCAAAGTGGGAAAAAAATGTATCAGAATTTTGCAACACACCACTCAGTTTTGTAAATGAAAATGAGAAATTTATACTGAATAAATTGGATAATATGAGTGATAGCAGAATCAATATGTGAAACCTCGCCACACACAGGTTTCACAAATCAACCTTAGAGGCTTACATAATCACCCCAACTCATTTCATCCTTATAAACCAATCAGCTCCACCCCTGCCTAGCTTGGTAGAGAACTCTGGCCATTTTCTTCTACCAAGCTAGGTGAGTAAAACCATTTCACATTTCTTTCTCTTTTCTCTTAATCATGTTTTCTTCTCTTTTCTCTTTCTCTCATTAGATTCTAATTGTTGAAGTTGTACTGAGAGAACTCCAGCCCTTTTCTTCTACCAATCTAGCTCATTGAAATATATATACAGATTCAGGTTCTAGAAAGTTCTCTCCAGACAAATTGCCTGTCTTGACGTCTCTTAAGTTATGCTAGTGAAGAGTCAAGACGTGACTCCTACACAATACTATTCCACAAATTCATTCTCTTGATCCTACAATAGTACAAGATATCTGACCCAAGAGTTGAACCCATTCTACCCCTTTCCGTTTCCTTGACTGGGCCAATCATGAACTTCACAATAAAATGAGGCAGTTGCATTAACATTGAAGTTTATTTCTTGGGATTTCCTGGGACTTATCCATCCCAAGGGATTGAGGCCCCATTTGAACAGTCTTGATTGTCATCATCAATCATGAGTAAAAAAAATCAAAAATGCATTAAGCCCATATTTTCATATGACCTGATTGGGATGCAACTTGTACATCCTTTAATATATCCTTGAGGCCATTTGTGGTTCATTACCAACTCTGATCTCTCTTGCTAGTGTCAGTAGATTCCTCTTATGGCCAGCTTGTAAATTTTGAACTTGTGGATCACTTTGAAAAAACTCTACCATCCAACATCTAATCCTGGCTCTTTATGTATGCAACTTGCTGGTTTTAACAATTTCAAGACAAAATTACACTGTTCTGGAAATAAAATTGATACAAATGAAAATACCAGTGATAAAAAGATCAAGTTCCCCATGTTCAAACATGGTATTTATAATTCAAAATGTAGTATTGTAGACTGCACTGTTAACTTTGAGGGATGCAAAGACAGTGATGCAAACACCCACTGGTGGAAAATAATAAAGTCTACATACTCTACTAGTATTCATAGCCATCACATATTTTGGAGTACCACAGAATTTGCACCTGCACTGGGGTTGAAGCCAGTAATAAGGATAGGCCAGAAGTTCCAGCTAACAAACAAACTAACACAAGTTAGAGACTGAATACTTCAGTTATCCAGATAAATTAAATCATCAGTGTCAGCCTTAGAGATACTCCATAGTATCCAAAAGACTGCTAAATGAATATTGAATATTAAATACTCAATATGTAATATAATATGTAATAATACTATCTAATAAAACAATATTTCATAAGATTATGAAGGGGGTTGCTCACTGGAAGTATCCCCAAATTCCTACTCCTTCAAGGACTTTGTATATATTCAAAACCTTGAAGGAAAAAAGGAATAAAACATAAAAAAATATAGAATGAAATCAATGTATATTAAATTAGGGTTAAATATACATTTAGGGTAACCTTAGAAATTTTATTCTACAAGCATAATCAATTTATTAAAACTTGTAGAAAAGAAATTACCACACTATGTCAAGAGTGTGGCACTTTCTACTAGTAGTATTCTATTTAAGGAGACACATGATGTAATTGGCTATAAATAGGCATCATGATGTCATGGGACATAGAATATACATTATTTGAAATACCTTGAATTATTCCCATTACATCAGGGGAATAATTCTACCATGGTACACTAAAAGAGAGATTCTAGAATATTCTAAGGAGGGCCTCAAGGGGACCTCTAGAATATTTAAGGAGGCCTTCTCCTGCCTAGGATTGGTTCCTCAGCATATTCACCCTCAGTACACTTAGTGAGTACAGTGAATATTCTCCACCTACTTTTAGAGTAGTCTTTTTATCCAATCCAACCCTACCTTCTTACTGGAATTATTATTAAGCTGAGAGTTATCCCAGACTCAAAACTTAACTAATTCCTTAAAAAGTAGTTGCTGCAAGACCACCACCTCTGACTGTAGCCTTTCAGCTCAGGTGCTTGCCAGCTACTTCTTGCAATATTAATTATTGCTTCCAAACACTCTGCAATAACATATTCTGTTATTGTCTCCTACAGTGCTCTCTTGATTACTCAAGTGTCATTAACTGAGGAGTGTGGACTTTTTAACCTCTTAAGTGGGAAGTTTGGACCACTTAATACTTTGAGGGTGACTAGGAGTAATCTTGGTCTTTAACCTGAGTCCTTCAGCACAGTGATAGTACTTGGCTTTTATATTATTAAGCCAAAGTTTCATACACATAGCTGACAATCAGGGATTGTTCTTTACTCTATCTACAAATTAGCTGAATAATGGGTCACAGACAGATCAAATAATTGAAAATAGCTGCCTTGACTGAGATAATTTTTGTTCCACCCAAATTACAAGCAAGAGCAAATACTAATTCTTAATGCTTTAGTTTATCTCAATAAAAATAGTATTCAGTCTGTAGCTTGTGCTAGTTGCCATTGTTAGCCATAACTTCTGGCCCATCTTTGTAAGCCAGTGAAGATGCTTATAGTAGTACGTAAATACATTTACATTCACTACTCTTTTCTTACTATGTATTTGAATGGCATGAGGCATCATGACATCACACATTCTGTTGGATTATTGAAAAAGCTACAAGACTGTGAAGTGAAATTGCAAAAGCTGACTAAGGTGCCAACATAAACACTGTTTTGGAAATCTTTTTCAAAAGATTTTGATGTATTTTTAGCTGAAATTTCTGTAAAGTAAATCTCAAAATGTGTCCCCATGTCTTTTGGACACATTTGGATATCAGAAGAAAATTTTGAGGCCTATTACAGGCACAAGGAAGGTGTATGTGACACTCCCATTGAATTGTACCTCTGGTCCATTCAGAAAGAGTAAAAATCATGAGATGTACCTGACTGATGTGTTGTGCTTTCATGTCTGGCTGGAAAGCTCAGAGGGTCTGGCCATCTGTCTGACCCTTATTCCTTGCCCCCACCTGTGTTTTTTTTCTTCTTTTTGGTCACCTTCACTGCCATGGAAAACATCAGGCAAATTTGTAAGTGGGATTGATCAAGTGGAGGCCAAGTTTGTAATTCCACTTGATGGAGTGCAAATGATTATAACTGCCACCCAGTTTTGAATTTGTTGTAGAAATGTTTTGGTGGAAAATTCAGTGCTTTCTAAATTGAAAAAATAAATTTTCAAGTAAATATTTCCAAAAAGGTGTTTATAATTGGTGCCTAACTTGATCACTCCCTCTTAGTGCAGTGTTTTCCCGCAAAGTTTGCCCTCCCTCCGGTTGGCACATTGCAACAGAGGTTTCACGGTTGTGTTGTGTAGGAGGGAGGGATCAAAGTGTCATTCCTGTCCCAGCCAAAAATCAGATGTATGTACCCAAGCTCCCTGTGGTCGGGTCGAGCTTTGCTTGCCCGAGAAGACCCACCAGGCAAGGGGATTGTATAAGCTAGGGCGCTTTTGAGTGCCCAAATCGCAAAGCCAAGCTTCACGGGAAGCTCACCCCAGACCGGGTGGCCCCACAGGAGGTAACGTCCTTCAGGCTTGAACCTGTGATTTTTTTCCAGCTTTTTTTTTTTTTTTTTTTTTTTTTTTTTTTTTTTTAAGTGCTAATTGATTTTGACATTGCGCACTACAGTGAAAACTAGTTTGAGAATACATACGAAGACGTTTTTGTATTTACAATAGAATATACTTGAAAATATCGAGTAATTAAATGATGACTTCTGTTGACTTCTTTGTTTTATCGAACTTATGGAAAATTATGAGAGAAGAAAAAGCCCAAAAGAAACCGGAAAAAGAAATGAAAAGAAGCGGAATCGACAGATAAAAATGAATAGAAATATAAGGAAAAATAGAAATCCTCCTCTTTTAATCGTATCTGAACCTTTGGTAAAATCGATGACCTCGACTCTCTGCGCCTTGTTTCCCAGGCAAGTCGCATCGTGGGGTCCCAACCCACGACCTCTTTAGGATGTGTTCGAGAGAGAGAAGAAATCATCGATCGTCCCGCTTGTCCAGACCGATGAACCCCCGTATAACTTTTAGACAAAATTTAGACAATGATCGACTAATCTATGGTTTTGGTTAATAATCTGAGTATAAGAATGAGAAAGATAGTTGATAAAGAGAAAAAAAGAAAAAATGGTGTAAGAAAATATATAAGAACCAGAAGAAGAGAAGAAGAGAATAGAAGTTTTAAGAGAAGTAATAGAGTTATATAATTCGATATGAGATAATTTTTTTTTTTTTTTTTTTTATTCTTTGTCGTTTTCGATGTAAAATTGTAAATTGTTGAACCTTTTTGTTTCTAATATGTAGTCAGCTAAGAATTTGAAGTTGATTGGCGAGTCGAGAATTGATTTTACCGAGAAGATGTTGATTTTCATTTTGTTTTCTTTGATTTTTTTCCGATAATTTTTTCTTTGAATGTCGTATTTTTTGCAGTATAACAAGTAGTGTTGAACGTCTTCATTTTTGTTGCAGATGTTACATAATGGAGAATCTATCTTTTTTATGGAGAATAAGAAGCTGTTGAGGGGGCAGTGACCTGATCGAAGTTGATAAATAGCGGATCCTCCTCCTCGTTCGATTTGATTCAGTTTGTTGAAGATTTTGATTGGTGTTGTTGTTAGTTTGATGTTGTTTCGGATGATCGGATTTTTGAATTTGTTGAATTTGTATTGCTTTCGGATTTGTTGTTGTAAATTGTAAAGAGTTTGTGGTTGGTCTTCGAGTTGGAATTGTCGATTGTTGAGTGTTGCTTCTTTGGCGAGAGTGTCTACTTTTTTGTTTTCTGGAATACCGACGTGTGCTGGGCACCAGAAAAGTTGGATTGTTGTGGATGAGTTGGATGAGATGAATTTTAGAAGCGAGAAGATCTTGTTGAATCTGAACTGTAATGAAGCTGGTTTTGGCGGTCTCGAGATTGCTATTAGTGTGGCTTGATTGTCGCAAAAGATATTCAGTTGATTGTTGAGAATGGTGAGTTGATTTCCGGAGTTTAGGTTGTTGAGATTGTTTTTGAACATTTCGAGGCCGATGTCGATGGCTGTAACCTCGGCTTCGAATGATGATGAGTCTTCGGCGTTGTTGATTCTGCAGGCGAAAGATGTTGAGTTGTTGAGGAGAGCTGCCGACGCTGTGCCTTGATCCGGGATGTTGGAGCCGTCTGTAAATAACATGTTTTCTGAGTTGTTCTTCATTTGATTGATTTGGTTTGTGACTACTTCTTTTGCGTTTTCTTTTTTGATCTTCAAGTTGTTGATATCGAGGTTGAAACTTTCCCATGGTTGGATTTGATGTTGATGGATGGTTTCGATTCTGTTGATGTTGAGTTGAGTTAGTGATTGTTGATCCAGCATTTTGTGAATAGGTGAGGGGTGAGTTGAGGGTTGAGTTGATAGTTCTGAGATGAGGATTCGTTTGATTGGGTGCTGGGTTGGAGCTGTTAGTTTTTTTGCAAAATAAAGGAGATTTTTTCTTTTCAGCGTAACAAAGAAGGGGATCAGTGGGCTTTCTCTATCAAGGAAGGAGCACGGGGTAGAGCGAAAAGTTCCTAAGATCATTCTGTTTGCTTGGTGTTCTATCTTGTCGATGATATTTTTGACTAGTTTACGGTTCCTTTCAGAAGCCCATATCATGCTTCCATATAGGATTCGTGATCTAAGGACACTAATTATTAGGTTTCTGGATTGTTGCAGACCGATGCCAAAAGAGCATCTTGAAATTCGGATCAGCTGGTTCACAGTTTGGTCTCCACTCTTTTTAACTTTCTTAAGATGATCGCTAAATAGGAGTTTGGAATCAAATATGATCCCGAGATACTTAGTGTTAGGAGATGGGGGAAGGGAGAACTCTCCAAATCTCAAAGGAGGAGGGTGTATATGCCGATGAGTGAAAACCATATATTTAGCTTTCTTCTTGTCGAATATAGCATTGTGGTTGGAACTCCACTGTAGTGATCTTTCTCCCTCGTCTTCTAACCTTTGTGTTGCTCTTCCGATGTCTTTGTCTGCAACCAAATGTGTAACGTCGTCGATGAAACCTAGAGAAATAGAGTCTTGATTCAAGTCAAGGGGGTTATTAATTAGCAGGGAAGAGTTGTAGATGATGTAAAGGATTGGGGAGAGGGGTGATCCCTGTGGTAAACCGCATTTCAAGTCAAATGGAGTTGAAGTGAAGTCGTCCATCTTTATTGAAGTAGTCCGATCAGAGAGTAAGCTGTTTAAGATGGCTGTTAAGTAAGGAGGGGCATTCTTTTTTAACAGAGTGTCAATCATTCGTTCTTTAACCACTGTCGGAAACGCTGATTTAACATCAAGGAAAAGAGCTGAGACAATCTTCTTTTCTCTCCATTTATGCTTGATCCAGGAAGTTAAAAATAGGTTAGCATCATCAGTGCTACGGTTAGCTCTCCCCCCAAAATGGCCTTCTGCTAAAATATCATTGTTTTCTGCCCAATACGTAAGTCTGTTAGTTATTATTTTTTCAAATATTTTACTGAGGCAAGATAATAAAGCAATGGGTCTGTATGATCCAGGGGTTGAATATGAATCTTTATCCGCTTTGCGGATGATTGCTGTTGTTGCGTGTCTCCATGTTTTCGGAAAGTAACCTATTGTTAAACAAGCGGTAAAAAGATTGATCAGGTGGTTAACATGTTCTTTCATACTCCACTTTATCATTTCGTTTGCAATTTCATCGTGGCCGCGGGCTTTTTTGTTGGGGAGATTGGTAATAATTGTTTCTAACTCAAGAGTCGAAATGTTTGGGAAGATTAGAGGGAGGTTGAAGGAAGGAGATGTTATGTTGTGTAGAGAAATGTTAAATGGCGCATCCGATGTACCTTTGAAGAGGAGGTTAGCTTGCTCTTCCTTATCAGATGTCAGGATGTTGTTGTCATCAAGGAGAGGGGCAACACTTCCGTGATTGATGGGTTTAGTATACTTATAAGCTTTAAACAGTTGATGATCTTTGCATTCGGCTAAAAATCTTCTCCAGTGATTTTTTTTTAGCTCATATACTTTATCCCTGAAAACTCGTTGCTAGTGCTGGTAGCAGTTACATGAGTTTGTTGACTTCGACAAAAGCATCCACTTCCGGGCTCGGTTTCTTTTCTCTATTAGGGGGTCTAGAATTTTTTTGTCCCACCATGGTTTAGCTTTTGCGTTATTATTCCTGACTTCTCTTTTTTGGTTATCTAGCGCTGTTTGGAAAGAGGATGTTAGTTCTTTAACAAAGATATCAATTTCGGAAGGGTTTGTTAGTAAATTATTTTCTACATTGTTAAGAGAATGATTGAGATCTTTATTAAATTTTCCGATGTCGATGTTTTCCAGGTTGTAAGAGGACCGTTTGTTGACCTGAAGTTGGGGAGAAAAGTTGAGTTCTAGGTGGATTGCCTGGTGGTCCGATCCATGATTGGAATGTGAGGTTGAACATTTTTGGATTAGTCTTTGAGCTGAGAAATTGCCCCATGTGAGGTCTATGGTAGTTGAGCTGCTTCTTTTGGTCGAAAAGGTAGGGATTCCCTTTTCCGAAATGATTTTGAAGCCCTTTCTGCCACACATTTTGATCAGTTCTTTTGCTTCGCTATGAGAGTGGGAATAATTAGCAGGGTTCCATAATTTATGATGGAGGTTAGAGTCCATAAAAATGAAGGAAGGGGTATTTCGGTCATTAAAATTTGTTAGCCATGAATTGAGCTCGGTGAGGGCATCAAAGTGTTTGGGGGGATTGTACACATTTATAAGGCGTATTTTGTCAACTCCGTCTATTTTTATGTCTAATTCTAAAGCCGATAGAATTCGCGATCCTCCATCAAGGGGGTGGATTCTGTCTGAGGTGTATCTTTTGTTTATCATAAAACATGTCCTGTGTTTGTTATGATAGTCTTTGGGGGCATGGTTGTTATCTAGCAAAGCGAACCAACTGTTATGGGTTGGTAATTTCATAGTGTGGGGGTTTATCCAAGGTTCTTGGAGGATTAATATTGCTGCTTCTTTTTCCGAATTTAGAAGACTGTGTGTAACTTCGAAAGCGTTATGACAATTGAGTTGAATGATTTTAAAGAAAGGAGATGGGGATGGAGTTTCTTGGGGGTATGATGAGTTAGATTGATTTAGTGTAAGATAAGAAATGTTGTTTCTTTGGGTTGCGGGGGGTTCGTTGTAACTATTCATTGATTAATGATAGTACGGCGGAAATTCTTTGTTTTTAGAGGGCATTTTAGACTCAATGGAGAGTGTAAGAAACGAGGGTTATTTTCATCAATCTCATTTTCTGGATTGGATTCTTTTTCATGTTGGGTGCACTTGATGCACGATTCCACCGGAACATCGGTGTTGCAATCACGAGAATTATGTTCGGCGCCACAGAATTTGCACAGTGGTGTGTTCTTACACACTTGGGCTGTGTGGCCTACTTCTAGGCATTGGAAACATTGCATCGGGGACTTCTTGTAGTGAGCACCTTTAAAGAATAATCCTCCTTTTTCTATTTTCTTTGCAAGTTCTTTGTCAAGTAGGTTCATGATAATTGAACCGTGGGCTTTTTTGTTTGCTTGGGGATTACCCAGCCAGCGCATACTTTGAATGGATTGGGAGTTCATTCCATTGTTTTCTCTACATAGATCTGCAATCGTAGCTTTATTAGATGGAGTAAATGAAATTGGGACGGTGTGGATGATGACCGGGAAGGAAGTCTGAGGAGTGATTAGAGCTGGATCACATAAGTGGGTCCATTCATGTTTGTGTTCTAGGAGCCAGTTTGTGGCGAACCTAGTGGGAGTGAAAAACTTAACATCGCCCGAGGGGAGGGTGATTGCTCCTTTAACGGTGATGGGAGTACCGTCATCTGTCTTAGCTTCCATATCGGAAAGAACTGAGTTTACTTTTTCAGTTATTTGCGCGGGGCTCTTCTGAGCAAAGGCCTGGGCCTCTGGGACCGTTTTGCGAATGATAAAAAATGATGGTTTAAATTCGTTGATTACACGGACACTGGGAGGAGGGCGGACGATATTATTGTTGGGTTGGGGATTTGTTTTCTTAACGATAGAAGACCATGTAGATGGAGGGGGCTTTGTGGGGAGGACAGTTTTGGACATGGTTCTTTCAATTGCATCTAATCTGGATGTGATCTTATCCATCATATTGAGCGTTTTAACGTTGATAAATTCCTCAACTCCAATCAAAGATTTTAAGAGTTGGACTTTATCCGGTGTTATTATAACACTACCATCAGCTTGCGGGTTCATGATGAGTTTGGAGATAATCTTTAAGACACCTTGATTATCTGGGTTGTGTCGGGATTGGTTTAAGGGTGGGTTGGTAGAGGTAGACGGGTTAAGAGAGTTATCATGATTATGAGTACTCATATCAGATGACGTCATCTCAATCTCATGATTTTGAGGATGATCGTCATGATGTACCGGAGGCATATCGACCAAACCGGGGGGCATAGCTTTAGCTATCCTTGCCTGATAAGGTTGAAACCTTTTATGTGGAGATTTATCGGAAAACTCAATGGTTACAGAGTCGGAAAGGGAAGAGGGGGTGAAGATGGGGAGTGGATAGGAGTTAAGGTGGGAGAGCGGGAGTTTTTAAGTGAGATAAGGTTAGAATACTTTTTTTGGTGATGGTAGAAGAGTTCGGAGAATTGATTTGGATGAGATGAAAGGTGGTCGATTTTTTGTGGTTCTGGCTCAAGTCCTTTTTCCAGCTTGAATCAAGGTTGTAGCACTTGAATTGTGGAGCCGAAGCCCGGGTTTTTGACCAAAAACCGCTGGATGACCTTATATTTTTTCATTATTGCTGATGGGCCCACCGACACTCACCAATCAGTCAGCCGCAGGGGCCATCTCCTTTGTCGTGAAGCACCAGGGACAAAATGGGCCCAGACTTAAATCACATGATGCACCCACCGCAAGTACCCTCAGGATGGAAGTAGTGATTTTCCAATATAAATGTGAGTTGCTTTTCTCATAATGAATGTGAATTAACTCAAACTTCCGCCAGTGAATTCCTTGCCAATCGGGATCTTGATTACGGCTATGTTGTACTGAATTTGTGGTCCAAGTGATAAGTCTGTCAGGCGACAGAGCCTTGTCGATATTTAAGTGTTGTCAATGGGCCGTAACCTTCTGGCCAAGACTTGAACTTTGCTCAGGTGGTCTCAGGTGGTCTATGGTCCGAGTCGCAACAGACTCAGACAGAGTCAGTTCGGTTTTTTGAAATAAAGAACCGAGAACTTTGCATAGAGCTCTCTTTCGCTACCAGCCCCTGTGCCCCCACTGGGTGACTGGCGACAGTTATTGCTCCGTGTTGTCAATTTTGAATGTTGGTAATCCCCAGGTGAGATCGGTGATAGTTCAATGAGCTCCATCTGATCTGCACAGCACCTGGAACGTCTGTACTCGCAAACTCGTCAAATACTTCAATCCTAGGGTTTGTCCGCATCATGATGAGTTCATGCTTTGTGTTGACCTGATTTCTACTGAGGAAGAATCATTGTCAATTGAATTCTTCTGGGCAGATGTGACCTAGCTTAACAAATCCCCTCGACAGAGGGCCGGAGGCAACTCGCGAAGCGAGCCTCTGAACGGAGGCTCGCTTCGCGAGGGGCGCTTGCGCCAGCCTGGTACAGGCCCTCCGATCGAGGGACTTGTTGTTAAGTTAGAGATGTGACTTCAAGTTTGTCTGTTCTTCCACTGAAAACCCCATGGACTTGAGAAGCATGCTGACTCGAGTCTGCAACCAAAACAGCAAGCCATCAGAAGATCACAGTTGAACAGTTGAACTCTTGGGCACTTTGTATACACCACGGGTGCAACTTTTGGTTTTCAAGGCGGCCCAAAAACCACCTTCGGTTTCCAAGCCGTCTTCCGAACCAATTTGGGTTTGGAAGACAACCTGAAAACCAAAGGTGGTTGTCGGGCCGCCTTGAAAACCAGCCTTGGTTTTGAAGCTGCCTCCTCGGTTTTCAAGGCGGCCTGAAAACCACCTTCAGTTTTCAAGGCGGCCTGAAAACCACCTTTGGTTTTCAAGTCGTCTTTGGAACCCAAATGGGTTCGGAAGACGCCTTGGAAACCCGAAGGTGGTTTTCAAGGCAGCTTCAAAACCAAGGGTGGTTTACACAGCGGCTTGAAAACTGGATTCTTGCATAGCCCCGTTGAAGGGGGGGGGGGGTGGCCAGGGGGGTCGAAGCTGAAAAGTCTCAAGTTCATCAAGGCCTCATGGGACCGCCCTGTGCCTGAGTATACCCACCTGGACAGCCACCACCATATACCACCATTCTCGACAGACATTCCAATCCACCCATCGTACATATCTGATTCCCTCCCTGCCAGTTTATCTAGTCAAGACAGTGACCGACCTTCCCCTCTAGTACGCTTACCCCATCAACCCGAGGGCCCTTGAATCTGTCCAAAACCTTCTCCGATAAATGGAGCCCCATTATCGGCTCAGTGAAGAGCTCATTCAATGACCTCAAACCCTCTCGGATGTAAGTCAATCTGTTTCTTGCACTCTAATGTCGATTACTGACTGGTTCCACTTGGTGGTCAGATGCCTGAAGAGGAGCGATGGCTTATGTCAATCCTCATCAGCCTCAACAGCCAAATCCCTCCAGTCCCATCTGTCCAACCAGCTGCGGAAACATCGGCCAGCTCTGGCAACAGCAACATGGACCACCGGTGACCAAGTTATCACGCATCGATCTCTTTTTTTGCTCATCGCTTGTTGTAACTTCTCTCATTGCTATTCATTTTTTTTGCTTATTGGTCGCTACAACTTCTCTTTTTTTTCTCCTCTCTTTTTTTCTCTTCCCTTTTTTTCTTATCGGTCCTTAATTCCAATCTGTGATTCCTTTGTCTTTTCGCTATTGCTTGCCACAACTTGTCTTTGTTTTCTTTTTTCACAATGGTTTGATGGTTGTTTTTCTTCTTGGTCATCCAATTTTCTTTTCCAATGTCACTCTCTTTTAACCCTGTTACTCTTTTCCATCTACCTATCACTCCTTTCTGATCGATCACTCACTCGTTGAACAAATTTATCACATGTCTATTATTCTATGAAACGTCTGGTTGTAAGAGTGCCAATCTGGGCCAACCAAATGGGTGGCCCACAGCGAAACCCAACCGTTCCCCCCCCCCCCGAATCGAGAATGAGTGAGGGGAGAGTTAAATTTTAAAATCGGCTTGAAGTCGTTCGGCATGGCCCGACGCTTCCATGTCGTTCTGACGACGACTTTGAATCCGGTCGCAAGTCGTCTTGGGTGGTTTTTGAAGTTGCCTCCAAAACGACTTGGGCCTGATGACGTTTCCAAGTCGGCTTTGAGGCGACTTCGAATCATTTTGAAGCCGTTCGGCTACCTGCATCCAAGTCGCCTTGCAGGCGCGAACGTCTGGGCGCCTTGAAGGCGTCTCCCATTCAATTGGTTTGAGACGCCTTCAAGGCGGTCAACCCAGGCGTTCTCAAGACGCCTGGGTGCACCCGTGGTGTACATATGTTCCAATGTATGCTAGCTTACACACCTTTTATGGGCTCAACATGAAACCAGATCGAACGACCCAGTTTTTGGAATTTCTGAGAGTACACCCTTTTAATGTGCATCATTTTCCAATGTTGATTGCAGACCTTGAAGGTAAGATCCTCTCGTCCTGCAACTTGAGAAAGTGGAATGCTAGTGGCAGCCTGTGGAAGTGCGTTCAGGGATTATTTGAAGTCAGCAAGTAATCCTCCGTCCATGAAATGGTTAGACCTTTTACATGACGCACCCGAGTAGATATGAAGCACAAGAATGGACACTCCTTACTAGAAAGGGGGGCAAAAAGGCAAAGTCTTGCCAAATTTGGTTGTCGCAATTTTTCAGGTGTATCCGAACAACTATACAACAACGTTGCTCTCCTCCCTTTTTCTCTACATGATTTTCAAGTTCAAAATTGCTTCGGCATTCTTCAGAGATCCATCTGATCAAGGTTTTATCCTGACGGTAGATAACTCTTGTGCGGATATCACGGTTCAGGTCCAGCTATCATGGCTCCTAATCTATGAACGACATCATCTTGGCAGAGGTTGCGCGGAGATTTGTGAATTGATACATCGATAATTTTGAATTTCAGGATTTCAGTTCACTTCAGATTGTCGAATTCCAGATTACCTGCTGTAAGTCTAGGTAAGTGCCAGAATCTCACATCAGCTTGCCTACTTCAAGCTTCACTTCTTCTCTGCCTTTCTTTTCTTCTCTTGTCGGTCAACTGCGAATCGATGTTTGTAACAGATATAGCACTGATACATTTATACATATATGGTGTGAGCAGATCGGGATCCGGAGCTTTCAAAGGGAGACGATTGATTCGTAACTGGGTTCTACATACTGCAGAGTCTGTTCCTGCCTGTCTTCCGATATCCAAAGGAAAATTAAAATTTGATTCAGGGGGATTGGTTCAAGACCTTCCATGGCATATCATCGACAATTTCGTCTTCTACAAATATGTCTGACGATCATTTTAGGAATTACTTGATAGAATAGAATCTAGATTCTGGCGCAAATTCTGCAGAAATGCGGACGTGGTTCTATCGTGTGACCATGAGGAGTGACTTGAGGGTAACCACCGGAGGATTAAACATAAATAAGATGCTATGTACCAGCACCAAGCTCCTTCCCTCTCCCCACCCTCCCAGCGTTACTATTTACCACACCCCCCAACAAAACAATCTTTCCATTATCTTGACTCCCAAGACCATTCGTTCAAGACATCCAACAGCTCACAGTAGCTGCATATTTACTCGTTAGCTTTTGCCTGTTAGTGAGGGCTCATAAAAAATTTCTGAAATTAGTCCTTTCGATCGAAAAACATATACATTTAAGATGATTTTACCAAGCGTGATCACCTTAGCTATCTGTCTATTCCTTGGTAAATCCGCTTCGTCCATATATGCAATCTTCTATTGCGCACAAGTGATGCAAATCTAACTTGTGTTCTCTCTGAATATCTAACAGGAAAAGCTCCATCTCTCACCTATGCGAACAGTCTAGCAGCCAGACAGGGTCCAGTGCATCTCCAGGCGTAAGCTGAAATTTGACTACCTGATGACTGTATACACATCTATCCTCGAACCTGCTTCTGATTTTTTCTTGTCCTTAATTCCAGTCTCAAATCTGCCCCCCTAGGTCGCCGAAATCTCCCGGGGTTGGATTTAGCCTCCCACCATGGAGGCGGAAGGAAGCAACACGGTCACGGCTCCGCTAGTCCGTCCTATGAGCCTCATGGTGAATACGGAAATGATAGCTCTGAGTCTTCATACGGTCAAGATAGCTATGATCCTTCAAAGGGGGCCTACGGCTCGGGAAACAAAATCGATCCCACGGGCAGCGATAACGGTCAAGGTGCATTCGACCTGGGTACCGGAACCCATCATGCTCTGCAAGAAGGGACCTTAGATTCCGGCGATGGCGGCTACACTGCTTCTGATCCGGGAGCTGGCATCTCTCCCGAGCCAAACGCCTCGGCTAACTACGGTCCCAAGAAGGATAATTACCATTCGGAACCTGAAAAAAAAGCCCCCAGTACTGGAGATAACGACTATGCCACCCCGAGCAAAACTTACAACTCGGGTAAAGAAAACACCTCTAGCTATCAAGATCCCTATAGTCCATCTTCTAAAAACTCTGGAAAGAAAGACGACTCGGGGGTTAAGGATCTGGGAGAGTATAAGCAACCGCCGCCAGAGGACAACTCGAAAAGTTCGAGCGGAACCGATTATTACAAAAAGAAGAACCCAAAGTACCACGATAAATACGCGTCTCCTCACGGCAAGCAGAAGAACGGAAACGATGGGAAGGACGAAAACTCCGACCAGGATGGTTCTTTCATCTTTGAGTCCGGGACCACTGAGGAACAACGCAAAGCCGCTCAGAAGGAAGCTAACAAGGACGGCGCATACAAGAAAGGAGGTAAAACTGACGAAGGAAAGAGCTCTTATGGCGGACCTGTCGACCCCAGCAATGAGAAAACTTACTCCGGCGATCAAAGTTACAAGCAACCCAATGTAACTGGCGGTCAAAAGGACTCCTCCCCCTATGCATAATTGCACTTCAAAAATTGTTCATGTAGTTCTCAATGTCCTTGTTTTTAGTTCTCTTCCTAGTGATTTCGTACTCTTTTATTTATCTCCCTGGAATCCCGCTCTCTCATAAGAAATTACCCTTGTATTGGAGTTTGCGGAGTCGCGCCGTTTCTTTTTATTTCCATCTCTAGCTACGGTGCCAGGAATTCGAAAATACATGATCGAAAGCTTGATAAATTCTAAGGCATGAGCATCCCTGCCCATCTAATTTTTTTTTTTTTGCGAATTGGGGCATTCAAGTAGACCATTTGGTAAGATCTAAGGGCAGCCGAGGTCTTTTTCTGGGTGAGCTGCCCTAAGGCCAGGCATTGCGCCAGTTTTAGTGCAGGACTTGAGGAATTTGATCCAAAATATAAGCGAGTTTAGTCGGCTGCGATCCGGACCTGGGAGGTCTGACCCATCCGGATATCAGGTCGAGTTGGGCGACAGGTGGGCTCAGGAGAGATCCGATGTTTGATGGAATCTCTTTATGTGTAAAAAATCGCCTCATGCTGCGGAAAGTGAAGAAATTGGTAATTGTTTTTGTTATGTAGAGTGTGAGCTCGAAAGAGATGATGATTTTCATTCGTAGGAAGGAAAATCTCTATCTCAAACTATCTACAAGTCTGTGACATGTGTCGCAGTCGAGACCTTGACTCATGTCACAACAGTTTTTGCTAGCTGTTTTGTTGAGAGCCCAGGCTATGTAGTTTGGTAGGTTTTGGTTTGGAGCCGTTGATCAGTTTGAGCCGGATATCCACAGCTGGGATCTTGGAAGAGCCATACTTGAACCTGGAGCCTTACACTCACAACTGGTGATGAAAGATCTGACAAAATCCAACATGTCATTTAACCCTTGTTTTGAACTGTCTTCAATGTGGTCCTCTGTTGGTGATAGTTTGCTGTATCTCAGAAGCTTTTAATTGCTCTGCTAGGAGAAACATTCCACACATAAAAACTTTAATAAATAGATTTCACTACAGTACAGCTGTTTGAATTGGGGATTCTCACAAGTTTTATCTGTAACTAAACCCAAATATGTGTCATGATTTGCTTTATTTGTTCCATGCTGGTATAATTTTCATGGAATGTATTCAGTATAAGGAAATGTAGGGTGATGATCACCACAATAAAATGGAAAGTGAGGTAGGGAGGCAGTGGGGATTTGGTCCAATGAAAAAGATTGTATTGGACTCTTTTATGTATCAGCTCACAGGAATAAACAAATTAAACCATGGTTTCATGTCACATGAGCCAATTGCGGAATACATTGACTTGAATTTAGCCCTTAGAAGTGGTGATATTTGATCAATTTCTAGCAAACCAGGATAGAATTCTTCAACAAAATCTAAAATGAAGAATGTGATTCTTGAGACCTCATTTCTTTTCCAAAAGTTTGTGTGAGTATCAATTTTGAGGAAAGCTTTGGCCAAGTCGTGCACAGTTTTCTTAACCAACAAGTAATCTGGATTGAAAGTTTTGATTTCATCTTGCTTCCACTTTGGTAATGATGGGATTTGAAGACACATCTCTAATCTATTGAAAAAAGATGTATCTTCAAATATCAAGTGGAACAATGATTTCATTTCATTTTTGAAGTTTAAATCTAACCAATGCTCTTCACTCTCCACATATGCCTTGAAGTAATGAATGAAATGTACTTTGAGACAAAGATACAGAAAATTCCTCTGTTCCCTGGAACCAAGTCCTGTATTTAATTTTAAATTTGAATTCAAAACATCAGTCAAATTTAGAATTTCCTACTGATATGCATATCTTCAAACATGAGATGTCTTTTACCTTTGAATGAATTCATTGTGTGGGATGAATGTCTGCTACAAAGAACAACTTGGTTACTGTGATAGTAGAAGTGTCTAGGGAATCCCATTTGTATGTCATATGTAAGGATTGTGTTTATTGCAGAAGTTTCTAGTGTGTTTTTTATTTCAAAGAAATACCTGAAAGTATCTTCATTCATTAAGCTGTGCTGGTACATATAATCAACTGTTATGAAGACAAGCCTTTGAAGTTTCAATCTATATTGATTTGAAACATCATGAAGGTCAATTTTTTGATTGATATCAATCAATGCAATCTCATATAGCAGATCATTCAATCTTTTGACAAAGTTTCTTGAATCTTTTTCCTTGACTTCATCAAGCAAATAACCATGTAGTGTGACTTGTCGTTGATTGGATTTTGAAGTTTTCCGTTGGGAATCCTTTGGCTTCAGGCCAATCATCCCTGAGCCCTTGCCACTCAGTTCAAGAATTCGACTTTGCACGCGGAATAACATGAGTCTATGAATGTAATTTAGTTCTTCCACATCCTTTATCATTTTTTCCTTAGTTCCAGGATCACCTAATTCTAGCTCTTGGATCTCCTTCCCAAAATTCTCCATCATCATCCGTATGGTTTTCAGATCACCCTGCATTGAACTTATTTGACCTGTCAAGTAGTGGTTAGTTCCTGTTCCTAAATACCAGAAGTCTTGGACGTGATAATCATGTAGAAAGAAAGCACCTTTTTTAAAATCCTTGCCATTTTCAACCCCAAGATCTGTTGGTAAGCACCAGAAAGAATTGTTTCAGCTTCTTGGACGCTAGTAGTCTTAATGGGCCCCAAACCCACGTAATGCTTGCATTCCAGTGTATTTGCTATTTTCCCGGTGGGCCGGAATAACTTTTTCAATAAATGGTCCTTCCTTTGAGGTCGGAACATGTGTCACTCTAGGAGTTGCTGTCACTACATTTGGGCGATTACCAGGTGACATCGCCATCCCTAAGAGGGATGCTTGTTATTGGGTGGGTGGATGGCGAAAGTCGAGAAAAAAAAGTCTATATGGGTATTTTGGTTGATACATTTGAAGAAATCACAGAAGCATGAAGATCCATACTTTCATCGTCCTCACGGGCTACATGACTCGAGGACCACTCAGCTTCCATCGCAATGCATCGAGAAGCTTCCGAGAAGCACATCAAAGCCCATAGAAATATTCCTCGGTACGTCGAGAAAAGAGCCATACGAGGTGACACGAATTTGCAGCGAAGGACGCGAAGAAAGCCAGCACACAAAATCACTCGCTGATGATAGCCTATAAGATTATTGCTGTTTTCTATTTTCACGTCCTGGCGGCGGGTGTTCATTCCTACGGTTAGGACAATAATCCAGAATACAGGCGAAACACCACAAGACAGAGGGAACGAGCACTTGCAAGTTTGACCGGGTCGCCGCTCTAACTTAACTAAGTACCTCCGGCAGTTTCATCCGATGGCTTGCCGTCCCGCAGGAACCCTCCTTCGGGAGGGTCCTGCGGGACGGCGTCCCCCCTCCGAATAGAGAGGGACTTAGTTAAGTTAGGTCGCCGCTCCATTTTGCGGGGATGCCTGGTCAACCATGCCGGGTTAGTAATAGTTACCTCCGATAACGTTTGGAAAGTGTGTCATTCCGCTGCACATAAGCCGGCCGACGACCTCCAACAGCCAGGAGATTACCTCCCAAGGGTAAACCATGCAGTAACCTTACAGACGGATCATATTGAAGATCGATTCATGTTCCACTCTTTAGGGTTGACCTGAAGCTGAACTATGCTGAAATGGAATGTTTTGAGATATGCCGCGTACCGGGAGCCAGTAGGAACCAGTATGGATGGATGAGATAGGCGATAGCCAGGATCTCTTGAAGATGAAGACTGTGCATCTTCCTGAAGAACACAATTAAAATCTACGTCATACATAAGCAACAAAACTCTAAAAAGGACGGTCTTTACTTGTATTGCTTGAAGTTCCGTGGCACGTCACATAGAATTGAGTTTCAGTCACAGTATCATACCAATTTTATTGAGTCTTCAGGTTTAACTCCATTCGTTCTGCGAATTTCTAAGGGTTGTTTTATGAGAGCGGATCCTAACTAACATACCTTGAGGATAAATCTTGAATTCAAACAAATGCATGAAAATTGGCTGACCCCAGGCATAGTTCAGACGCTTGAGCGGTTCTAACTTCACAACAAGCCGCTCGATCGGATGCCAGGCGTGCCCTCTTCGCGAGGTGTTCCCGGCACTCTGGAACGAGGGGACTGGATGTATGAAGGATTCTGGAAGTATGAATAGCACTATTCAACACTACTTAGTGAAGAAGTGAATCAAAAGCGAGATCCACGGAGACAGTCCCTTGTTTCGTTAAACACGTAGAAACACAATTCATTGAGGCAAATAAAAACACATGAAAGAAAAGAAATGATCAAAAGATGTGGTTTTGAAGGATGTAGCGATAGATTAACAGGCTGCAGAAAGTGGTGATCAAATAGGGTTAACAGTGAGAAAGAAAAAAAAAAGAAAAAGAAAAGACATTTGAATTGCTCTCTTACAGTATAGTGATGTAAGATTGAAGAAAGGCGCTTGAGTGCGCTACGGGTGAAAGGCGATAGAGATGAAAATTAAATGAAATATGGATCCAAGGAAACCGGGAGTAGACACGGGTGGCCTCGAATAAAGCTATATCAATAGCTCCAAGGTTGACTGACCAGTTGCTGCACACTGACCAAAGCCCAGTACTTGACATCTGAATCTTGGTGAGTCATCAACTTCATGACAACAGGTTTAGCACCCAACCGCTCCGCCGATCTGGACACGCGAGAAGATGAACTAATCAGCTTTGCCTGAGATCAAAGTGGAAACAGTAAATGAAGATCAAATCCATGGCGCCTGTACCTTTTGCCGACGTCACTGTGTTTGACATATTGCGATAAATCGTTTGCTGCCACTGCCAATACAACTGGATCGGATGCGCTTGATAGGAGCTCGATGACTTTTCTGGTTGATAAAAGAGCATTCGGAGTGTGGTTGGGTCAAAGAGCTGTGGTCGTAACGTGTGTATGATAAGGAGGAATAGACTGCTAACTTGAGTGGTTGATGGTTTTTCTCATTAAGTTTGTCGGCATTTTGCGACCAAAATTCCTCAGAAGTATGCGGTGGTGACCAACGCAACAAGCCCGATTCCAATTCGGTCAAATATTCATCGTATGTGCTGCGTTGGGGATGCGAGCGATGAGAATTGATTCAATCCACGTCGAATACAGAAGAAGATAACAACTCACGTCATTTTCCGCTTGGCCTCTTCAAGTTGTTCCTTTAACCACTCAATATCATCTTTTAATTCATCATCAGACCATTTACGAGAGGAGAAGTTTTGGATGAGTGGTAGAAGGTTGCCGGCTACCAACATGGTGGCCAAATTAGCCTCAGGTGCCTTTTCTGCTAGATTCTAGAGGGGGGGAAGAAAGTATCAAAAAAGGCAAATTATATTCCAATCAAAACTCAAATCGAACTTACTCTAAATGTTGCCACAAGTATTCGAATAACTTTTTCTTTCACTGCACTCCTGGCTAGCTCTGTGAGGAGTGGTATGACAGAAAACCGCCTACCAAATAGTATATTTTGAGAAACCGTTCAGTTAGGAGGTCCACAGAATTCAATGCTTACTTATTAAATTGGGATGCGATTGCGACATCAAAGGTGAGGAGCCAAAAACAGAAAGCCAGTTGATATTGTATTTGGGCAGTCATACGGCTAGCGCTTTTCATCATTTGAACCAAACTATTGAACGAGTTGTGAATTTTAGCATTTCATCTAAATAGCTGATATTGAATGAAATCATTAAGGAGGACGCGAACCTTGAAATCACGTTTGACTGAGTTGTTTCGCCATTGCTAGATGCTCCCGATTCTTCAGCTGAAGCCCATACAGCCTGTCTTGCGAGGGGCTGTCTCAAAACATGTTCAAACAACTCGATACCCAGTTCTTGCTCATTAGAATCTCCCGAACCGGTCAAGCGGGCAATCATGGGTCCAATAGTTGAAAGCACATCTTGCGGAGGTGTGGGGTGGAATCTGACGTTAGAGATTTCATTTGCATCAGTCCTCCTAATTCGCTAGTTGCGCTTGGTGCGAGTGAAAGAGGATTGGCAGACAAACTCTAAAAGAACACTCAGAAGTGACAAAGCCTTGATCCGAATGTAATAATCGGGCGACTCTAGATGAGGAGTGAGGGCAGCGTAGGGGTTCACGGCGTGATCGAGGAGAAGTGCAATTCGTTCTTCGTGATCTATGGCACAAATGGTTTATAAGTTCATAGCCTTCCGATTCACAAACAAGAGATCACTCGTACCTTCTATCATGTCACTGAGATAGACAAGCGTTGCCTGTAAACAATCCACCCTACTTAGTTGCGAAAGCAAATTGAGATACAACGAAACGTATTTCTCGGTGTCCTATAGTAAAATGTCAGTCAAACGTCCATGATGCATGGAAGGAATGGCCCTGCTAACTTACGTGCTCCCATATTTGCTCTTGCTTGATTTTTGGCTGACTGGCTGTAGCCTGTAGTAATGCGAGGTCATCGGCAGAGATTAATGAGGCCCTATGATAACCCTATGAAGTGCCAGATTGGTCAACAAGTCACTCTGGTCTAAATAAGAAGCAATTCGTTCCACCTTACCTCCCATGGTATTTCGCGAATCCTAGTCCGACAGTCCTGGTCCTGTAGCCATGCGTTGAAGAACTTTGACATGATGAGCTTGCTGGGTTGGTGTGTGAGGTTGATGGTCAACAATTAGGATGTTGGATGGAAGTCGATCTTAGGCTGGACTTCGTCATTGGTCATCAGCTCGACCTCGGTATAAGCATCACGCCGTATACGCATCGAGTCACTTGAAGAGGTGGTCCACCACCAAGATTCTCTCAAATGGATTATTTTACAACCAATCAATGCCAGTTCTCTTCACTTCTCTTCAGCACAGAAAATTGAGCAACAATCAGTTCAAGTTTCATATGACAGTTGAAGTGCTTAAAACAAAGATCCAAGATACGCAACAAAATCAAAACATTACTACAGTCTCAGTATGGGATTGAGCCATCGTGGCACTGACAATCATGCACAATAAGAAAATGGGAACTGCCCTCACAATGAAGCCGTTTTTTTATGTTGAATCCAATCCTGGATTTATTGAAAACTTGAATTTACTTGCAGATAAAATCTGGAATGAGTTTTACAGGTTCTCAATTGGGAGGTTCAGATCAACATGAAGTCTTCCAATATCATCAACATATCCTTTACACAATTGATTCTCCTCAAGGATTTGAAATACAGTGAGCCCACAATAATCCTCAAAATCTACACATAGCATGAGGACCAGACTTTATAAGTTGTTTCTAGAAATGTGTCACATGGGCATAAACTGCAAATGCAGTTTGGAAAAGGTGTTCCATCCCCAGCTTGCAGCGCAGTGCTAATTCTATACTGGCCCAGAGTTACCTTGATGTGATTGAACAGAGAGAAATGAATTATTCATGGACAATCCGAGAACCAAAATTTCACATCTTCTGTTTGTAACCTTAAAAGCAACAATCAAAGAACCAAATTTCCACCCCAGGGGCTCTGCACCTGGAAAGGTGCCATGTGAGTTTGACCCCCATATATTCCAATGAAGATCATGTTATCTGCCAAATTTGTGTTTGTAAATTATAACACTTGGGAGGCCATTCATGCATGCCAATCCAATGATGTAATCACAACTAGATACATCAGCACTACCAAAGGGGTTGTATTGGTTACAATCCCTTTTGCAGTGTGTGGGAATTTATTTGTGAGACCATTCGCAAAGAAAATGATTAAAATTCCTCAGTATTTTTTTGTGGGTCCATCCCTAAATCAAACAAAGATGTGGCTGCTATGAGCTCAACAGTGATTGAAATATGCACCTCTTCCTTTTGATATGTACGGCCCCTTGAAAGAAAATATGGGACCCTAGTTTAATTGGAGTCTAGAGGGCAAACCAATGGACTTCAATTTATACTTCCTGGTGAGACTATGGAAAATTATTTCTAAATAATTATTCTGGAAAATTGGATAGGAGAATTTTTTGCAAAACTTTTGTGTATTTTTCCTCATTTTCTGTTTTTTTTTTTTTTGGTATTTTTCAATCATTTTTCATAGCAGCTCAAAAAATCAAGATCAACACAATTGCATGTGAAAAGAATGATTATAAATGAAAAATTGAAAAAATTCATCAAAAGCTTTTTTAAGCATGTTTGGATTGTCTCATCCACCAGACCAAGCCTACAAGGCAAGCCCCCCAATAGGGGGGTGTTGAAAAAAGGTATGACAAATGGGCAAAATCACAAAAACCGTATATCCCTGCCATAGCAACTGTGTCAGACGGCTGTATCTTTGTCTATCACACATAATTTCATGTGATATTGCATCAGTTCAATCGTCACTGCCAAAATGATTGTATCAGATTGCTACATCTGGCATTGCATCAGATAAAAATATCTGATATTACATCAGGAAAAACTGGGATTGTATCTACCAGAATTGATATTATATCCACCTAAAATGATATTGTGTCTATCATGAAAGATATTAAATCAGACCAACCTATTCAATGTCAACATAAACAAATTGATATCAGATTTTTCTATCTGATTTAATGCCCATGGGCTAAAAATTTGTATCAGGTGTAAAAAACCTGATATAAAATCAATTATGTTGGCATTAAATAGGTTGGACTGATGCAATATCTGTTATGATAGATATAACATAATTATCATGTAATGCCAGATGTGGGAATCTGATATAATCATATTTGCAGTGTGTTTAAAGTAATTTCCAACCATTCAATCAGAAATTTCAACTGATGTAACATCAGGACCCTGGCAAGCCCCCCAATAGGGGGGTGTTGAAAAAAAGTATGGCAAATGGGTAAAATCCCAAAAAACTACTCTTGAAGAAGCTTGAAAAAGGTATCAATAGAATTTTGGATCAAAAATGTGCTCTCTCATTCTAGGTATGTGAAAATGGTCCAGAACAGTAAAATATGGAATTTGGCAATTGCATGCAGCAGTGAAATTGTCTGATAGCTGTGTATGTGATCATATCAAATATTTTTATGTGATGTTACAGGACCCTGGAAAGCCCCTAAGGAGGGGGGTGCTGAAAAAGTCCAGATTTTGGCAAAATTCATGCCTGTTTTTTGGGGGGTATTTGTACCTTTTCAAGAGTATTCTTAGGCCTCCGGGATTGGGGTGCAAATTCCATATTTTACTGTTCTTAACCATTTTCACAATATACCTAGAATGAGAGAGCACATTTTTGATCCAAAATACTATTGATACCTTTTTCAAGCTTCTTCAAGAGTAGGCTTTTGGGATTTTGCCCATTTGCCATACCTTTTTTCAGCACCCCCCTATTGGGGGGCTTGCCAGGGTCCTGATGTTACATCAGTTGAAATTTCTAATTGAATGGTTGGAAATTAATTTCAACAATTGAACTGATGCAATATCACATGAAATTATGTGTTATAGACAAAGATACAGCTGTCTGACATAGTTGCTTTGCCAGGGATATACAGCCCCTTGACAGAAAAAATGGAACCCTTTAATTGTAGTCTAGAGGGCAAACCGGCAATGGACTTGATTTGATGCTTCCTGGTGAAACTGTGGAAAATGAGTTCTAAAGAATGATTCTGAAAAATTGGATAGGGAAATGTTTTTAAAAAATTTGTATATTTTTCCTCATTTTCTGGTTTTTCAATATTTTTCAATCATTTTCGGAAGTAGCTCAAAGAATCAGGATCAACCAAATTGCATGTGAAAAGAATGGTTATAAATGAAAAATTTAGAAAAATAAATGATAAAAAGTTTAGAGAGCAGAAGAAGTTGGATTGAGATTGGAATTGAATTTGAAATTGCATCAGATAGTTGTAATATTACATATCTAAATTTTCATCCCAACACATCACAATGTTTTCAATTGTGACCCTTGATCATAATTGTTGGAATTTTGTCTCTCTCTTCTCATCCCTAAAAACCCTTCTGGCTTATCCTTTCAAATAATAATGTCTAGATAAGGAATTACAAATAATTATACAATTTTTGTTAGTTTCTGTGCTGTTTTTTGTCATGTTTTCCAGTGCTGACATCCTTGTAGTCTTCAAACCCTGGTCTAGTCTTTATCAATAGTCATTCACTCTGGTCATCTTTTCAAGAATATGTTAATTTTTGTTATTCATTATGATATTCAATTTTTCTCAAAACCACAGATTGAACCTATTGTATGTAGTCTATTTACCGTGTAGGCCTTACTAGTAAATAAAAATCATCGGTTCTCACAGGTCCTCTCCCTTCTTTTCCAACCCACTGAGCCGTTCCAACAAAATCATCTCTCAGCAACCGGAGGAATACTCCCGGTTTCTGAGAGTGTACAACTCTTAGCAACTGGGTTGTACACTCTCAGCAACCAAGAGGATTCCTCCGGTTGCTGAGAGGTGTACAGTCTCAGCAACCGGGCTGTACACCTCTCAGCAACCGGGAGTAATCCTCCCGGTTGCTGAGAGTGTACAAACCTCAGCAACCAAGAGAATCTTCTTTGCTGAGAGGTGTACATCCTCAGTGGCCAAGAGGATTCTCTCAGTCACTGAGGTTTGTACACTCTCAGAGGCTGAGATTGATAAATCCCAGACATTGAGGTGTACAGGCTGGCAGGGGGGGGGGACAAACTTCAACGGCTGGTATGATTCCCTCTGTTAAAATTAACAATGCATTTTTCAGACAGTTAGCAGAAAATAATTGACTTGAGCAGGATTTAAACCAGCGACCTTAGCTTGAAGCCAAGACACTATACTAGAAGTGCTGCCTTTACCAACTAGGCTACCAAGTCCATGCCTGATGTGCTGATATTTTGAACACTGTGGATTACAGAATTTCAACACCCTCCGGCCGCTGAATGTGTCTAAATCTTTATGGCCGGTGTGGAACTGCTCAGCAAGTGAGTAAAGAGCTTGGAGGGGATAAAATAGCTAATAAGACTATGGAATAGTAGAATTAGTATTGGTGGGTGGGTGAGACTGCCCTCCTGTCTAGCTTGCGGGAAAGTTACACTAAGAAAAATAAGAGTGTGGCTTATTTCTAAATTTATCTTAGTGTTGATACTACTGTTGTTGTTGCTTAAGAATACCTGTTGAGGAGGTAAGGAGTTTTAAGGGGGTTTTCTGAGTAATAAGGGTTTCTGAAGGGTTTCTCTGTTAAATCTGTTATAAATTCTCTCTGGTTCTCTGATCTTATAAGTCTCTCTGGTTTCTCTGGGCTCTGATAAAGGTACACTGATTTCTCTAAATCTTTCAAAGAGGTGGGAATGGCTAAGCAATATTTCTGAATTACTTTTCTATGGCCAAAATTGAGGTAAGGGAAGTTCAAGGGCTCTATTAATCTCTGGATTTCTGTAATCAAGGGGTGATGAAAGCTGAGTAATGTCTCTGATTACTATTCTGTAGCTAGCATCTGGTTTTGATGAGTGCTAAGTAATATCTCTAATTACTTCTCTGGTGCAAACATGAGGAGGGAAGAGGGAAACCTGGGCCAGAAGAGCCTCTATTTATAGACAAATGGTTCTGCTGTACATGAGATTTTGGCCTGAACAACTAGTGCATCTGAGAAGGGTACTTCTAGAGTGGATTTTACTACTCTGAGATGGGCTAATCTGATATGAATTAATCTCTAAGTGCCCTTCTAATACAAGAGGTTGTAATTCTCCTATAAGATGTCTATTCTTAGATTAATTACTATGAGATGGGTATTCTAGGACTAACTAGTATAAGAGTTATTTTCTAGATCTAGTCTGTGAAGCACTTTCTGATTAGTAGCTTGATTTACCAATCTAAGATAGCTGTAGTGTCTTTTATTTATTTTTACAGGCTATTTGTATTAATTATTATTCATAATAAGTTGTGTATTTTAGGCCTGATTTGTGCTTTATTTTAACTATGTTTTAACCCAGTAATTATTATACATTTTATTCTATATTTTACCCCTTCTTCTCAATCCTCTTGAACACTATTTATGTGTAATAAAATGTTTTTAACCAAGGATATGGTTTTGATCAATCTTACCACACCGGGAGGGCATTCCCCAGAAGATTATTGCGGGTAATGATTTATTTTTATTATTTTGATTAGGGAATTGACTCCCATTCCTACTGCAAGAATGGGAGGAGGGAGTCCCACAGCTTAGGGGGAGCTGGGGTTTTGGGGCTGGGGACGTCCTGGGAGTGGGACTGTCCCCAAGTGGTCCTCCCGACAACTTCCAAATTTGGTAGTCAACCCTCCCAAGTTTGGGAGTTGGTTAGCCAAGGCCCTTGAAATTTCGAGGGTCTAGGTGAAGCAGCCCTTTACCCTTGAATAACTACTTTATCATCTGTCCAGGGATATTTGGTCATTCCTGTGAAATGGAAATTTTGGCAGCAATGAGTATCAGTACGCTGAACCCACCTACCAGGATAGACAACCCTAGGCCAGGCTTTACCAGCCTGACCATAGGAGGTCAGCAAATTTCCCATCTAATGAGTTGATGTTCTTCTTTGAAGACACATTTTCTCAATTGATACACACACAACAAGTGGGGTCATAGCTGAAGATTCCTTACAAGTGTTTGATTCATGATTTCCAGAACATTTGCTGTAGAGTGGGTGATTCTTGCACCATTGAGCTGTGTGGCCAATCCTCCAGGGTTTGAAACTTTGAGGAATTGAACGTCCATAGTGAGCACTGCGGTAAAATTTATTTTGTAAGAACAGACCAGATTATTTTAATTTGGACATTGCCATGTCCTAACTTAACTAAGTCCCCCCCTGGTGGGAGGTTTGCTGGTGTGAAGCACTGGCTGGTGGCGAAGCCACCAGCCAAACTTAAGCACCACCCAAATCCGACCTCCCGCACAGGGAGGACTTTGTTAAGTTAGTGCTATGTCCTTGTCAAGAAGGTGAAGGACAGACAATTGATCTGTTTTTCTTTCCACTTCCAATTGGGTCACCGAGCCATTTGAATTTTCCCTGTTGCTTTGATGAAGCTCATGCCCCCCAAAAGCACCGGTTCTGGGGACTTTCTGAATACGGCCGGATGTCGGATGTCTTCAGGCTGTTGAAATTTAAGGCTCAAGCGTGTAAGAGGATGAGGGCCAAAAAAAGGAAAGAACTCTTTTTTGGGAAAGGCTCACGGAAAATGAGTGTAAGAGCCGATGATTTTTATTCACAAGTATCTAGTCGGGTTTAAATAGACTAAGTACAAGTGGTTTTAAGAAATGAATAGAAAAAGCATATTGAATAAAACACTGAGAGGAAGAAACATGAGTCTTGGAAGAAACAAACTGGACAAGGCTTCTCAGTCTCTTTTAGTCTAGCCAGATGAGTTAATCAAGAAAAACAAGCTATAATCCACAAATACTTAGAGTCGTTAATTCTAATTAATCAGGCTTTAGTAAATCAATCAAGAAGATCAGGAAAGAAAAGAGATCATCGTAGAGACATGAGTTGTTGAGACAAGCTGATTACTTAGGGTTCAAATTTGACTCAGAAGGGGCTTAATAACAACAAAAAACAAGCTACTTGATAAAAATAATCTAGTCTGAATTTTGATGACTTGAAAAGAAAAAAGGAGTGATTTTGGGGAAGAGTAGACCAGAGAAGAGGAAAACTCAACACAGGCCAATCCCGAGTTCTGATCCAGCTCGCGAGTTGCGCGGATGATCCGGATTCCGGATTGGCGAGGTCGGGATGATGGGATGGGAACCTTATGAGAGATCACTTGGTCTATGACGTCACGCGAGGTCACGTGGGGTCGCGTCACGAAGCACCACATAAATGCATGAATAAATATGTATTTACAGATCTGTAAGTAGTCAATCCGTTGTTGACCTTTTGCCAAATTTTCCATCCATTCATCCCAGACACACTCGCCCAGCACTTCATCAAGTCTCAGTTCCGTCTTCAGTACATACCTGGGCGCTTGTTCTCAAATATGTTGAGGGCGCAAACACGGCTTGGTCCGCGACTAATCATACGAAAAGCAAACTGTCGGGCTCATTTCACCTGCTCGTCTAATCCTTCTTGCCGCCCGAATCATGTTCGTCCATTGATGAACTCCGGACGAGCTTTCAGTAGGAAAATCACATCACAAGCTGCATTTCAGGGTGATGTGTTTGATGGTCCGTCTCTTATCGAGTGCTGTAATTGTTGCCCTTTCCCGAGCGGCAATCGCTGATTGGCTTGTGCCTGGTTTAGCTTGGAGTTCCCAGGTCAACTCGAAACCATTGTTCAAGAAGATCTTGATTTCTAATCGGTGAGGAGGCATTTAGACTTCCAAAGAAATCGAAAGGGCGCTGATGAAGTGTTTCGATTACATAGTGGTGAAGTGGCTTGTCGAATCATTCGCACGGCCAGAAAGTTAGGCGTCAAAACTGTGGCCATTTACTCTGATGCAGATCGAGAATCGCGACATGTGAAAATGGTCAGTAGAATCAATAACTGCGTTTCCCGATGATAGATCGGCCAGTTCGTGATTTTTTGCTGGATTGATTTACATATAATCATGAACACAGGCTGACGAGGCCTATCGAGTTGGCCCGGCTCAATCAACAGACAGCTACTTGAATATCGAAAAGATTGTGGAACTTTGTATCCGGAGTGGTGCCCAAGTGAGTGCTGGTATCTCATGACAATCTTCTGATGCACTGATTTTGTGGTCACTATGAATACTTGTGTTAGGCTGTTCATCCTGGCTGGGGTTTTCTGTCGGGTCAGCTCTTTGTTGTGCAATTTTTTAGCTCAATAAAGCCCAAATGTAATTTACACTAAATTCATCCTCTCACATAGAACGTGCCGAGTTTGCCGAAAAGTTAAAGCAATCCGGAATTGTATTTATTGGTCCCCCCAGTTCGGCCATCATTAGTATGGGATCCAAAAGTCAATCGAAAGAGGTTAACAATTCATTTTCTGATTTTTCGGAGCAAGTTCAAGCAAAGCTTATTTGGGACCTTTCAACATAGATCATGATTTCGGCTGGAGTGCCCTGTGTTCCAGGCTACCATGGTAAAAATCAGGACCCCGGATTTTTAAAGAGTGAAGCAGATAAAATGGGATATCCGGTTCTGATCAAAGCCATAAAGGGTGGCGGTGGAAAAGGGATGAAAATTGTCTTTGAGCCGTCCGAATTTCAATCTCAATTGGAAAGCGCCCAGCGAGAAGGCGAGCAAAGCTTTGGTGATGGTACCGTAAGGATTTCAAGTTTTATGTGGTCGTGAAAACTTACCCAAAGGGAAGTCGAACCGGAATCTTGCTAATTGAAGTTTCGGTTTTTAACACTTGCAGGTGCTCCTGGAGAAATATTTGCTCAATCCGAGGCATGTGGAGGTTCAGATGTAAGCCTAGCCCGACAATAAAACAAGCTGGTGTTCTTGGCCGCTAAGTAATGGTTTGATCATCTGCAGATTTGGCGACCTGCATGGAAACTATGTCTATCTCTATGAGCGGGATTGCTCTGTGCAAAGAAGGCATCAAAAAATTATCGAAGAGGCTCCTGCACCAGGTCTAAGTTTGGAACAAAGAACAAAACTTGGTGAAAAGGCAGTGGCTGCAGCTAAAGCTGTTCAGTACGTGGGCGCCGGTACGGTTGAGGTGAGTATTGTTTGCCCATGATGTTTTGGAGACGCTCAGTGATTCTCCTTACTAAATCAAAAGATCCACATGCACGGGACAGTTCATATTAATGTCGACTGGAGACTTCTATTACATGGAAATGAATACCAGGTAAGCCGTAGTTCTGCTTCTTTACAAACGTTTTGAATCGGTCTTTTGACAAATTCAATGCCCCTTCGTTTTCTTTCAGATTGCAAGTAGAGGTAGTCTAACTCCTATACCTCATGTCTTGTCGACTGCCCGGTCTGACAGATATGCTCTTTGAATTTATATTTCAACTAGCACCCGATCACCGAAATGATTACTGGTCAAGACCTGGTCCAGTGGCAATTGGAAATCGCATCGGGAAACCCTATTCCGTTACCGCAAAGTCAAATACCATGCATTGGCCACGCTTTTGAGGCTCGGATCTATGCTGAAAACCCTCGACGGTAAGCCGATCCTTTTGATACATAAATTCTCATGTAAGTACACTCGTCTGTCTAAACGCCATTTGATTTGAGCAGAAACTTTTTGCCAGACGTTGGCCCACTCATTCATGTTAAGACACCCAAGGAAAGTAAATCAGTTCGAGTTGAAACTGGTGCAGAAAGTGGAGACGAGATAAGCGGTGAGTTTTCCATATCGGAAAAATCAGTAGATCCTTCCAGCTAACCAGGATCTACAGTTTACTATGACCCCATGATTGCCAAGTTGGTTGTTCATTCACCGAAAGACAGAACTTCAGCACTTACTCTTTTGCATAAAAAACTCGAAGAGTATCAAGTCGTCGGACCGTCCACAAATATTGAATTTCTCAAGAGTCTCAGTAGTCATCCGGCCTTCATAGCTGGTGAAGTGGAAACCGGCTTTATCGAAAAACATAACGAACAACTTTTCCCACCTTTGTCTGACCGGCCTCCAGAAGAAACTCTCATTAATGCGACCATTTGTTCTGCATTGCAGGAGATTAAAGCCCGGCAACGGAGAGCATCAGCGGGACAAGCAAACAATCCTTGGGACACGCTGCATGGATGGAGACTTGGGGGGCAAAAAATCTCTCGCCAGTATGAGTTTAACATGATGCCGGCTGATTCTTTATCGCCTAACAGTTTACCCTTATTGGACCCCATGGGATTGCCAAGTTGGTTGTTCAATTCACCGAAAGAACAGTGAACTTCAGCACTTAACCTCTTTTGCATAAAAAACTCGAAGAGCAATCAAGTCGTCGGACCGTCCACAAATATTGAATTTCTCAAGAGTCTCAGTAGTCATCCGGCCTTCATAGCTGGTGAAGTGGAAACCGGCTTTATCGAAAAACATAACGAACAACTTTTCCCACCTTTGTCTGACCGGCCTCCAGAAGAAACTCTCATTAATGCGACCATTTGTTCTGCATTGCAGGAGATTAAAGCCCGGCAACGGAGAGCATCAGCGGGACAAGCAAACAATCCTTGGGACACGCTGCATGGATGGAGACTTGGGGGGCAAAAAATCTCTCGCCAGTATGAGTTTAACATGGTGCCGGCTGATTCTTTATCGCCTATGAGCCCACCCTGCTCGGTCAACTTGGGATTCTCCGGTGTCGGCAATTCATCAAGAACAGTGGATTTCGATATCAACCTTGCTCCACTCGAATCTGAGGGCAATGAATCCTCTCATCAAGTGAAAACGTACTTGGATACTGCTAGTAACTCTGACAATACAATTACTTCGATTGTTAATGGCAAGCGGGATGTTGTCGTGCATGTTGCGCAAGGCGATCACTCGGGAGCCTTCAGCAAAAGGCATCACGTTTTTAGTGGTGACACTGTTACGTCACTGGGGATCCCATGGCCGAGGTGGATAAAGGATTCGAAAGGAGAGGAATCCGACATGGGTCTTGCTGGTAACGCAGTTCAGGCGGTCATGCCTTCGAAAGTCATCAAGGTGATGGTGGCTCCAGGCGATAAGGTCAAAGCTGGCGACGGACTCATTGTGCTCGAAGCCATGAAAACTGAGGCAAGTCATCATTCAGCCATTCGTATTTGTTCACGACGGGTTTCATAACTGTTCCGATGTTATATAGGTGGTGCTGAGGGCCTCGAAGGACGGAACCGTTTCCGATGTTAAAGCTCAAGTTGGCGATATGGTCAAGCAAGGCGAGACTCTGGTGGTCTTATCCCCAGAAGAATAATTCATCTCATGCAGGCACTCAAGAATCACGTTAGGTCCACCCCAACCGAGAATGTAGAATATGTATAAGTAGCGCATTTGGTCATCTCAAAATCACCTGTTTTTCCTGTTTTGTTAGCAACAGCAGATGAAATAAATTGCTTTTCTTTTTCATAGCAGCCATGTTTTACATGATACCGTTCACATTGCTTACATTGATGGCACCTTTTATACTGAATTGGCCACGCAACACCCAACGAAGTCCGTGTTAGTATATCGGCTAGTATGACCGCCTTTCACCGAGAAGCGCGCGGTAGAGACGGGTTCGATTCCCGTACGCGGAATGTACTTTTGGTGTTTCGGACCGTTAGAAGAGGGCCTTGTGATTAGCTCATTGGCAGAAACCTACAAGGATTCGGCTGGCGAACCAGACCATTTTTTGCTAATCATGGAGGTGTGTCCTTTTTTGGTATTTGCTTCGCACACGGATGACAGAATCTTTGCACGCGACTGAAAACACTGTGCACACGAGGAGCTGCCATTTGTACCAGTGGTGATGTAGCCCAGTCGCGACCCTACCTGCGCCCCGAAACACCTACACAAAGATTCTCTTTGCACATGGCCTATCTGTCCGGGAGGGATTTCTGCCGGAAAGAGGGCTCCTTCCTTCAGCGAACTGGTAAAAGAAGAACCGGCTTGCCGGAAATGGTTCCCTTCCTCCACACACTGGTATAAGCTGTGCCAGATCTTCCATTTCTATGTAGGCAAACTGGTTACACAAGTTTCACCAATTCACTGGGATGGGTGCTTGGCAAAATGGTACGGTTGTAGCAGTTCACCAGCTGCCTTTATGATGCACAATTAAAGGGCTAAGTAGAGCCAAAACCCATGCATCAGAGTTGATGAGTTTAAGACCAGATTTCAAAAAAGAAACATTGGGATTAAATAATGAATTAATGAAATGAGAAAATTAGAAGAAAGAAAAGAATTAGAAAAGCATGTCCATACAATATAAACAATAGAAATGAAAGTTGTACAACTTTCATATGTATGGAATTATGAACCAATTGATTATTGAATCAAATCATCATTTAGGATTAAGATATGATACAAATTTTAATGAAGAAAGATAGAATTTAAGAATATTGATGATTCTTGATAACAGCTGACCATCATTGAGCCTTAAATCTGCTAATCTTTGTGTGAGTTTTAGACTTGCCTCAGCTGACTTTTGTGCATGTTTTGAATTTGCATCTGCTAATTTCTTTTCAAAATTGAGGTTCACATCTTTAGGTGGCAAGTCATAAAAGGCGCGAAAAAGGTTGGTAACTTCCTGCGGATCTTTTGCTACCTGTTGGGCATTAGTTTTGAACCCTTTTTGGAGCCATTTCCCGTTGTCTACATGGACAGTGGTGAGCATAGGTGGAAATTTCGGCCAATCTTTTTGCATTTGGAATAGGGTATTCATCATGTTTTCGTCCGATCCTGAGTCCCCAAAGCAAAGCACCATCTCAATATCAACTTTATCTTTCAAAACCTGTTGTGCAATTTGTCCCTTGGAGAAGAGCTCGCCCATTCTGACCTCCACAGCGCAATTGTCGTTTTCGACTATTAGTTTATCGTCTGGAAGCTGTCCAGTCTTTTTTAACTCTCGCATGTTTTCAAAAAATTTGTTCACTATAACGGAAACATTAATCACCTCGAATCTGCTTAGATTTGAATTTGGCGAGCAGATGTCGAAAAGGGCAACTTACCTATTTTCAGCCCTTGTGCCCTTGAAGCTATGTCACTTTCTTCTAGCTCTCTGTAGTGAAGTACGAGTCCAGTCATTTTCTCCTCGACCCAAACTCTGCCCCCGAAAACTTCATTGTGCTCTCTCACCACTGCAAACATTTAGGCTTTGATAAGTCCTCGGAAAAAATTAAACAATGGTAAGGAATCCATTCACCTGTATCCATCAAGCCCCTGACATTATCCTTCCATTTCAGCTTATCGGCCAAACCTTCCGCCTGATCCCATGCCTCGCCCGGTTTTCGCCACAGCGCCCCGTACTCCGCGGAAAGATGAAATGAGGGATAGTGTCCAAATTGCTCCTGCAAAAAATCTTTATCCCTTCCAGAGATTATAACCACTTCTGTGGTTAAATCTTTCTCGAGCTTATCTAGCACCTCAAGTAGAGCTTCACTGGGAACAGCTTGATGGGGCCGTGATTGAAATTTCACCATGGTACCCTGGAGTAGTGTATTGATTCAAGGAATTAGGTTTCGGATGTCCATTTACATCTTTTTTTTAAAAAAAATACAACGTATATGCATCTGCTTACATCGAAGTCCAAATACATCAATTTTTTCTTAGCATTTTGGAAATCCGCTATGGTCTTTTGATGGTCCAATGCGGGAGGCCTAGTGACTACGTGCGAATGTGGAGCAGGTGAGCTTTTTTTATTCTACCAGAGAAGAATGTTAAAATCTTACTTTGAACTTCTGTTGGCTTTTTTTCACCGTTCTCCATCTTCTGTTCGGGTTCCAATCCGGAAAGCACACGATCTGAAAACGTCGCGAGGGTGAGTCTTTTGCTATTGCCACTGTTAGAGACTCCAATCCAGAGAAGATGAGGACCCCACCTTTCGCTAAATTTTCCTCTACCTCCAAGCAAATCGCAGGTCGTTTTGATTCCCTGGGGGCTGCACATAGACATCGAGAGTATGAGTGCTTCGTTCATGTCATGCGAGGGAGTAAGATCCGTAAAAAGCCTCACTTTTTGTTACCTCGGTTCTCAAGGGAGTAATCACGCTGGGGATAGTCATTACGTTGGAGTCCAGAGGTGTAAGCACACCCTCCATGGGAATGCAATGAACTAATAAACCGATGTTCGACAATGGCCCAAATATACAGCATATTATCAGAGCTACTTGCGCTGCTCGCCAATGATGAGAATTCATCGTAGCTGTCAACGAGAGATACTTGTAGACGCTAATTAATTAAAAATGATAGTGATGATGTCTGAATTAGGATAGAAGGGAACGTGGTGCTGGCCAACACCTGGACAGACGATGTGTCAATTTATGGACGACGGCGTATTTGATAGCTCGCTCCCACATAGCAAAAGGTCACCCCATGGGCCAGTCCGAAAGAATATTACCCTGGTGTCAAATCATTTGCAACTACCGCCTATCTCAGCCTCAGGCGAAAAAAAAAGTGTTCATAAACAGTTTATCCGACAGTCAGACCGGAGCTTCATTTCCGTTTTGAATTGTCCCACCGCGAAAGAAACTCCTGGTCGGCTGGTACTGCGATTAGTTGAGCGTTAGAGTGTGTGGATCGCCGATGCTTTTCTGACCGGTCATTGAAGAAGGCATGTATCCACGGCAGGGCTCATTGAGGGAAGGATATACCATCTCCTCGTAACATGTTTCCGGAAGTATGGGGTCCGGTCAGGTGCGCAGGGCAGCAGGTAGCAGCAGGTCCCGAAAATACAAAGCACTTGATCAGCGGTTCATCGAATCTATGCATGCATGTTACTCGGGACTCGTGACCCCGGTTTTTGTACAAATCCTTGAAATAAAACCCGGATGCCGTCTGGGCTAAACAATCTTCACATTGTTCAGTGTGCAACATATTTTCATCAAGGAGATGGCCCCGCTATAGCCTTCCTTTTGGGTTTTGCCTGGTCCGGCAGGCTTCACATCATCCCTTCTACTTTGCTTTTAAATGAAGGTTTCAAACCATCTCACACGACCACTCCAATGTGCCCCTCTTGATAGGTACATATCTGCACGGCTGAAGTCGACCCTTTCGCGATATGTGTTTCATGGGCTGGCTTGCTTACTCTGTTCCCAACATGATTGAGCGAGCGTTGGAAGGTGTACTGAACCAAGGAATAATGTAAAGTGTGATGCGTTTATAATGATAGACGGGCGGAAACTCGCATCCTATCGTAGTTGACTTCGTTGCAGCGTGCCGGGGGCAGTACATACCCAGACATCATCTTGGATGAGACACTGTCTCTACCTCCGAACCCAGTTCCAAGGCCCGAGACTCCAGACTTCTGGACATGTCACTTTTTCCGAAGTAGGGTACCGAAGTAGGGTACATAGATATATAAATTTGGCAAATTTGGCACTCGTACAGACCGGTAGGGATACATGGGTTGATGAGCTCTAGACAACTAATCCCAGATGTTTTATAACCGTATGAACAAGACTTTTCGATCAAGCTATGAGGCGGATTTAATGGTACCGTTCACATTAATGGGTCTTTGTCAGCACTGTGACTGTGCCAGGGGTTGATATGAAGCAGAACAAGTATTCTGTACTTGCCATTGTCCTCAATTCCAGGGAGCTTTACTCAACTCATTTGCTCCCAGTTTGGGGGGTTTCGTTGTTGAGCTTGATCAAAGAGTCCAGATCTTGGGTAATGTCAAGTTAACATTGGCAATGGATTTTAGGCTCCCGGGAAGCAAAAAAACCATCTGAACCCCCTTATTCTTGTAGTTACTACAATTGGGGGACTCTACGAAAACAATCGCAGCCATCACAGCCCCTAAACTGTGCGCGAACTTCAAGCAAAGTCCCTGATTCCTTGCTGCGAGCAACTTGACCGAGTCGCTCGGCTCTCGGCTGGCTCAGTTTGCGGAATCATAGAAGTGGCGAGTTCTGTCACATCCGCCGATCGCAGAAAGGGACTAGTATGTCCAAAAAGTCAGGGGTGGGTCCCAAGAATTGGTTCCTCAAGAGTTTGCGAAATGGTGTTTGTTTGGGAAGAGTTTTGGAGAGTTTGAGCCGATCTGTTCCAATCCAGGGTTTGTTTGGATTGGGTTTGCTGGATTTTCACCACCAACCAATGATCCAGGTTTACCCTGTGGAATAGCTCTTTGGAATTGGCCAGGATGGAGAGGGGCAAGACAGCATTTTGGGGGAATTATCAAGAAGAATATTATTCCCCCAGCAATCTTCGAGTCCCACCAAGAGGACTTTGTTCAGTTAGCCTGGCGTGTTAACCTGCATAATCTAGATGGTAAGAGACTTGGTTTCCAGCGCGATTCTTGAGCTTTTTGGGCTAGAATGTGATCAGATATAAAAGACTTAACAAACACCTGCAGTGTGTAATTCAAACCAATTAAGAGAATGTGTAAAACCGTGTTCTCAAGATAGACAAAACTGTTTGAGGAAATCATGTCATGGAAAAGGGCAGTCATGGGATACAATAAATTGCCACTTTTGGTGCATAGATGGGTTCTTGAACGCAAAACAAAATAAATTTCCTGGAGAAAGTGGTCTTCAGACTTCAAGGTCAACAAAGTAAATCCCTAGATAAGGTATATCAAAAAAACTGCAAAGTTCAAAACATGTTTATAAGGTGTGCCGTGCAGGGGTGGGGCATGGAGGATGGAACAAATGATTGGTGAAAAAACCCTTATCCTATCTTGACAATTCCTGGTGGCACAAGTTGTAGCATGAATTTGAGCGGAAATCACAGGTTTCCAGGCGGTGAACCATTGGTGACATGCACTGAAACTGAACCTGGCCGGGTCCTGCGGACGGCCTCAGATCTCCAGGGACTGTATAAGCATCTTTTATGCTACAACCGAGTTGAACGCATACATCCGCCTTCGATTTCACTTTTCTTGGTTTCTTCGCCAACCTGAACGAGAGAAACCCAGTCAAGACTCAAGAACGAACGACTTGACCATGGCGACCATCGACGAGGGACCATCAGCATCAAAAGAATCGCAAACAGACATCCTGTCGGATTACAAGATACTCGAGACCGTCGAATGGATCGCCCGACACTCATTCACTATCGTCGGCTTGCAGTTCCCAGACGAACTTTTGTCTATTTCGGTTCCTATCTTCCGATCACTCAGGTCGAGGTTAGATTCAGACGAGATCGAGTTGTATATCATGGCTGACACGACCTACGGAAGCTGTTGTGTTGACCATGTTGCTGCTCAACACGTCCATGCCCAGGCGGTGGTACATTATGGACAGGCTTGTTTGAGCATGTCAGTTTTCTTTCAGTCAAGACCGCTTCATTGAGACGATACTCAATTTTGATTTGTTTTTTTTACTCTACTTGACAGAACGCCTTCATTACCAGTGTTTTACGTGCTTCCGAAATTCCCAATTTCTGATGAGATGGTCGAGCGTACTGCCAAAAGGATGGTCGAATCCTTATATTCTATGGACCCGACATTCGACGTATCAAATGATTCGAACCAGATATTGTTAATGTATGATGTTGGATATCATTGGAAGAGTGGTATGGAAGAACCTAACCTTTTGAAATACAATCGTATCCACAAATCAATATACCACAAGCAACCTTTTCCTGATTGATTTCTGTTGATTATCTTTCTTTATGGGAGCGGGGCTCAACAGAAAGCATTACAAACTGTCTCAAGACCAATTTCAACCTGCCAATTGTCAGACATGAGCTCGGTCTAGAAGAAACAAAAAATCTGCTAATACCTCCACACAGTTCAGCCAGCGTCGCACCTTCAATCAATCAATGTAGTGAGCAAACGTGCTGTCAATCTTCTTGTCAAGACTCAAAACCTTGCTCTAATCAGCCTATCGCTTGTACAACAACGACAACAACAACGACGCCAACCACAAACATTCCAATTAGTCAGGAAGCTGGTTCATCTGTGTTACCTTCGAATAGTAGAGGCAATAAGACCGACTTTTCCAGTTATCAAGTAGTGTTTTATGTTGGAAGCGAATCATCCAGATTAACGCACTTCCTAGTCACACATCCCCATCTACCGGTGATAGCTGTCGACCCTAATCAGACTGAAGAAGATTCGAATGATCACTCACGTTTACAACAAAACAACCGAACCAAAAAACTCTTGATGAGACGATATGCCACAATTCAACGAGCCCGAGATGCGGATGTCTTTGGGATCTTGGTGGGCACCCTTGGAGTTCGACACTATTTAGAAATGATTAACCGAACCAAGAAGTTGATCGAAGAGGTTTTCAAGAAGAAAGCATACATAATCTCGGTGGGCAAGTTGAAGCCAGAAAAGCTCATGAATTTTGCCGAGATCGAAGCCTGGGTCTTGGTCGATTGTCCAGAAAGTTCGCTGCTAACCCTCGATGGTAAGACCGGCGAACGATTCGATCCCAAGCAGTTCGGCGCACCGATCATTACCCCATGGGAGTTAGAAATTGCTCTCAATAGTTGTATCGAACCTTCCAACGATGATCAGTCGGAAAATCAGAAACGAGTATGGGATGGCAAACTCGTCCTTGATTTCGAACAGATTCTTTCCGTCTGGCAGGCAGAGGATTCGTTCGACACGTCAGCCCCCAAGAACGGACCCCCTTCACCGCATAGTGGGGATAGCGATCAACAGGAAGGACCAGTGTTTTCAATGGTCACTGGTGGATATAAGTACCGACGCAATTGGAATGATAATCGTGGGTTGTACCTCTACCTATATATTCAGTCAAATTATAATCATCTCTGCTTGGTTTTGATTTTTTTTCTTTCTTTATGGATTGCTTACGAAAATCATTCATCCATTCCCCAGACGAATCAGAAAGCCAATCAAAAGAAGTCCAAAAACTAGAGATGAAGGACAAACAGGAGCTAATCGAATCAGTCAAGGGAGCTGCAAGTCAATACGCTCTGAGTCATCGGACTTACTTCGGCTTGGAACCTCGCTTCGGACTCGACCCTCCGTCGAAAGTTTCTGCTGGAAGATACGGTATCCCGCAGGCTTATCAGGACGATCATCCTGACTCGGCCTCTTGATCCCCTGCAATTTAGTCCCTCCCTGTTCTTTCACGTTATTTAATTTGTCTCTCTATTGTTTTGAGTTTTTTTTTATAACTTGGATCGACTTCAAAACATCCACCAAGACCCAACCCATAAGCTATTTGTCATTGACATGAAGTGCCACAGTAACAAGTGATAGAACACCCTGGTGCCATTATCCAATTTCATTGTAAGCTTCTTAAGCTAGCATATTACCATCAGGACAAGTCTCCACTGCAATCTGCATTCTTTGACTGGATGCTGAGCAGCTCAATTTGACAGCTAAGAGGTACGTTCAAATTTTTGGCTTATTTTGTGGCCATGGGTTCATCCAGTGCCTCCAATGTCGGAAGATGGCATTCAGATTCCAGTTGGATCTAATATGTGGTGTAAATATGAAGAGTACCCATTCTTCCAAAACTATCGGGGTCTAGAGTCGGTTTGCAGTTTGGTTGCGGGCACTCCTTGCGGCGCGCGTGCACCTCCGCGGGCACGGCGCCATATGTGGAGAGCACAACGGTCGACCATTGATGGACGTCATGACGCCCCGGGCTGCACACTTCACAGCACACCCTTCACATCTCTTCACTGCCACACTTCGACGGTCAACAGAAAGACTTGACCACACTCGGGGCCATCCACCAAAACATCCTCGGCCCATAATTCCTGCTACGAACCCTGGAACGGAACGAAGGACGAATTCAGGAGAATCCTCAAGCGAACGACTGACCGGCCAATAATCACCAGAATCAGAGAGATGGCGTTCAGTCTGGACGAATGCATCGAGAAGCTTCTGACGAAACAGCTGCTGGTCGAGGCCTTGATCAAAGGTTGGATCCATCCTCAATCGGCGCATCTTATTCTTGATTGTTTGGCTCAAGTCGTTATCTTTCATTTCTCGTGGAGCTAGAAATTTGCGAGAAAACAAAGGAACTCTTGATGAGAGAAAGTAATGTCGTTCACATCTCTGCACCAGTAACGGTGGTAGGTGATATACATGGGTGAGCTAGAGTTTCGTTTTCCTTTCTCAACCTGATTACATAAATTGTTCTTGTCTGCACCGCTATGACCTATTATCTTAAGATACTGAGGTTTTGATTAAATGAATATATAAAAATCAAACTCTTTTCAATAGTATTTAACTTCATCGGCAAAGTTTTTCATGCTGGACTTTTTTGACGGGGTTTCATTTGATTTATTAAGACAGTTTTACGACTTGATCGAAATCTTTCGGATCGGAGGATTTTGTCCAGATACAAATTATTTATTCTTGGGTGAGTATTTCTAGTGCTCATTTTTCTCAAATTTGCATGTTGATACTAATCTCTTCTTCTTGCCTTCGATTGTTTTTTTTTTTTGCTCCCAGGTGATTACGTTGATCGGGGACTATTCAGTGTAGAGACGATTTCACTACTAACCTGTCTGAAACTGCGGTATCCGGACCGAGTCCAACTAATCAGGGGGAATCATGAATCTAGAGCAGTCACCCAAGTTGAATATATTCCGTTCCACTAGCCGTCATCCCTTCGAGGTTCCGGCCTGACAAGATTCATCCACTCACTCATTCGCACGTTCTTTCCTTCATCAAGACTTATGGATTTTATGCAGAATGCGTCAGGAAATATGGCAGTCCAAGCGTATGGACCTACTTTACAGACATGTTCGATTTCTTGACGTTGTCAGTGGTGATTGAGGATCGGATATTTTGTGTGCATGGTGGTCAGTATTTATCTGCCGATTTCACAAACAGAGCCTACCTATACATGACCCATAAACCCATCACCGCTGAATTACATGCCAACAACCTGTTTCTATCTGTATCAGGTCTATCACCCTCTATTCATTGTATCGATCAAATCAAAGTCATCGATCGGTTTCGAGGTGCGGCGATTTTTTGTTCCACAGAGGAAACCTTTTTACATCAAATTTAAGTTCCTACTCAATCCACAGAAATTCCTCACGAGGGACCGATGGCAGACTTGGTTTGGTCGGATCCCGATCCAGATAAGGAAGATTTTGCAATTTCACCCAGGTTTGTGCGCTCAAAGTTTTCTATGCAAGCAGTTATTAACTTGAACACGAATTGGCTTGGATCCATTCAGGGGTGCCGGATATACGTTCGGAGCCCAAGTAGTGAAGAAGTTTCTCACGATTAACGACATGCATCACATTCTAAGAGCACACCAACTATGTATGGAAGGCTTCTCAGTTTTATACGATGACAGATTATCGACGGTCTGGAGTGCACCAAATTATTGTTATCGATGCGGGAACATGGCCTCCATCTTGGAGATCGGGCCGGATGGGCATAAGCATTTCAACGTCTTCGATGCCGCTCCGGAGAATGAACGTGATGGCCCTCAGCAGCAGATGCAGCTTCAACAGCAGCAGCAGCAGCTTCAGATGCAGCATCAACAGAATAACGGCGGACAGGATAACGGAATGGCTAATCCTTATATGCTACCTCAAGTGGAATATGTATGTTTTTCTTTTTTATTCTTCTCTCCGTTTGCCTGCACTTCTTCACCTGGACATACCAACATACTGACCCATCCCAACGTTTTCCGTTATGGCTTCTTCGCCTCTTTTGAATCACCAGTTTTTGTAACACTTCTTACACCTTTAATGATATAGAAACTGGCGATCGCAGTACCAGTTGTATTTTTTTTTTTTCAAAACACACATATGTTTATATATATTAAAATATTGGTTGAGCTTTCTTCTTTGAATGTTGAAAAAAAAGGGAGTGGAAAAATAAGAAAAAAATGAAAACCAAAAGTGGGGGGGGGGATTGCAATTTAGGCTATGATCACGTGTGGAAATTAGTTTGTTGCAAAAAAAGTGGGGTGTTGAGCGGTCAATTCGAGTTTGTGGATGTATGCAACACAATCCTTGGTTGCGCTTGGAACATTTAGCAATAGATATACAAAACTGAAAAAAAAAAAAAAAAACTGATAGCTTCCATTATAAGATGACATTGATAATGGATCCAATCTACGTCTGTTCCATAGAAGTTGTCAAAATGGATTCCGCCAGATGGCCTAAGGCTAAAGCTCAACCCACCAAAAGAAAAAAAAAAAGTTGAGAAAGCAGAGAATAAATTATTTACAAGCACGTGAGATCATGGGACTATCTTGGCTCTGATTCTTCGCTAGCCAGAGATTCGACAGATAGAAACAATTGAGTCACTCAAATGGTTTGCTCCACCTCCCGGCAGAAATCCATCCAATTTTCTTTGCAAGTAACCTTAGTTGAAAGAAAATGAGATTTCATACGTCTCAACTAACTTGAAGTTGCAGCATTAAGTCAAGAACACGGAGTACTAAAGACACTCAATTCATTTAGATTCAAGAGTTTCGACGGATTGTTTCAGACAGATTATAAGACATAGGGAACAGGGTTCTTCAAGGTTAAATTAATTGAGTTGGATGGAGTGGGGAACTGGTAGCTCTAGACTTGTAAGAGTAATCATTGAGCACAAAGGAATAGGAAAATCTTTGGGTTAAACCGAGTCAGACATGATCCAGCAGCATCTACCACGACAAAGTAGGGTCGGCGGAGGAATGCTTGAGGTACTGTTTTCGCGCCTTCTAGTCCGAGTAGTGCCCCTCCTCACCATACGTTCCCTTCTCCCCATAAAAACCCTTCTTGTCGTAAAAACCATCGAAATCATATTTTTTTCCTCCATCTTCTTCACCATGGTATTTCTTTTTCTCGTCCTCATCCTCGTAGTCCTTTTTGTCCTCATCCGCGTAGTATTTCTCCTCGTCCTCATCCGCGTAGTCCTTCTTCTTTTCCTCCTCATCGTCGTCCTTCATCTCGACTTCGTAGTATTTCTTTCCATCATCCTCGTCTTTGTGTTTCGAGAAACAGGAACGACGGTCTAGGGGGCCACTCTTGAGGCTGGGATCCCAAAGCCAGCCGATTAGCCCATCAAATCCGTACCGTTCTGCCAGCAGAAAAACTGAACAAGATTGAGTTACTTGCATTTGAGTGTTAAGGGCAACATCCCGGGCCCGGAAACAGGTAGCTGAGATGAACACTGAGGCTTGACCTGAAGATATAGAAATCAAATAGTTAGCCACTGTGTTTTAACGTTGCATGGTAGGTACTAGAGACTAGCTCACTCAAGACAAGCCCTGCAGCAATCGACATTGGCACAGAGAATTTCATTTTTGGTTAGGTAGGTTTGTGTGCTGTAAAGAATACAATCAGACATGGCACTGGCCGTCAACTGTGGTTCTTTTACTTGATGGACTTGCGTTCTCTTTAAGAAACAAGAGAAAGGCCTTAGCCACATACGGTTCAGATTTTTCCGTAGAGGTTGGTGTTGTTGCTTCGTAAAGAGCGGAAGGCCGGAGGTTACAATTCAACCGAAGAATGCGAGTAACTCTGGTTCTTGCTTGGTAAGATTCCTGGGAGGGATGAGTGGGACAGAGCTGGACGATTGGTGGTGGTTTATATATCTTTTGGGCCTCCTCCGTCTTCCCATCATCATGTCATGTGCACCATGCTGGAGCTTCACCAAGATGAGGACCCCATCCTCGACTCCGCACGCGCAAAAGTCTTTCGAGGGCAGTGTGTGTTTAGGAATTCTACTTCGTCCGGCCAGGAATTTTCTAACTTGTCATCATCCTCGGCCGCTATGACCTTCTTCTTTCCATTGCTTCCTCCTTCAACTTTGGCATTGATGACGTCTGATCAAACATCTTCTTGAGATACTTGGAACAGATGGCCAATTTCGAATTTTTGTGAGACGTGCAGATTGCTCGCTTAGGATCGCTTGCAAGCGCTCACTTGATGATTTACCTCTTGGTTCATGGTTTGATTCTACGTTGTCTTGTTCTTTGTAGACGGACTCTCTTGGTCGATGGCTCATCGGGCAAATGGGGTGAAAATGTCTACAATCAAAATTTGCAAATCATCGAGATACATGGTCGGAAAATCCTACTGGAGAATAGAACAACACAATGATAAGAATAGACTCTGTTATCATTGTGTAGAATTTTGAGAAGCCTTTGAAAGGCACGCCTCAACGTAGAAAATGGCAAGCAACCTGATCTGGGGGAAAATTTGGAAATTGTGCATAATTTTGGGGAGTAGGTCGAAAAAGATACAAGGTTGTGTGTGCGTCCAGTCGAAGCGAGTTTCCAAGCATGCCGCTTGTAATTCGATTGTTCTTGAAAAAGGCTTTCTTCCTATAGACTGGATCGCTACCACCGTGCACTTTCCACCTCTTCTGCGTCTTCCTCGAGATGTTCGCCAGTGATGTATGACGCTCTCCAAAGCCCCCCCAACGGTATCCAGCTGCATGTTGTGAAAATGGCTCGCGCATTGTACATTGCTTCACGCTCCCCTAGAGCCGATGAGATCATCTTGATGACTGAATCCGTCTTGAATTTGTATAGTCAAGATATGAGAACGCGTAGCCTGCTAGAGAGTGAAAAGGAGGATTAAGGGGGATGGCCTTTGAGGGGCGTTTCTTGACTGTTGGTCTACGTCACACAACGTTTGAAATTGACACAAGTCCGTCCAAGGAGCTGACCTGCAGTGACCTCCTTGGAGTGACTTTTGTTAAGTTTGTCGAGCATATAAAATGTCAAATTGTAGCCATAGGAAATGCAGTCAACTGTTGTTCAAAAGCTTATAGTAAAACAAAGGCAATTGGGTTAGAAAACTGACACTAACAAAGGACAAGGTCCTGGTAAATTCAAAATTTGAGCACTTGAGGGTCTGATATTTATCTGTTTTGATGATATGACTCATCCCTACAAATTAGGGGGTATCAAATATGACCAAATCCACCATTATTGAATTGACTGGTTTGAAAAAATCCACCCCTTTTTAAACATGTTGGTTATCCATTTAACCCCTTTGGGGGCCCATTTAAGCAAAAAAAGGTTTTTGAAAAAGTGACTGGTTTCTGATGGTGGATTTCCTATATTTGATACCCCCTATTGAGATTTATTCACCCAATGAAGATCTGCAAAAATGTTCAGGAATGCCATAGTGAATGAAGGATCAGAAAAGAATCTGTCCTGGATTCAACTTGAAAATTTTCCAAGAAGTTTTGCCTTGTGATATCATGCATACCATAAAAAACACCAAGATTGGTCTCTTGGTGGTTGGAGCTTGAACAGCAAGTTTTAGGCTTCGTTTGGCCTTCCACGATTGTCATAGACCGTCATCACAAATCTTCAAATCAGAATCTAGGTTTGATTCATTCAGGCGGTGCAAATGACACAGCTTGAAAATCCATGTCAATAACAATGTGGCTGTTTGGTGCACCTTGGGAGTGGGAGTGAATGATTGGAAGGTGTTGAGATCTGACCTTGATCCCTCCAGTGCTCTAGCGGTAGTTCTACCAATATTAATGATTACTTAATCCTAGTCAATTTAAAAATGACATCATCATACACACTTCTGACTTTCATATATAAGCTATCATATTCCAAGAAACCTTGTCTCTCTCTTTTCCCTAGGATCAAAGAACACAAATCATTATCTTCTACTTCTCCATCCTCATCGTGATTGCTCTCTTCCATTTACATCAAACAATCCCTATCATTATCCTCTCTATCTAAAACATCATCTCAGTTATTTCCGCCTCTGCCTTCTCGTGTGCTTTCCCTTCCTCTCGACTCTTCGCCAACCATTAGCACTCCTCTATTATCTTTGCCTCCGCCGACTCGTGTGCTTCCCTTTCCTCTCGACTTTCCGCCGATCTTGAGCACTCGTCTTTGTCTTTCCTATCGTCGTAGGTTATTGACTCAATCATCTTAGTCAACACAAACTCTTATCAACTGACATCTTTTCTCTATTTTAGTCACTCCTTGTTCTTTCCTTCATTGTCCTTCTTTTTCATGTCCCTTGTTATTGTTGCTCCTGCCTTTAGGTACACATTTTCTTCTTCATTTCATTTGTCATCATTATTGTTTCTTCTCCTATTGTATTTCATTCTTACTGATCTGAAATACACCTTTAGTTTGACACTTAACAGAAGGGCGGTTTAGGAGGACAGGGAGGCTTTGTGCGGGTCAGAGGGGGTGGTGTGCAGCTGGCCGGGGGTAATATGGAGTTGTTGTAAGGGAAAGCAGAGTGTGATGAGAGCACAGAAACAGCACTTGTGACACAGAATGTTTTTTGTTTTTTGGGGGGGGGGGCAAAATCTTGGATTTGGCAGGGAATATATCTTGTTGGCCATTTCCGTCATAAGAGAGTGGATATGACCTGGACTCCCAAACATCATTGTGAGGCCCTGTCATTAGCTGTCCACCCTCAAAATATTTGCCATGATTGTTTATGATGATCATGGATGGCCAAACAAAGTGTTAGAATTTTCAGACAGTGAGAATCAGAAACAACGTGACAATGGTATGCACAATTCAAATCAGTTCTGCATTGTACTAGATTGTGATCAGAGACATGAAATAGAAGAAAACAAGACTATGCAAAGTGTAAGAAGATGGGTAGACTGGAAAGAATGAAAAAGAACTCAGAGAGTGGACTGAATCAATAACAAACATCTACAAAACAGGAATCATGATAACAAACCAAAATCATTCATCTTACTTTAGCATAAAAATGAGATTATATATCAAGGAGGCCTCGTGCCTGAGTTGAGTTTCAGTCTTGCCAGATGAAGGAACATGAAAATAGAAATGGTGGAGTCTATGGAGATTGAAATAGAAAATAGAGGTGGATGGTGGTAAAGCCACCAATGTTCTCTAGTAATTTGAATAAAGAACTATCATCCTGATTATTTCCACTAACTGATCTTGATAGTCATCTTTCATTGCTGGGTTTTGTAATGGACCTCTGCCTGTCTTTTCCAACCAATAGATGACAATCTTCCAAGCCATTCTGGAATATTTGAATTCTAAATTTAAAAGGCTCTTCTTGAAGGATGGATCTGCTTTGAGATTCAAATAATCATGAAATTTCTTTTTGAAACAGTTATCACTGATTGCTGATGTATATTTACCTTCTGCAATTTCTTTCCAGAGATCTTCAAAGAAATCTACAAGATTCATTATGTCTTTGTGTTTTAGCTTCCCCCCTACATGCTTTCCAAAGAGTGAAAGGTAAAGAACTATTGAGGTTATTGTTATTTGGGTCAATTGTTTTGCATATCCAATTCTGGATTTTAGTTGATTCAACATAGTAGCTCTTGAACTCTTTGAAGTACTTTGAAGGATGGAGTCCAATTTTGAATCCAATTTCATTTGGATGTCTGTGAAGAATCCCAAGTATTTTTCAAGACAAAGTTTTTCTTGTGAAATTTTCAGCATTATGTCCCGAATCTTTAATGTCCTTGTGTTCTTATTACCAAACTCTGGAGGATACCTCAAGATGCACCTTCTTGATTGATATCTTTGGAAAAAATTCAAATCTCTATCCCATGATACATAAAAGAAATTCCCAGTACCTTTCTCAACTTTCATACTTTTCAGGAATTCAAACAGTTCTTGAACATTTTGGAATTCTCCAGTTAGTTTATGGTTTGAATTGAACATGTTTGAACTTGTATCTACCTTGACAAAATTCCAGTCAGATACATCTATTATTTCATCTTCTTTCTGAATTAGATCCAGATCATGATTATTTATTTCTTTGTGATTGAGAGAATCTTTTGAGTTTTCAATTGGTTCAACTTTTATTTCTTGAAACCAAGGATGATTTGACTGGTAGGAATCATTCTCATTGATTTTCTTGGGTTTTTTAGGGTTTCTATTCTCCCCATTGTTGAGTTTGTGCTTTCTATTTTCAACATCAATAAATCCACCTTTACATTTCCAGGAGCTAGTTGTATCATGTGGGGTGTGAGAGGAACCACAAGTGCAGCCTATGTAAAATGGTTCCACATGCTCTGTCTTCAAATGGAGATCTTCTCCAGAAGAAGATGAGTAATTTTCTGGAAATGTGGAAGGCACTGATGAAATTGGTGAACACTCTGTTGGTAAATTGTTCAAATCAAAAACCAAATTTTCTTTCACTAGTGTAGTTTTTAGGATAGTAAGCTGGCTTTGGTCAATAAGATGGAATGCTAAAGTCAAGTATTGAATGAAGTGAAGCTGCATGTTTGAAGGGATTTTCTTGTTAGATGGAGATATTGAGAACTCTTAGAGATACCTATTTGACCTGATCGTTAGTTTGAGTAGACTAGGATATCTATCCAAATTAGTTTGGTGCTTGCAGTGAAGGTTGGTTGCAAGCTTTTTCCAATCAAAACATGCACCATCATTGATATAAGAAATACTGAGTCTGTCATGAAGTTTCTTCTGCAGTATGATCACTGAACATCCCTTGGAACAACAAAGGAAATTGAATCTGGTTTTGAACCCATCCAGCTTGCAAAGCACGGACCTTTTTGATGGGGTGTGAAACCCTGCCTTAGGTTGGTAATACTTCTGGTAC